TGTGTGTGTATATATATATATATATATATATATATATATAAAATACCTTATTTAACCTTCTGCTTCCTTTAGCATTTTTTCCCCCAGAAAATTTGTAAACCGTGTGCTGCTGTGAAGGTGGAACACAAAAACAGACTTAAAACTGAATATTTTAAGCTTTAAAACTAAAAGTTTTGGGAATATTTCACAATAAAGCCATCTGGACATGTTAAACAGGTAGACTGAGTATCTTCAATAAAAGTAAACCTGAAGAAACAGATTTTTTTTTTACCTTGACATGGCTGCTTGTGTATTTCCATCTGTAAAATCTGCAACACAGCAGAGACAGTCCGGCTCAAGACGACTTCTGTTTTCACCTCCTGATTTCTGGCTCAGCAACACTTAAAAAAAATAAAATAAAAAAAAAAATAAAAAAAAGATTTTGGAAATGTTTTAAGTGGCAAGTGAAACAGGTAATACAAAGTTGCAAATGAAACAGCTTTACATGCAGCCTACCCTCCACAGTAGTATATTCAAAGTGATTTGTCCCATTACTTGGTAAAGGACTTTAATTATTAACTGCACGGACACCTGAGTACGCTGTCCTGCAGAACTGGTAGGCCACCATCACCTTACACGGTCTTCCCTGGTCTGAGGATAAGCAGCTGTGTGAACCTATACCTGCACAGGTAGTAAAGGTGGAAAAGTCCTGGAGGTTTGTCTGCAGTACCAACATGCTTCAGTCTGAACCTTGTTCCTAAAACTGTTTTTCACCAGTTTCTCTTTCTTGTTGCCTGATTGGTTGAAATTAGCAGCTTTGCACAACAGTAGGCAGTTGTTATCCACAGAGTCCAAACCAATTACTCTGCTGAGGCTAAATCACATGGCACCAGAAAAATGCCTGTCCTCTTCTCGGTCCCCTTTGAACTCATCCCCTCAGCTGTTGGTCTTTCTACTTTATTCATGTTTCATCATTTTTAATTGGCTCATTTTGTTAGTGCACCAGCTCAGGGTTTATTTGGAAGTCTTACTTCAGTTGCGCATCAACAAACTGAGACCCCTGGTGGAGACAAGTGCGCTATTTTTGCATCATAAAAGCAGAATTGATTACATATTTGGCATTAGCAGAATGCAGAGCCCTGAGATGAACTGGTGACTTGTCCAGGGTGTAAGCAGCCTCTTGCACGGCGACTGCTGGTGATACCAACTCCATGTGACCCTGAAGGAAGAAGTGGGTAAAGAAAATAAATAGGTGGCTAAACTGCAGATGGGCAACATTAGTCTGAAAACCATTTATGTTAAACCGGTCCAGATAAAAATATTTTTTCCCTATACGAATGCCTTTGAATGTCACTGACAACCATCAGCCAATAAGAAAAGACACAAGTCAGAGTGCTTATCTTTTATTCAATTATGTTACATTTTGCAATAAATGTCCAAGTCATAACTCCTGGTCAAACTCAAAGGTTGAGTCAGCACCTACAGTAATGTACTGTATTCTTTCTTCACTCACAGGAAAACACACAGAAGCTCTCTGTAACAAGTGACACCCATTACTCACTGGCTGCTTGGCTGCGAACATTTACAAAGTGGGGACTACAATTAAAAAAAGGAAAAGAAAAAATCAGGGGAAGTGGAAAAACTGCAGGAAGTTGTCGTGTGGAGTCACGGCGGGGATGGCGGATCTGTGCGGTTTATTCACTAAAAAAATAAAAATAAAATGAACCATCTTTGCAGGCACGACTGAATGAAATTTCCTCTCCTAGAAAGAAAGATAATCAGAAAATTAAGTGGCTAAGACAAATAATGGTTAAAGGATGTCATGCACAGTATAACAGATACTCAAGTCTGATAGTCCTGCATCGTCAGACTGCAACTATAAATCACAGCTAGATGAGCAAAAGATAATTATAACTAATTATTCTGTACTGTTGACTTGATAAAAAGGCATAAAAGGAAAAACTAATCTGTCACAGCACAGTGTGGATGAGAATTTCTTCTCATAGAAAAATTACTTTTGTTTCACCGACTTTCATATCTTAAGAGGATACTTGGACAAACCTGGTGTAACATTTTGCTCAGGCGTGGCGCTCAGTGAAGCAGGAATCGTCTGTGCAGTGACATTTCCCTTAAGAAATTTCAGCTGAATCCTAATTTATGTGAAGGACTAGTTGTTTCAAAGCTGACACTTCAATCCATTTGTCAAGGGAACTTTGGCAAAGGTTTATGGGCATTTGTCACCAACATGTTAAATTAATGTGTGCGAGTTAGAGAGTTGTTTTGTCTGCTCAGAGGAGCACCTGATAAACTCCAAGGCCTTCTCCTCGTCTGTAGGCTGGAAAGTCGAGGTCGTCTTGACCTCCCCTCTGTCTGATATAAGACACTTCCTGCCTCGCTGTTCGGTGCAGATACTGACGAGGTGCTAAGCATGTAACTTTGTACATCTGTGAAAAGCCTGTTTTCATGACCGATCTGCCCTTGCAAGAACGGGTAAAAATATTTTTGTGTCCTCAGAGTGGCTTATCTGAGTAAATAGAAATGAAGAAAGGATGTGCTTGTTTGTGCGAGGTGTTTTTTTAATAGTAGTTTTTTTTCCCCTCAGGCAAGAAAAAATAAAGTCTGATAGGAATTTTTTTCGCCTCCAACTCCTACGTGTGTCCAGTTAACCACTGTTTTTTGTCTGTCCAAACAGGTATCACTTGTAAATGAGTCTTTGCAGCTCAATGTGATTTATCTGTTTAAATAAAAGTTGAATGAATGAATATTTATTTAACCAACAATTTTGGTCCTTCGAGCCGGATAGTGTTGGATAAATATCCTTTCATCATCTCTATTTACTCAAATAAGCCACTCAGAGGGCACAAGAAGATTTTTAACCAGTCTTTACTTGCAAAGGCAGATCGGTCACAAAAACGAGCTTTTCACAGATGCACAAAATTACATGCTTAGCGCCATGTCAGTATCTGCGACGGACAGCGAGGCAGGAAGTGTCTTGTATTGGACAGAGGCGAGGTCAAGACGACCTCGGCTTTCCAGCCTTGAGACAAGAAAGCCTCAGAGTTTCAGATGCTTCTCTCAGAGCAGAAAAAACAGCTCTCAAACTCACACACATTAATTTAACATTAGTTAGTGACAAACATCCACAAACCTTTACCAAAATTCCCTTGACAATATTCTTCACTCAAGAAAATTTCAAAAAAGCACAAAAAGGGTGGGATTAAAAGTCCTGGAGTGGGGTGCAACTTCCTCAAACATTAAAATGAGTTTCACATTCCCAGCCATCAATTGTAAACTCAAAACACAATCTTAGAAATAAAAAGTCCACAAAAGTTAAAATTACTTACTTGAACAATGAGCAGCAGTATTTATTTAAATATCTAAAACATATTTTAAACAGCAAAAACAAAGAGAAAAGTACAATTCCTGAGGATGGATTGCAACTAGACCCAGAAAGAGTCTTTGGTTGTTCGCAAAAAAGAAAAGATCTCGTGCGTTGATGCTTGGACTTGGTCTTGCTCACCATCACGTTTCGGCAGACGACGAGTGCAGATCGCAAAAAGACCGTTGCACTCATCAGGAGCTGAAATCTCACGCCAGCACAGCAGAACACAATTTGATAAATAAAAGGGATATGCAGTAACATGATCAGAAATGGTGCAAAAAAAAAAAAAAAGTAAACAACTCGGACTCTCAATGGTTGACATATATTTGTTGTTTTTTTTAATAACCAAAATAAAAATGATATATTTTATAGCCCGCTCCAAGTGAAGCCAATTGAATAACTGAGTAAGGTTGTGCTTTTGTATCCTTCTTAAACTCTACCAGATTGTGCTTTTCCCTGTCAAAACTACACAACAATCACTTGAAAATATTTGAGTGCTCACCTTTTAGGCAGGACTGTACACCAAACGTCACATAAACCAAAGCCTCACGGGATCTTTGAGTTTATTAAGTTAAAATTTCTCAGATATTTGTATCAAGGCAGACACAAGAAAATAATAATGATAATAATAACAATAATAATAAAAAGGCTCCATCTTGGTTTTTTTTTTTTTTTGTCGTTTGCTTTTAATGAACTTGGGAAGATCTCAGAGTCCATTATAGTGAGGCCCCCAACGCTTATTGATGTGATCGAAGGTGTGAGAAACCCACTGCTGCTCCAACACTCGATATCTCTCTTCACATAAGAACAGCGGCTTGCCACGGCTGGAGACAAAAGAAGAAAAGAAAAGTCAAAGAGCTGTTTTTGTCAATACATGTGGGTCAAGTTTCAATCTATATTCTAATTTCAGAAGCACTTTATGCTGCATGTGAACAAGAGATGCACCCGATATTAGTATCAGTACCGATATCGAAAAAAATTCTTCATCAGGTGTCTGTGACAATGCCGATCCATAAGGACATGAGCGGATTGCTGTTTATTTTAAATATATGCCAACCAAGCTAGTGAAGCTATTGTTTTTTTCCTCTTATTTCAGCTCCTTTTAATATTTATTTTACATTATTTGGAATTCCTGAACCATTTGAAAGGTTTGTTGAAGTTTATTTTTTCCTGTTTGACCAAAGTTGTCAACCTATTGTTTTTGTCAGTTTCAGTACCTTTATTATTATTTATTTTACACTGGATGTTACACTCATAGCTGCACTGACTGAACAAATTAATGTTGTGTTGGTTTTACATGTTTGACCAAGCTTGTGAAGCTACTGGTGTGTTTAAGTGTGCTGTACTGGTGCAGAGTTTTGAATAAATTTGTAATTCAGTATATTTAAAAAAAAAAAAAAAAAAAAATTAAGTTACCGGTAATTCAGCAATGTTTTTTTTGTATCAGATCAGTATTGGCCGATACTAAACCCCAGGCATCGGTATCGGTAGTGGAAAAAGTGGATCGATGCATCCCTAGTTTGGACACGATTTTTTTTTGTTGTGTTTATATACTGCACGTGTTTATTGTGATAACTTGAAATGTTTTAAAATAGAAAACAATAGATACGATTCAGATATAAGTAAACTCATCTTTAAGAGGAGTCGTGTAGTACGTGCACACACTAGGATTTTAAGGATTTTGAAGGCAGAAGACAGAAAAATGAAGCAGAATGGGCCCTCCGTTTCTCCCGACAGACGATTAATAAAAAAAAAATATTGTCCTTAATGGCTAACTCTCTTGTATGGAAATGCAAGTTATCCACCAAACTCGGTAAAATCAAATCAGATTAAATTATGGACTCCAAGTATTGCTTAAACAAAGTAAAACTCAATCAAATTATGTAAAATAGCTACATGCCTGTATTAATTAAATCATTCTCCATGCACCATTCTCCAATTAAAACATGAGTTTGTTATTACTAAGTTTATCAGAAAGTAATGTTTCTTTATTGGTAACAAAATATGTTCAGATACAACAAAAAAGGAACGATATGTCTTTTAAATTATTTTTTAGAATGGTCCAACGTGTCTGTAAAGAGTATTTAACAACTCTAAAAGCCTCACGTTAGAGATGGAAAATGTTTAAATAATTTCAAAACGCAACAAACCGTAAATCGCGATCTTCCTCTCCGTGGGCGTCGAGGTAAACGGATCCCCACAGACAGAAACGATGTCCACGGATGATGATGATGACCGAGGCATTAATCAGCAGAAAGATGCCTGTAGCTGCGCCACAATGTCGGGAGTGCTTCAAAGTGACAAAAAACAGGCAGGCTTTAAAGAGCTGCAAATGCAGCTTAAAATTAAGAGTCGGTTTGTCACTAGCTATGAAAATGAGGTGTTTTAATTTCCTACATGAAAAACTCTTAAGATTCCATCAATAATACCAAAAAGTACATTTTAAAGTTTTAAAAGTGTGATTTTAAGGGACAACCTCAACAATAATCTAAAAAATAAGGCACGGTTGCAATAACTTTGAGAAACTTACCAAAACACATTCACAGATTCCCTGCTGTTTGCAGCACACGCCTTTGAGACAGACAAACGCGCCACAAACCAGGCAGAGAGCGGGGTCCTTTGGCACCTTTTTGCAGACAGTGCAGGCCTTTCTGTGATAGTACTGGAAGATGATGTTGTAGTTGTCAGGTAGCTGGAGAAGGCGAGGGGCTGCCCACTGAGGATCTTGGACCAGCAAGGTCTACGGAGGAGACAGAGGTAAGTTTATACTTACTTTAAGCTGCCTTGAGCTTTATGTGCAGCCTTTTCAGGCTTTTATTCAGGAATTAATGCAAAACTTGTGCTTTTATTTTGAAGTAAAACATATTTTCGTTTGTGTTCCAAAGATTACAATATGCAGATCATATGCTTTACTGTCTTTAAAAAATGCTACAAATCATTAAAAAAAAAGTTTGTAAATTGGCTGAAATTGATAAACTCTACCAGTGAATGCTCAGGATGCATGAGAGTCAGCTCTGTGACCTCAGCACACCACTGCGTCACCAAGTCAAAGGCGCTGACGGGCCAGTCCAGACATGAGGCACTGTGCACGGCGCTGGAAGGCTGAGGGGCTGAGGGCAGCAGCCCCACACACACAGCCAGGGAGGAAAACTCCTCTTCATCCTGAGACGAGCAAAGAGAACAGGTCATGAGATCACTCTTTGTTGGCACATACCGTATTCTCCGCCGTACACGTCGCACCGTCCTATCAGTCGCATCATCCAAATATGTCTAATAAAGTGGAAAAAAATCCATAAATACATCGCTTCGCCGTATACGTCGCATCTATTATGCATCACCACTGACGCATCGCGTTCATCACTGCTGACAACAAGGAAATGTGAGTCGGTGTTGTGCCAAAAATCAATTGGGCGAGCACAGGAGGATTTTAACAAGAATTTAACTAAATTAACACTTAAAAACATTTATTTGTTTGCTCGAAATTATAGTAAAGGTGTGTCTCAGTTTAACTTTTCCTTAATAAATGCACTTTGATGGTCAAATCAGCTGCATTTTCAAAAACCGATATGCGGAAACATGAACGAGCTGATGGCGACTCGTGCATTTCTTCAAAATTTAACAAGATAATCACAAAACCAATTATGTTTTAGCTCGACTTTATAACAAAGTTGTGTCTCAGTTGAACTTTTACTTAATAAATGCACTTCAATGGTCAAATTAGCTGCATTTCACTGGGGCGGCGCAGCAAAATGAAGCTGATTTGACGTTTGCTCCAGGCAGACGATGGTGTCAGTCTATGGCAAGCAGACTGTCATTAATAGCCACTTTTACCTATTACATGATATAATGGCATGCCATGCTCCTCAAGTGCCATCTAACGGCTGAATATGGTAGTGTTCAATATTTTCAGTCAGATATCTCAGCCAAAAATTGGTTTATAAATATAGGGAACAAAAATCCATAAATGCGTTGCTTCGGCGTATAAGTCGCAGGGCATGCAAATTATGCAAAAAAACTGAGACTTATAGGGCAAAAAAAAACCAAAACTATATTTTGGACACAACCGAATGCCAGATTATTGATGATATCTTAGCAAAACTGAGACGTCTCATATCTTACAAAACCCACTGGACAATATTTAATGTAGTTTTTAGCATTCAAAACATATTTTTATTGCTTTGGTACAGTTGAAGTTCAGAGGTGAGGGTGGCATTTAATATGAGACATACCAGACAGCCAGTTAGAGTGTCTCCATAAAGGTGGTGCTGCAGAAGGCAGGAGAGGCGAAGGAAGGGCAGACAGAACTGCTGGAGGCTGAACTCAATAGACTGTGGGGACCACACACTGGAGCTCAGCTAGAGAGAGAAACAGCAGTAACACCTGATCAATAACCAGCTAACAGCTTACTGATAATACAGTGATGCACATCTCCCCTGGAGATTAGTAGAGACATTAGATCATTGTCTTTCAGGGTAATGGCCGCTTTATACTTATAGAGAAAATGAAAAAGAGCAGCAGAGGAGAAGCTTGGAAGGAGGAAGGAGGTAATCAGTATGGCGGTAAAGCTCCAAAGGGCTAAACAGTCATCTTAGCATCTCACCATTGTCGATTCTTCAGAGTTCACCTTGTAAACACTCTTGTCCTTTGAGAGCTCGCTGATAACATGACTGAGCAGAGCTTCAGAAGACTTTTCAGAGTTTACAGTTTTCTGTGAGGGGGAAAAAAAAAAATCAAAAGTTTAAAAACATCATAACCGTTAAAAGACGTTAAAAGACCCTCTACTCCATTTAGGAATAGATAGAATAATAGCAAGTTTAAACTTAAATTAAGTCATATTTCCTCTGAAAAGATCCCCACAGATTTGAAACACTTCAGGATAGCTGCGAGACCTTCTCCCTGGTGGTGAATTCAACCCATAAAAATGTAGATGATAAACAGGAACTACACCTTCTTGTACCAGAGCCAGTAAACATTCACATCAACAGAACAAAGCCGAGAATGACCAGAAACGGGGATTATATAAGAGAGTAAAACTCTAAGAGCCAAACTATCCTTTCAAAAGACAAAGCACTGTGTATTTTTAGTGACAGTGAAGGGTGTCGTCTAACGCAGCAGTTCAATGTCTTTACAGGCGCTCAACAAACAGCTGAAGGCCACAACAACTTATGATGCATGTTGTTACATCAGTGTGTGGCATGCCCTAAATTAGGTACTGATCCTGTTTTTATACTGATTTATTAGTTTTTCTTTAATTTGTCACCAATCTGAAGCATTTTTCAGATACCTACATGATTGCATGTTTTTGCTTGATGGCTATATTTTTACTGGCTCAACACAAGACGGCCAGCAGAGCCTTTATAATTAAACCTTCAAAGATGATAAACACAAATCTAGATAACAAAATATAGACAAGTATCAAAATGCCATTAATAAAAATGAATACTGCTAATCAGAATTGTCCACTTGAGTCTCAATTGTCTATGAAAGAATTGCGCTGCTTTATACAATAGACAGGAAGTGGCCAATTCATTTGTGATAACCGATAAGCAGAAAAGACATTACTGGATGCGTGTTCCTCAGGTTTGAATGGGTGTTCCTTAGATTTGGCAGGTATTTTGTCCAGAGGAGAAGCTGAAAGCATTTATCAAACTGAAGGTGGCAGAATATAAAACAGCAGCCTTATCTCGTCCGCTGTCTGCCACAGATTTATATAGTCTTTCCTTCCTCTGGGCTCTGATCTTTATCAGAATGCCTCCTACTTAGTTTAATTACACCTACATCCAACCAAACATAAGAGCTGGTTTTGCATTTAAAACTCATATTACTGCAGCTTGTGAGCGCTGTTGTACACGAACGTTTCAAGAAAATATACACATTTCCATTTGGATATTAAACCCTGTAAAAGCAACATTTTCAGCTGTTTGTCTTCTATTGCCTCATTGGCAACCTAATTCAACTTTTCAGCAGTACAGCATTTTTACATTATGAAGATTAATGCTAGGGACTGTGGAAATCACTTCATTTAAACAGTTTAATAAACTCAGCAAAACAGTAATTTACACTGTGGTAGACTGTTTCTTTGGAGGTAATTAGCATAATCCACTGGTTTAGAAAGAGAAGTTGAGCATTTGAAGCATGACAAATTACTATTAAACAGGTAAAACCTTGTCAAAAACACAATTGATAAGAATAGCACAAGCAGATCTGGCTGTCCACTCTCAAGCTAATGTTATGGGATTTTATTGTTTTACCTTTTTAAGTGCTCCAGACGTGACCCAGGCCTGCCTTTCCTCTGAGCTGAGCTTGGTAGACAGTGTGGCCAAAGCCTGAGTGAACTGAAGGTTGTACAGCATCTTGACCACACAGGTAAAGTGCTCTACACAGAAACAGAGAGTGACGCCACAAACATGAGCCGGTTTGATAGTGTACAGATTGAAAAATGGCAACTATTTACAGAGACATATTTGGTTCCGGTGCTCAGAATAGTTTCAGTGAATAGGTAGCTGAGTGTATTAACTAGAAAATATAGCTGCAGACTTTTTCAAACCTTTGCAACATCTGCTCTGGTCATTTTGTCAACTGTCCCTACAGACACATTTTTACAATGAACAATGTGACAAGCTAGAAATGGAAGACGCAAGCCGAGGGTGCAGCCCTCCCATCATCTGTGTCATGCTTTCATGAGTCTCAAAGCCAAAACGGCAACAAGAGCACAGATGAGATGTGAAAAGGTTCTTCCTAGCACTCAGCTTGGATTAAAGCAGATAATGGAGCTGCTTCCTGAGAGGGACCCTGCTCTTGTAGAGTCATGATGCTGAAAGAGTAACTTTACCTTTGCGCAGAGGCTGTGGCATAGTTAGAACAAAGATAATGAGGAGGGATGGGACATCTCGAAACAGCATGGGGACCTCAGGTCTCTCTTCATCAAAGCCACTACAAAAAAAAAAAGTTTCCTCTTAATCATAGTAAGGCCAAACAGCTATGCTGACAACAAAATACAAGAAACGAATATAATATGAAATACCAAGAAAATGCAGAAAGCTGGGTTATTTCTTTAGCAAAAAATAAACCTATTTTACAAAAATGGTAAGTATTGATTGTAGTTTTAACTGTGGAAGGAAGTCAATCAGAGACACACCTAAACATGAAAATCATCACAACTAAAACATACCTGGACATGTTTTAGAGTAAGTGATCAATTAAATTGACTGTAAATTTCCTTCTCTCAGCTTGTCTGCATATCCGTATTGCACCAACGTACAGACAGATAAAGGACACCAATATGTAATGAAGGAAGGTTGCTCTGAGAAATGGATGTTTATTAATGTCTTATAAAATATCTGGTAAACCATAAACCGTAATTGATTCGTCTAATTTACTGCTTTGTTTTGTAATTGGATGCATCCTATTTTTTCCCCATTTTCTCCAGCGTTACTCTGCTTCGTGCAGTTTATTGGACCAATAAACAAAGAGGCCATTTTAAACGCAATGTTGCAAGCATTAATGCAGAAATGTGGCTTGATATGAAGAAGTTCTGATAACTGTTTAAAATATCTACAGGATCATAATATTGTTTATTAAACTAGATGTAAACTGTTGGAGAATATTCTTACTTTACTCCAAAAAGGAATGAAGCCGTGTTGTGTAAAATGCATTAAAAATGTTTTTTAAATGTCTGAGAGCAAAGGTTTTGAAGTGTTTTATCATTTTAAATTTTGGTAACAAACACACAGCTTGAAAGGACTTGTGTCTTGCATCCTTTAACTAAAATCCCTAATGCATTTGTAGTAACATATTCATATTGTGCACCATCTCCATTTACATGTTATTTTGTTCTGTTGATGTCCTGATCTCCATCTACCCTTGAAAGGCTTTGTGGGTTTTGAACAAGAGGAACTGCACTTAAAGAATAATACCTTCCATTACCAAACCACTCAGCGGTTAATTTGTCTGTGCACTGGAAGGAAACCTTAAAGGACAGAGCTTTCAACCCTGCGTGACATTTATAGCTGCACAGCGAAAGATGCTGCTGGATTCTTCTTTAGATTTTTAGATCAAATAAACTAAGGTCAGAGCAATGTTTTGCATGTATGTAAAAACATCTCTCTTTGTCCTATTTAACTCGACCACATCAGGTTGACTGCCTCAAGGCGTTAATGACACTGCTCCCTGCTGAAGCTTGAGCAAAGTATTTTTAAACAGCGAAAGGTCCAGTGAGAATAAAGAAGCTGCAAGCACTTTAATGGTAACAGGTGTAGAAGCTGTCCAACAGAAAACTAAAAAGGAGAAAAGGTTGCTTAAGCTTTTCCTCCTTTATTGAGTGCCTGTTTTTCATTACTCTGTTATAGTTCATTCCTGAAATCCCAACATATTGGAATATAAACATCATATTATTGAGTGAGTAGTTATTAAAAATATCCACAAAAAAAAGTCAAAGTGCCTGGAAGTAGGTATTTTTGGAGATTTTGTGAAATACAGATTTCTATTGAAGCAAGAAGCAGAGTTGGTTGCTGAGACATTGTGTTGGTGTGGTACTGTTGTTCTCAGTGCAGTGAATCTGACAGGCTCGTTTTGCTCTCCGTGGAGCGCCCCGTAATTTGCCAGATGCAGCAATTACTGGTATCTATGGAAACCATGCATGGTCCCTTTTACTGTTTTTAGCTTCTCTTTGTGTGGAGAAAAAGCTGTTGGGGGCAGGAGGAAATAGTGGCATTTAGAGAGGGAACAAAGTGGCACCCTGATTGTGTGTTTATGAGAGGAGAAAATAGTGAAAGACACTAGAAAGTGAACAGTTGCGAGCGATGTATGCACCGACTTATAGAATCATTGTTAGCAAAGGTGCTTAAGATAGAAAGTCACTCACTCCATCTCTCTATCTTTTGCAGCCTGAGTCAACTTCGTCCATGGGTTGTAGGCTGAATCAATGCTGTAAAGTCGCATGTGCATGGCCAACACGTGGAACAGCTGATCTGAAAGAGGTGAAAACAGCATATCATGTTAAGCCACAACGAGCTTCTCTAGGAACAAACGAGTGTTATTCACAGCCTCATTCGTGACAACAGCAAACAATGTAGGTGAACTGATGAAAGCACTTAAAGTGACTTCAGGCTGAAGCTTGGCTCAGATAAAACCAGGCCAGGTCAGATGGATTCATGACTGAGCCCGATTGCCTTGAGCAATTCTTTTGTAAAACTACACCTGTTCATTGTGAAACTAATGGGACATGAAGAGGGGCCGCTGGTGCACACACAATCCCACATTTATTCACCAACTTTTCTAATAAAAGAACACCTCAAAGTCTTAAATTGCCTTCACCTGGAGTTAAACTTCCTCAAGGGTAAAATTTGTGTCAACACAGCACAAGCACAAATAAATAAAAAAACGGAAAACTGACCATTTTATAATAGTATGCAACATATTTTCAGCTGGAGCAAAAAACATTGCAATTCTTTTAAACCCTTCATTTATTGATATGTGAATTTTCCACTTTTCTGTCCAAGACTTTATTGAAATAGATCAATCTTATTTGATTTTGCTTTGGTAAATTATAATGCTGTAATGCATCAAAAGTGTGTCTTAAAATCGGTTTTATTCTGACTTGTGAAAATACCTAGAGCAACACTGCCCTCCACAGGTACACATTTAAAACAGCAACGAAAAAGCAAAGCACTCATTTGTCCATCACTTCCCTCTTACCAGCAAATAACCACAGAATAGAACTAAAGGGAGGAAGAGATGTATATTGATTATAATGTCTTGCAGTTCAAAATATGCACATTTTGTGTTTATTACAAAACCAAAATGTTGTAAACTATTTCTTTAAGCCACACTGAAGTAAACTCACAATTTTCTTGTCTGAAAAAATAACCAAGAAGAGTCTCTTCTGCCACTGATAATATTTATAAATGATATTATAGGTTTGTAAAAAGATTCAGTGCATCAGTAATGTGATGGTAATGTATGTTATTTTTGCTTTCAGATTAATGTGAAGACTTTTATATTTAACCAGCAGATACTGTAAATATAAGCTCAGTTATGGCATGACTCGACATCTCAGCATCCATGAGCTAATTACTGTTCTTAGGATGTTTGGTGGAATTAAAAATAAAATCACTTCAGTCTAATTAACCTGTCCAAATAGGCCAACTGTTGTTTTTTCTGCTTCTAATGCTACAAAAGACCTATAACCATGGCCATCTTTATGTTTGTTTTCATTCATTTACTCATTAAGACATCAAATTGATGCCAGTTCTAACACTGTAGCTGTAGGTAAACTGTAGGTTTACTAAGTGCCTAAATATGAAACTCAGGTGGTCAAACAACACATAAAATTGTCATCATTACTTACAGCAAGTCTTCAGTTTAGAGGTCACCAAGATTAGCATTCATTCAACAGCCATATTTTCCCAAACTTCAATATTTGGAGTCAAAGAAGAAAAGCTATTTGAAAGCTGTTCTAGAATTGATATAACTTATACCAAGGGAACTGAAGCGAACTCGTTTCTGTAGTCACTTGTAACCTCATTGGTTTAACACACAAAGTGCCTTCAGGGAAGCAGTATTAAGAGCCCCGTGGGCTTTCACAGTTAGCAAACGTCTGCCTTTTCCTTTAAATCCATTTCCCTAAGAAGAATGAACACTAATGCACTGCAACTGAGTAAATTTGGCTGTCAGCACGGCTACACGGTTAATGTAGCTCAAAGATGGCAAACCTCCAGTGTGAAATCTCTTTCCAGCCACTCGAGGATGACAGACCATTTCACTGCAGCAACCACAACTTTGAAAAAAATAAAAATTCAATAAGAAATGCTGAGTATTATTCTTCAGAGTTAACTCGTTGAATTTGCTTTCTTTCTCAAATCTAATTTTATAATAAACGATTCATCTGAAAACCTCTGAATATTTTAATGTACTTTTCCCCACTAGTTAACAACTAATGTATACATTTTCCCTTGAGGTTCTGTATAGATCACAGCATCCATGTAGCCAAGCCTGCGTCACCTGCCACACAAACTAAAAACAGCACTTGAGCAATTTGTTTCATCTACATTCACTGTCCAGCATCTACCATCACAATTCATAGCTAATCAACTCAATGTTGATTCCCCCTCGCCCTCGGTAAAGAAGCTGAAGTATGGAAGTAAGTGTTTGAAAGCAAGTTGCACAGAAAAGCCAAAGAAAAAAACTGATAGTCATCTACAATCATTACATCAAGTCATAATTTTCCAAAAAGTGTAACATATTACAGTTTACTGAGACTTTCCTGCACTATACATGTTTGTTTTCTATCATACAAGAGAAAATACATGCATGAGTATTATTGAGGTAAAGGAACCGATCATTTGTCCACTAAACGGTTCAGTTATTAATGTTATTAGACTGTTGTGTTTGTCATGGTATTAAAGGAATGGAAAAAAGTGCAGCGAGTAATTACTCACTTAGACATGAGCGTTTAGCAGCTGCACTGGCTCCACCAGAGCACAAGTTTCCTCCTCGATGCACAAGTTCCAGCTCCAAGTTGGTCCTGTGGTGACAATATCATCAGCAATTACAAATTACAGCAGTAGAGTATCATCTCTGTATTTTTAAACAGAACGAAGGCAATATACAGCTTGGACTAGTTTATAAATATCAATTATTATAATGTGAATACAAATATTATAAAATATTAAGAATATTCTTTTTGATCTCATCACCATTTGTTAGCTTCCCCCCCCCCCCCCCCCCAACTCTGTGCTTATACTTTACTTAAATTCAGCTGAATTCCCAAATAAATGCTCTTCTCCTGCATGCTTCAATTTTTCCTCCATCAAACAGCACAAGTATGGATTTGCAATTATTCTTACAACTGTCACCAGAAGACGTTTGTTGGCAATCACTAGTGGAGCATATTAGAAAATCTGCAGCTCAGTGTGTAGCTCAACACAGTAGGAAAGCTGTGGTGATTAGTGTGTCGTCCACAAACGATTCATTCAAATGAACATGTCTTTTGAGTGAACAATAGGGCTGAAACAATTCCTCGAATAATACGAGTACCTCGATTACTAAAACTCCTCCAGGCAAATTTATCTGCCTTGAAGCTTCAATAAACAATAAATCAATTAATCGCATGATAAATGAAAATTATCGACCTCATTTTCATTTATCGGCTTTATTGTTTCTTCTCTTTCCTTCTCTCTTTGCTAAAAGCAGCCAAGCTGACAAGCTAAGCTACCAGCTAAACCAACAGGCCGACCTCTGGGAAAAATAAACCTCCGTCTTGTCAAAGCTCCAAAATTCACATTGAAACCTGTGCCTTTGTGTAAAAAGTTGTTGAAGCTGAGAACTTGTTTACTGATTATTTATTAAAAGCTTTGTGTGAAAAATGCTATGCTAAAGAGCTCAAACCACACCGAGCGTCCGCCATTTTGAGAACTGAAAACAAGGAAGGAGAGACAGCCCATGTCACGTAAAGGGGCCTCCCTCCCATTTTTCTTAGAGACACACTGCTCGCTCCCTCACTATCCATCTGTCGGTTCAAACCGTTTTATACTGCCATCTGGTTGTCAAAAAAGGTACTACATGCAAAATAAATCAACATTTCTTCTTAAATTTGACAATAATTGATAATTATTGTCAAATTTCAAACAATATTATCGTTTAACACAATCATTTCTCAGACAATTAATCGCCCAACAAAATTTGTTATCGTGACAGGCCTAGTCTAACCAGAAGGTTTTTGTGTTGCGCAACGCCACTGCTTCTGCTAACGCCAGGTGCTAAGTTTTGTAGCTATGGAGGGAAACTGAGAATGCTTAGAAGAAGAGCCCCGAAAACGACAAAAACTGTCAAAAGTTTGGGAACATTTTAGGCTAAACAGAAAAGACAACACAGCGGAATGCATCCACTGCAAAGCTGAACTGGTGTACCACAACAGCACGTCATCCATGTTGCAGCATCTGAAAACGCCCACGGCTGTATGCATCGAACTCATCCGCAGCTGCCAACAGGCAGGCATCGTTTATGTTCTCTTTGCAAAATACGTTAATCTAAATGTGTGATAATCTATTATAGATGTTAAATGAGGCATATTTTTTGCTAACGTTACAGCTACCGACTAATCATAGTGGCTACCTGGCAGGGTGTTATCTGTAAGTTGTGTGAGAAAAATATATATATGCAGGACTTAATGCAAGTTTGTTAATGATTAAAGCAGCAACAGATGGACGGCATGAGCTGAAACGCATTTATTTATTGCTGTACTTCCATCCTGACATAAATGTGATATTTAGGGTGAATATTTAATTAATATTAATTAATATAACTTCAAAATGTAAATGCATTTACACAAGTTAGTAGTATTGGTTTTCTTCTTGCTACTGCCATTTATAACTTTGAAAACTGGGATTAATCTGCATTTATTACTACCGTCATATTTGTTTTATAGCTAAGCAATCAAGACTAAATAATAATACAGTCTGCAGAACTCAATGTACAAACTCAAACTTTACATTCTCTATCTTACTTACTCAATTTCTAACATAAATATTCCATTCAGTTTTCCAATCCATAAAAATTATTTTACAGCATTTATTTTTCTGTGATGGTTAAGAATAATTCAGCGACAGAGGATTTTAATTAAAGCATCCTCAAACCTCACACATAAATAAAAGCTTAAAATGCATAAATTAAATACAACTGACACTAATGTTACTTTGATTGCAGCAGGGTCATCAGAAAGTGTAGATTACCCCTTAACAATATTAATCCAGGATGTTGGGTTGTGCAGCAGCTGAGTTCACAAACAGCATTTTAAACATGATCATCACACACATGCAGCCGCTGTCCGTGGTGGAAGATGAAGGCTTCCAGAAGATCATCTCCACCTTCAATCCAATAAGTCCTTCCTTCCAGATCCTACTTTGTAAATTTCATTCAGTTTTCCAATCCATAAAATTTTTATAGCATTTAGATTTTTCTGTGATGGTTAAAAAACAATTCAGTTTAAAATATTTTTAAAATGTTATTTTTCGTGTATTTGTATATTAGTCATTAAATGAGTAGCGAATAGTGAATAGCCCTGGTTGAGCACATCCTATATGATTGATGCTCACTCCTAGCTGTTCTCCAAAAGAGTGAAATGAAGTCAAGTCTGTTATCCAAATCATCCTCTTTGTGCTGAAATTGTTTTTTGATAGCTCATCGTAGCTTGTAGGACTTTAAAACCGTAAACATGACCCAAACTTATGTTTATAGCCTTCTCTATATTGTTAGATCTCTGACAGATTTCACATAAATCTGTCTGGATTGGTTGGTTACTCACAGTTGTTCAATTTAATCTGGGTGAGATCAGCACTGACAGACACCTTCATTCAATGATGTCTCAGGCTTAGACCACACCATCCTACTCAAAGATGTTGCTCACAGAAAATCTAAATACAGTATTGTTGAAAAGTTGGTATATCTGACAGTCATTTTTTTATTCAACCTTTATTTATACCGGCTAGCCTCACTGAGCCACAAGAACTCATTTACAAGAAGGACCTGGTCCAGACAGAACATATAAAATACATAGAACAATAACAGCGAACAATGACAACAATAAACTACAGTAAAAATAAATACAGTTATAATGACTGGTTAAGGAAAATGGAAGCACTTAAAGAAGAATTTTTCAAGAAAACAATTCCCATCACTGATGCTATAGTCCTAAAGAACAACTGCAAAGTGTGACTGTACGCAAAAGATGTATAATTAGTTGTCAGATTCAGTTTTTGGTTATGATGCCTGCCATTTTTAGTAATTTGATTAAAAAGATGACAGACTCAGTCTCGTCAAACCATTTGTTATTTATTGGGCTTGTTCTGTAGTACTAATTCAATTAAAAATTAAAAGATGACAGTTTTTCAGGGACAATTTTTCACAAGCAAAAAAATAATTTACAACCATAAGTTATGCATAATCTCCAATGTGTATTTCCCGTGAATAAGAGAAACAAGTATTTCTTGTCTGAATTTGAACTCTAATTAAAATATGTGAGAAGATAAAAATAAACCTTCTAAGCACACAAACACAAAGATGGTAAAACAGATAAGCATTGCTAAAAGTGGGAATGATCTGGGCCTGTTTTTTTTTTTTTTTTACCTCTGGCCATTTTTTCCAATGGGCCAGAACGGAGGGGGCCAATCCCTGAGTTTTCAGGAAGAAAAAGCAATTTCACATAGATAATGCAACCATGGTGAATGAAGCTCCATCTGGCTTTTGCTGATAAGAGCACCCATGTGACAGAAGAATTTTCCACTCCTCGGGCAATTTGCGCTGTTCATTGAACTCCAGAGAGCCAACAGGCATCCAGACGCTCTTAAGGGATCATTCTGTTTAGGGCGGAGGGCTGAAAGAACTACAGCAGTGGGTGGGCAAAAGGTCTGAATGATTACACCACAAAAATGGCAAAGTTTTAAAGGAGATGATGTGAATTAAGAGACCTCAAGGTGATTGGGGGGGCGGAGGGGGGTTGTCATTTCTCTTACCTGGGACCAGTATGCTAACAAGATAGAAACACTTCAGAAAGGTGTGTGTAATTTTTTTTGCTTTGGGATCTATTTGGTGTTATGAGGCTGAAGAGTGACATTCAATTAAAATGGAAAAATCTTAAAGCATAGTTGCAGTTTATCCTCCTTTTGTGGAAGCTGCTCATTGAAATTTATCCATCACCATGATGGCAAGACATTGCTTTTTTTTTATTTCCAATTTGCTTTAATCAAATATACATCTAAATCGGTAAAAATAAAAAAATAAAGAGGCCTAAATAACAAATAATAGAAGAAATGTATAAACAACCATCCAGCATAAATGCAAATAGTAAGTTCAGGCAAGTTTTCTAAGTAATATCAAGAAAGTTCATTTGAAAGACAATGAGAGATAAAGACCGAATGCTGAATCAGATTTTAGAAGTCAAGGCAAACCAAGGTTTAGTAACATTTTTTTTTTTGTTGCATACTTCCATTTCATGACACAATGCAGCGCGGCTTTAACTGACATGGGTCAGGTGCAAACTGTGTAAAACTTGGCCTGGTCCTAATGTGCTGCTGACCTGGGAAGAACGAATTGTTTGTGTGTTAATGTGCACGGACACAAGACACACCACCTCCTGTATTGTGTAAATTGTTATATTGTGGACATCTGGCAGACACTTGTTTAAACTGAGTTTTTACTTATACTGATTTATAATCAAGAAGTTTGTGACAGGCAGAAAGTGATTAAATGTAAATTCTAGTAAAAAGATGCTAAATTTCATTTAGATGCAAAAAGTGATCTGCATGATATGGTCTGTACATTTATTTTAATTATATGCACAAACACAAATAATACATTTAAATTCCACTTGAAAAACAACAACAAAAAGAGGACAATGCCGCCTTTTTAAATGTTTTCTATAACGTAGATCTGGCAGACATCTACGACAGACATCTTCCCGTTTTTAAATCTTGTCTGAAGACACTTTTTTTTTATCTTTGGCTTTTAACTCAGCTTGAAATGTTGGTTTTACTGTTTTAAAGTTGTTTGTTTTACTGTTTGTTGTTTTATGATTTGGTAGTTGATGGTATCTGTTGATTTTTAAAAAAAATCCAAATCTTAGTTAAAATCAGGTCTCTATTGTAAAAGAGTCCCAGAGGCTCAATGGGATTAACCTGTATAAATAAAGGTTAAATGAATTTTAGTTTTAGTGGTTTGTGTTAGTGTACAGCACTTTGGCCAATGGAGTTGTTTGTAAAGTGCTTTATAAATAAAGTTTTATTGTATTAATAGTTGATTTTTAAAGTTCAGAAGTTGTGTCAACACAGAAAATAGGAAGAAGGCATTTATTCCTCTGTTCTTGACAGTTACTAGTGTGTGATGGTCTAATAATGCAGTGTAAAAGGGCCTTGCTCAAGGGCTCAGGGTGGGGCAAATGAGGGTGGAGGCAAATGTGGGTGCTTCACCTTCTACACCCACATTTTGATGTCACGGTCTGCAGGGGGATTTGAAACGACAATCGTACGATGACAGGTTGACTTCTCTAGCCTCGGCACCACTACGCTCCCCCTTTCTAAAATCTCTAAATATTGAGCATAAAATCTGCAACAAATGCCAACATGTATCAACAAACTTTTACGGTTTGTTACTACACACAAAACTGATGGTTGAATTATAGCTCAATAAAAGACTTTAATTTTGCCATATATCCCTTTTCTTTTTACAACAAAAGCCTAAATCTGTGCAGATACTCGGACTCCATTCTCTTCAGACAGCGAGTGAATCTGCTCTTTCCTGCAGAGCGCCACGTCCTCAGACACCGACGTGACAACTTTCAGCGCACACCAAACGGCAACAGGTTGTAAAACAAAGATCCGTTTCACGAAGACGAAGAATTTACAGCGAAATACCACTCTCGGAAGATTTGGTTCTAAAAATGAAAACTGAAATCGTAACTGCTTGAACTAAACCGAAGAGTTAGTCTGGTGTTAATCACAGACTTTGCACCCCTAACGCAGAAAACCCAGAGCTGTCAGATGTTCCAGATGCATCACACTGTCAAGAAAAGCAACTAACGTAACGAGTTTGTCTTAGTAAAACCCTGCGGAAGCTGTTACACCCAACATCTCAGTGAAGCTGCCTTAAATATGACATGGAGACACTCAATAAATCAGTACCAGCTTAAACGAAAATGACCATTTGTCAATATACAATTACAGCCCGATGATCCCTGCAAACACCTCTAAAAGTAAAGTGTAAATTGTAAACCATGCGTTCGGACCCATTTTGCAACATTTACAGAGAATCTGCTCTTACCTTGCCACTGAATACATGAAGAGGAAGTCGTTGTCAGGGGAACCTGGGTTCTTGCCATAGTCCATGTATTTTTTCTGAGTGGTGTTCTTGATGTCTTTAATTAACAACTCCATCTCTTTACTGAAGTTGGACTCGGTCTTTGAAAACAAGAAAAAATATTATGCAATTTTGATGTTTTCAATCCAGAATAGACATTAAAAATTGACTTAAATTATAAATGTTTTGCTATAAAACTTACTGGGAATAGGCCAAGTTTCTCCTGCAGGTCTTCCACCTCTTTTACAAGTACGGTCGTCATTTTGTTTGTGGGTGAGTGCCATGCACCGGCTTCTGTGCCACGGCCAGGGCGACATGGAAGGACACTATTGGCAAACTGTCGGCACAGTGGGCATGTAAACTCACCTTTGTCAACAGAGAAACCCTGGAGGACCTGGTCATTCTGGGGAAAAGATGCCATTTTTAGTTTAATGTCAAAACTGATTTAAACTGATTCAATAACAACTAGAACGATTATGGTAAATGTTTTGAGGTTTAGGACTAATGATTAAAATGGCTATAAAATAGTGTCTACACAAGTAAAAACATATTTATTTCCAAAATTTAAATAATGCCACTAACTTAGTCATATTTCGATTTATTTAAAAAGGTAAAAAAGATGAGACTTGTAATGAGAAAAAGCTAAAAATGTAAATGCAAAATCATTTTTTTAATTAATATGCATGTCAGTATTGAGTTAAATGATTAATTTATAACAATCACTAAAATAATCTCTTCTTAGGGCCAGGGCATTTCTTACCCTCAGAGACTCCATGTAGGACTTATGGCAATCTATATGCAAAGTGTGTCCACAGGTTTGGACATAGACGCCTCCATCCCAGCCGATTGACAAAGACTGCAGACAAGAGCTCTGCAGAATTCACAAAGGAGAAATCACATACTCTAGAAAAAAAAACAAATAGATCCTAAAGCATTTACCCTACAGAACATTTGAGTTATTTTGTGAAGTTGAAAACAAGCAGCTTTTTTCTACGCCATGGAGTAAATTATATTAAAAATATAAATAAAAATAGAAGTGGAGTCTCATGAATCTCTGACAATGTTTTCCGCGTGTAACATACGTCTTTGAAGAACTGCTGCATCAGCGTGAGCCTGACATCGTTAGTGGCGCCGCATGTGTCTGCAGGGTATATATGCTCTTCGTCACTCGTTGGTAGATTTTTAGGCTGTTCATTTTTACAGCGGTGTCCAAGAACTGAAAAATAAAAACAACCAAGAAATGAATGAAATTCGACAAATACAATAAAAACCAAAGCACTTTGAAGCTTGTACAGTTTAAAAGTGTTTAATAATTTCTGTTTCAATTAGTTCTTTGCAGATTTAAGAAAAGTGTCATAATACACAGTCGTTCAGTGTCACAGCCTTTTGTTGAGTTTGGAGGGTATGTGGGATGGACTTTTGGACTGAGGGTACAGCCCTACATCCTGAAGACACAGCCTCTAGCTCCAAAAAGTACATGGCAGCAACCCCACAAACAAGGGCAGTTTGACTTCAGATTTGAAGGAAGCAGAGACACGGCCATCTTTTTCTAAAGCCAACGGAATCAACACATTTTTTCCAATTATAAATATGTTCTCTTTATCATTGATTTAAGTGGTGATCCATCTTTTCCCAAGTTATAAGCACCAAATCTTTCAGCTTTTCCCTCTTCAGGGATCACCACAGGGAGTCATCCTCCTCCATCTCCATGTCCTCTCTAACTGCATCCATATATCTCCTCTGTCTTTTTCCTGGCAGCTGCATTTCTAACATCCTTCTACCAATAAACCCACTGTCCCTCCTCTGGACATGTCCAAACCATCTCAGTCTGGTCTCTCTAACTTTATCTCCCAGTTGTTCAACCTGCGCTGTACCTCTGATGAGCTGATTCCTAATCTTAGCCATTCTTGTCACTCCTAAGGAGAACCTCAACATCTTCATTTCTGCCACTTCCAGTTCTTTCTCCGGTCTTTTTTGTCCATCTCTCTGTCTCCAGACCATACAACACAGATGGTCTCACCACTGTCTTGTAAACTTTGTAACCCTTTTATCGCAAATCACTCCTGAAATTATAAGCACCAGTGCTAATAATAAATAATAAAAAGTAAGTCTAGAGTTTTGAGATTTTTGCTTGATAACAATTAAAAGCAATTGTGTTTGAAAGGTGACAGTACCTGAGGATGCCTGGAGGAGAACCACCAAACCTGTGGGTCGGTCCTCAGTGGAGGGTCCACTCTGTCCACAGATCACACAGTCATACAGAACCTCAGACTCCATCACTTCAGTTGATCCTAAATCCATGGCTGCCTCAGTCTCTGGAGATTCTGACAAACAAATAAAGTATATAATGCCTATTTAGACAAGTATTTTACACCTTTTTATTAATGCTATAAACATATAACTAGTAACTAACAACAATGGCTATAAATCATGTTCAAATATCTAAATATCTAATTATTTCACCCCTGTAAGTGTTAAAAAACATCCAACACTGCCACAAGAGTACGGCACATGGCACATTATACGCCTGCTGACAAACCACTATACAGGTCCTTCTCAAAAAATTAGCATATTGTGATAAAGGTCATTATTTTCCATAATGTAATGATAAAAAAGAAACTTTCATATATTTCAGATTCATTGCACACCAACTGAAATATTTCAGGTCTTTAATTGTTTTAATACTGATGATTATGGCATACAGCTCATGAAAACCCAAAATGCCTGTCCCAAAAAATTAGCATATCAGGAAAAGTTTCTCTAAACAAGCTATTAACCTAACCATCTGAATCAACGACGTAACTCTAAACACCTGCAAAAGATTCCTGAGGCTTTTAAAAACTCCCAGCCTTGTTCATTACTCAAAACCGCAATCATGGGTAAGACTGCCGACCTGACTGCTGTCCAGAAGGCCATCATTGACACCCTCAAGCAAGAGGGTAAGACACAGAAAGAAATTGCTGAACGAATAGGCTGTTCCCAGAGTGCTGTATCAAGGCACCTCAGTGGGAAGTCTGTGGGAAGGGAAAAGTGTGGCAGAAAACGCTGCACAACGAGAAGAGGTGACCGGACCCTGAGGAGGATTGTGGAGAAGGACCGATTCCGGACCTTGGGGGACCTGCGGAAGCAGTGGACTGAGTCTGGAGTAGAAACATCCAGAGCCACCGTGCACAGGCGTGTGCAGGAAATGGGCTACAGGTGCCACATTCCCCAGGTCAAGCCACTTTTGAACAAGAGTGCGTCAGAAGCATCTCGCCTGGGACTGCTGCTGAGTGGTCCAAAGTTATGTTCTCTGATTACAGTAAATTTTGCATTTCCTTTGGAAATCAAGGTCCCAGAGTCTGGAGGAAGAGAGGAGAGACAGAATTCACATTGCTTGAGGTCCAGTGTCAAGTTTCCACAGTCACTGGGGTGTCATGTCATCTGCTGGTGTTGGTCCACTGTGTTTTATCAAGGGCAGGGTCAATGCAGCTAGCTATCAGGAGATTTTGGAGCACTTCATGCTTCCATCTGCTGAAAAGCTTTATGGAGATGAAGATTTCATTTTTCAGCACGACCTGGCACCTGCTCACAGTGCCAAAACCACTGGTAAATGGTTTACTGACCATGGTATTACTGTGCTCAATTGGCCTGCCAACTCTCCTGACCTGAACCCCATAGAGAACCTGTGGGATATTGTGAAGAGAAAGTTGAGAGACACAAGACCCAACACTCTGGATGAGCTTAAGGCCGCTATCAAAGCATCCTGGGCCTCCATAACACCTCAGCAGTGCCACAGACTGATTGCCTCCATGCCACGCCACATTGAAGCAGTCATTCATGCAAAAGGATTCCTGATCAAGTATTGAGTGCATAACTGAACATGATTATTTGAAGGTTGGCGTTTTTTGTATTAAAAACACTTGTCTTTCATTGGTGGGATGAAATATGCTAATTTTTTGGGACAGGCATTTTGGGTTTTCATGAGCTGTATGCCATAATCATCAGTATTAAAACAATTAAAGACCTGAAATATTTCAGTTGGTGTGCAATGAATCTGAAATATATGAAAGTTTCATTTTTATCATTACATTATGGAAAATAATTACCTTTATCACAATATGCTAATTTTTTTAGAAGGACCTGTACAGCAAGCTGCAGCAGTGGCCCGGACAAGGAAAGACCTTGTAAAACATTTAACCTTGATTTGTGACCTTGACTTTAAAGCAGATGTGATGAAATGTGCATGCCACACTTCATGGGCGTATATAAACCAAGATCACTTAAAGGTGACATCTGAAAGACTTGATTTTAAGTAGATAAGAAACTGAAGAAAATCTTGTGAATTTCACATTTTAGAAGAAAAACAATTTAATAGTATGAGATTCTGATCTGTTTAAAAAAAAATAATCATTGTAACATCTGACTGAGCTTTTTCATAGGAGAAAACAAGACCAAATGTGATCAGACACACACAACAAACAGTGGAGTTTCTGCACGTGTGTGTTGCCGATTGCAGCGTGCATGGTTCTCTGCACATACCTGTGTTTAGGGGAGCTCATAGAAAACGACTGAAATCTTGTTTAAATAAGGCCGAGATGAACAATCATTGTATTAACAGAAATGCGTAGTTGTTTTCAACCAGCTTGACATGACTGTCAACAAGGAAGAGGGCCGGCAATGGAGGAGGGGTCGTTCCAAAGAGACCAACTTAGCACCAACAAAACTGGTTTGTTCCACTTTGGAGTAAGCTGCTGGGGGAAGAATCAGTTTTGTGCTGTGTGTTTCCTTGACTGATGAAGCCTTCTGGATCGAAGGCGAAACGTTTCAACACAAAAAAAGAAACTGTCCAGATGACCTGACTGAAAAATGTTGGATTGTATACCTGGATTATTGAGCATGGACTTTGTTGAAGATGAGATCGTTTACATCTAAAGCTTTTGTTGCCTAATCTGAAATTAAAAACTTGGATTAAATCAGCTCCACGCTAATCAAACACAAGTACCGCTTCTTTCCACACTAGCATGATGCTACAATAAACTGGTTAGATGCATCAAGATGGTATCCTCTTATTAAAACTAAAAAAAAAAAGCCATAACTTGTTCTGATATTTTGAAATCATGTGCCGGTACATTTATCAGAGATTAGGTTGTTTTTGTTTACCCAAGCTGTAAAGTAGATTTATAATAAAGAATATCAAATTTAAAAACACCTTGAATAGAAAACTTTCCTCACTGCTCATCTCAGACTAACTGAACTTTTGTATCATCACAAAATACAAATAACTCTCTCGCTGCTAGTCCTCTTATCTCCTTGATTGGCATAGCAATAGAAATTAATTACCGATTTGAAATTAGCTTTAAATGTTAAGGATTGTGTTCAATTTGAGCAGTAAACACTGTGCAGAAATGTCAAGTTGTGTTAGAAATTGATTTATTGCTTTTTGAGGGAAAGTGTTCTCAGGAGGTCAGTTTGTTCCCGGGGAAATGAAAACTGTTTGAATTAGATGTCAACGCTACAACTTTAGCCTCAGGCCATCCAAATACACAGCTCCAACACGGGGTTCTCACACGCACGCATACAAAGGAAGGCAGCAACACAGTCTTTTAGACTTTAGTCTACTTGAATATCTTCTATATATTACAGCAGATTGATGAAGCTGGCAAATGTAACTGATTTGTAGTGTGGTCTCTTTAATACATGCAATTTAAATTCTTTATTATTTTTTTTTAATAAGTCGCAGTGCCCAAAACAGAATTCATTTTCACATTTTGGCGTGCTTTTTGATTTTGAGACAAGAACATTCAAAAATATCTAATAACCCAAAAAGTAAAGTCAAACCACAACATCATAGAAAAATATTAGGGCAGATAAAATCCTCGTATGATGTCACGTTTTGGTCTGGCTTCAAATAAAATGAGGCAAATCCAGCTGCGGTTTTAGGTGTAGCTACTAAACTTAAAGCACAGCAGTAACTGCACACAAAGTTGTCGCAGAACAGACCTATAACAAAAGTCCTACTGAGCACAGTGGCTATTACTCATTTGCTAACCATGCTGTGTCAGAATGGTCCTTGGGAGTCCAGACCACTATTAGAGCTTTGATCTCATGTGACCTTACTGCCAACAGGCACAAATACTCCCATAAGAACTCCCTCCACTCAATTTCTGCTAAAAGCCCTCCAGAGACCACATGCACAGACTCGGTCCACTTTTACCTTGCACTAGTAAAAAAAAGAGGGATGAAAGGTTTATTTTAGCTAAAGGCACTTTTATTAAACCAGCAATATGTCCTTCAAACAAAAAGTAAAATTTTTACTTTGTACATTAGTGTCCATAGTAAAATTGATGTTTTTAAAACAATTCTTGTTTAAAACCTAAATTTTAAACAAATTAAACTAAAAATTGTCTACCAGGGGTTCCTCTTCCCCCACTGCCTTTATGAAAGCCCTATTTCATACTTTATTGTGTTAACAATCTATAAACAAAGTGCCTAAATCTCTTGCAAAATGTTTGTCGGGTTTCATTTTAAAATTAAACTTCAGCTCAAATATGAAATAAATTGTGACGACCCAATAAAATGCAGAATTTTCGGACATACTATGTTATAATTTGTCTTGGCATCCAGCTGAGGTCACTCTAAAATTAACATCAATTTGACTGAAGATAAGCTCTACTGACCCATCTACAAACTGTTATGCTTCGTTTGCTACAGAACTTGGGTGCTGTCCACTTAGTTTTTTTAATCCAAAAAAACACTACTACAGCTATTAATGCTAAATGATTAATATTAATAACAATGAGCACTGTGCAGTTTGTGACTGTGCAGACCTTGTAAGCCATTTAGATTAGAATCAAATTAGGCATCGAGCGCATGTCCTCCACAACACCTACATCTTTGCATTAGATTGCATTAAAGGTCATTTGATGCAGCAAAAAAAACCTTTTAATCCATAAATCTATGAAATTGGGATAGGTTGACTTACCAACATCCATGGCGGTTTCCATGAAACTCTTCTGTCTTGATGCAAATTCAGCTAGCAGTTTCTGCTGCCTCTCTCGAGCTCTCTGACGTCTGAAGTGAATAAATAAATGTGAATCAATTTTGTTTTATGATTTTTGCCCAACAAGTCAGTTTTTTGCAAAACTACATTAATATCAACTGTGTAAATAAAAGCTAAGAAAACTGAATGATTTACACGACAAAACTAGACTGGGTTAAAAACATTAAATATGTTTTATAAAAAATATATAAGAAATCCTTTGATAGCTCGTAGCAAATACTCACTTTAACATTTATAAATGGTCAAAACCTTTACAAATGCCCATTACAGTATTAAAAAATATTCCAGGTTTATTGTGCAGGGAATCTTTCCCCTGATCACTCAAAACATGTGTAATTTGTTGCCCATTTAGTACCAGATTCTGCCACATGCACAATGTTTTTTGGTTTTAGTAAAGATGCATAGTCAAAAAAATGGAATTGTTTATCCAGATTTGATAAATACAGTGGATCAAGCCTTTGTCGATGATCACAAAGAAGACCGACAGTAAATAAAGTTCTTATTAAAAAGGCATAAACAAATGCTGACAAGAGCATCGTATCAATAATTTCCCACAGAATGCTTGGGATGCCAACAACTTGAAAAATAGGCCTCTAGATTTTCAGCATCACTGACTGCATTGCTGTCTGATGGTTGCCATGGAAACAAGTCTAGTCTGTGAGAAAAGGCGAGGTCTACCTCTAGTATTCTCAGTGGGATAAAACGAGCACCAAAAGCAGATTGTTAGAGATTTGTTAAAACCCATTCATGGTTAGTTGAGAAATTCTGACAAAGATTAGTGGCTGACAGAGTTGAAAAGCTGGAATTTGCAGAAGTTTTATATTTCAAACAGCCACTGAACTCAATTTTATAACAGGGCACATGATAAATGAGTGAAACATGTTTTTTTTATATACAGGTTGCATCATGCAGGTTATTATAGAAGTCAATAATGTTCTGTTTAACTCACTTTATCAGTACCACATATATAAAAACAAAAAAAAAACAATTTGAGATTCAATATACAAGCACTGTCCTTGACCGTAGGACATAAAAGTTGCATTCACATCATCTGCTACGATGTGTGTTGTGTAATAAAGTAGACTATTAATGGTAAATATAAACTCTATTTTTAGATAACCATTTGTGCATAATATAAACGAACAACTCACACAAACAGATGAGCAATATTTGTATTAAGAAAAATATGAACCTGAGATCTAAAATGAAAAATGATATTTAATATAGAAAAACTATACAGGGTTGTATTACCTTTCTTCTTTGTCCATGGCTTTCTTGTCTGTGGGACTGTTCTTCTTTGGTGGCACTGGCGGACAAACCTTTCCACAAATGTCCTGGATGCTACGCTTGATTTGGCAGCTGCGTGTAGCCGCCTTGGTAAGGATGCGCTCAATGGCTGTAATGCCATCTCCATGAGCGTGACGACTCATGTCCATGTCTTCCAGCCATGACGCCGACAGAGAGTTCTGCTTGGAGGACATCTTCTGGTGGAGCTTGATGAGGAGGGACAGCATGCTTTCTCGGATCTCCAGGATCTCGGTAACCAGCTGGGGGGTTGCGCCTGGTGAACCCCAGCGTGTTGAAGAGCTCTTGGGCCTGACAACTTGAGTGGCCTCGGTGCTGCTCCGGTTGATTATCTCCTGAAACTTCCTCCTGCGCTCCGCCACGAGGCTGAACATCTGAGCTTCTCTTAGGTTCTAAAACGAAATTTAAATATATGCATGTATTTAAATAAAATGTAAATTTGATGAACATGATTTATTTAACACACACTTCAGTGTTTGTATCAGACTCCTTAATAAACCCAGAATATACGGATTTGTTCCTTAAAATTGCAACACTCACAAGAAAAAATGCATCACCTTCTACTTGATAAATATCAAGAACCTGATAAATATCAAGAACCTGATAAATATCAAGCAAAACTATCACACCAAACCAGCATAAAACAGAAAGAAGAACTTCTTGTTACAAACAGCATCCAATTTAACTCGCATCAATGTGCTTTTGTAGATTAGTATTTAGGTATAAACACCTCTTCCTGACATGACAACACTATTAGTCAGATAGATTTTGATGGATTGGTGAAACGTCTCATTACCATATCCAGACAGAAACAATACAAGTCAAATCAAAAGTCCATTATAAAATTTCAGCTGACATTTCACCTCTGCTGATAGCACTTTTGACAACCATATTACTGAAGAAAAATCAAATCACACTGATGTAAAACACACAAGCCCTCTGAAGGATTGGCACGACCCAGCCTGACAGCAAAGGACCTGAGCTGCGCTGTTAAATAAACATACATCATATAGTCCAGTCAAGGCACCATCAATCATTCTGACATGCGGTTAAAAATCGTTTACACCAAACCTGCACTGCACAGGTAATTAGTTTCAGCAGTCAACAGAGAGGAGGACTGCTGAAGCATAGCAATATATTCACGCCTCAACACACCAAGGCAGAGCTCGTTTGAAAAAACACGAAACAAAACACATGCAAAGAAACTCTTTCGTAACAAAAATTAAATGAGCAATCACAGCAGCTGCTGCTACTGTCGTTACAGTCATCGGATTGTTTTATGGGAAAAGGTGCAGACAGCTACCTCTCTCCAATTTCCAGAAAGACGCCTGGAGTTCTGCAGAGGGAGTACAGCAACATAAGTGGATAAAACAAAAGATACTTGACTAAGACACCAGGCTCCAGAAATAAAAACAACTATGTGCATGTGACAGTACAAATCAAAAAAGGTCTCTTACATTATTGTGTTTTAGCTGCGGTTGGGAGTTAGAATAAAAACAAACATCAGTCATCTTCAGTCAATCTTTCAAAGGCCTTTTAAATTACTAATTTATTCTCTCATTTCAATAACTATTGGGTAACGAACAAGTAAAAACCAATAAAACTAGATTTTTAGCTTCCCAGACCTTAATTTACACAACAGTCTATTCAAAAGTTTAATGTATTCATCGATTAATTCTGTTTGTTTTCTTGAACACAGATCCATCAAAATCCTCAGTTTTCTTGCAGAAAATATATCTGTGTGTGCAACTTCATACTTCCTGTTGCTACTCTAACTAGTTTTATAAAAATCAAAAGTTACAGCACTCTGGTATAGAAATGCGTAATGTATACGGTACACAGTAGAAAAGATAGACATTCAGCCTACAATAGAGATCTGTCTACCGGCTAACAGCAGTAATGCTGTGTCTGATGGAAAATCAGAGTTGTCAGATTTAATCTTTACTTTTTATGAGTTGAAAACAGTGCGTGTTAAAGTGTTTTCTTAGAGAGCTAAGTAGCGAAGCTACAAGCTAACTAGGGCCGGCTTGCCGTAGTGTTGCCGTATTTGGACGCATGCGCAAAACGCTGTGTTCCGTCGAAAGTTAAAGTAAGCGTTGGTCAGCTTTAGAGAAACCTGCTCTCATCTGTGAACAGAACGCTGTGTTGTGTGATTTTACTGCGAGACCCTCTCTGGTCAAAGCCACAGAGGAAACAGATATCCATTTAGTGTCAGCTCTCCTTAAAGCGGAAGGAGACGCCCACTAGAGGGTTGGAGGGTGAAGTGTTTCAGTGTAAAATGCTGCTCTGTTGCTGTTCATTTCTTAAGTGAGAATACTGGAAACTGTTAAGAGTTAACAACATATTCTTTAGTTTGAAACATATGGCTAAAACTACATTTGATATATTTTGCACTGTTTTGCACTACAAGAAAGAAGCCTAATACTTGATTTGTTTATTATTTAAAAACTCTCTGGACTTAGTAGTGGAATTTTCTTAATTGAGATTATTTTGTGGTATAGCAGTTTTCAAAATAAATGATGGCAAAAGGACAACCTATGCTTTTTTTTCCCATTCCTATTGGAAGTTTTATACCAAAAACATATTGTGATATATATCGTTATCGCCACCCTTCACAATACATATCGTGATATGTATTATATGCTATATCGCACATCTCTAGTCTGGTACAAAGTGACCAGAAATAATCCGTCAGAATTCAACAAGCATGTTAATGCTGAAATATAGACAGCATTGCTGTAGGAGTTTTACACTGCACCAATAAAAAACAGGTCAGAGCAGCCATCCACTCAGGGAGTGAACATATCCATAATGTATTTTATTACAGATTTGTTGGGTTGATATAATTGGTTTATATATGGTTTATATAATTTCCCTCTGGGATTAATAAAAGTATTTTTGAATTGAATTGAAATGAAAAATTTCACTGTGAACAGCTAAACAAAACCAGCCTAGTCTGCTTTTGTCTGCACCTTGTAACCAAACTACTAACTCCCTCTAGCTGCACCTAGGAGGGTTTTTTGTGCATGTTTTTGCACTTTACTCATTATACATGTATAACCAAGTTCAAAAACACAAAACTTTGGTTTAAACCTGGCTACACCAAGACAATATCTATAACAAGAAGCAAGCATTATGTTTGAAATTAGATTCATGTTGGCTCAAATATAAACCCAAAAAATACTTAAGTATTGTGTTTCAGTCTATTATTTTAACAGATACAAATACAATCTGGCTGATAACGAGTAGCACTTATGCCCCACTGGAGTCAGTTTGTGGCCCCCAAACAATTCAAGTTCATAACCACTGGCTGCTGGTAGCTCAAACAAATAATGTTTTGCTTTTACACACTGCTATGGAGCACAGTCTGGGTAGATACAGTCAATAAAAAAAAAAAACGAATATAAAGAGACTACCAGTTTATTACAGAGACACTGAGGTTAGTGGGGCCACAATAATGTTCAGTAGAGCCGTCACTTGCCTGGCCATAGGAAGAGGCTTCAGTGCTTGTGCTGGGGGGAGGCTCCCTCTTCACCTCAGGAGCTGTCTCAGGAACTCGAACCCTCACAAAGTTGATGACATGATGCAGATTGGAGAGAAGATTGGTGCCTGGGAACCAGCTGTCATGACAGTGCTCCTCAATGCAGGGCTCCTGGAAGCAGAAAAATACGACGCACACAAAAGACATTTTAGACATCATGAGAGAAGTGTTGTATATTATTGTTAAAAGTGCTAAGCACCATGTTCAGTTTGTTTTCAAGTCAATATTTCCCTTCTATCTTGCTTTGTAAATCCGTGCAATATGTTCAATATCAGATTTCAAATTTTTAACATATTTTGTGGTTGTGCCAAAGCTCACCTCCTCCTCCTTGGTGTCCTGAACCTGGTTGTCCAAGCCCAACTCAATCAGGTACAGCACCATGCACAGCACGTGTTCAGACATGTTCTGGTGATCCATCCATATCTAAAAACAAACAACTAAGAAGTTACACAGAAGCAAAAAAGGACCATTTATCCAGTGATAATGTCATTGTCCTGAGTAAACGGCAAAATCATCTGCTTATAAATAAACTGCTACTCTACTCCCTTCTTCACTAAGTGCTTGTGAATTTATAATTTATTAACCGTTTACTTTATTAATATTCTGTAATGTGTCAGCACCAATTAATCAAAAGTAATACTATTTGTACACTCGGTGAATGTGTCAATGTGTAAACTGAGGCAAAAGCAATGCTGCAAGAAAATACTGCACATACACTAACCTTGTAAAGGAGAGTAAATATCACTATGTGCAGAGTCTTGCAGTGCAACAGGCGAATTAGTCCTTTGTAACAGGGATGCAGGGGAGTCCTCTCTTTGTAAGGCGGCCATGGGTTGCCAGTATGAATTCCATACTGCTTCAAACTAGATATCATTTATCACAAGGAGAAAAAAAAAATCAGAAGCACATATTGCAAAGATCGTATCAACCATAAATTCTAAATTACTCAAAAGGTTCAAGCCTATACAACAGAACAGCTGACATTCTTAAGAGATGATTGGATCATTAGAAGAAAAACCAGGCCAGTCCGACATGCCGTTCATCATATCATCATCTTATCATCATAGAGAGTGAACAAGGCTGATGACAAACTCTGGAAATACTTTGATATGCTTGAAGGAGATATATACACCAGATTTGTTTGTCCTGAGTGAAATTACAAAAACAGGCTTGAATAAGACACATCACTGTTTAACATATAGCCATTTTTTTTATTAGGAGTACACAAGAAATCACACATGCTACCACTGAAGGGAATGAGGGGACCCTTTTGGACAGTCTTAGAAGAAATTTTTTAACTCAAAAATGTGCATTAACTGTTTAAAACAATTTTAATAGACCTATTTTATTAAACTAAACTAAACTAAACTAAGCTCCACTACTGCAGAGGTGATGTTTTGTTAAAAAAAAAAAAAAAAAGCCTTCTTGACAACCACTGAAAATTGTTTGGACTAAAATAAATTCAAACAAGGCTCTACCATGCAGTCAGGAGAAGAGCCTTTAAAATAGTCAACTAAAGTTTTATTTTTCTGTCAAGCAAAATAAGAAAATATACCCCAGCATTTGTGTTTTATCAGAAGTCTTTAGGATGTTTAATTTATAATAATTACAATAAGTTATGACTATTGTTTCCACCATAAATAATGCTCAAATTCAAATACTCTAAATGTTATAATAAACACTACCCTTGGGAAAAAGAAATAATTAAATGTGGTAAATGCTGTTGCAAAGATTTAAGAATGTTCAGACTTAGCAGTAGTAAGAAAACTTTTCTCTCCAAATACAGTATAGCTAATTTGTTATATCTTCCAAGTCACCAAAAAGCACAAAAACAAAATGTTAATGGTAACACTGTAATAAGAATCAGACTTCTAATTTAAGGACTTCAATCTTTTAGTTCAAAACTCACATTTAGAAATTTTAACTCAACACAGTTCTTCAGTCTTTGACTGGACAATCTTCATCCAGCAAACAAAATTTGTACCATATTTTTCAGCCTATAAGTCGCAGGTTTTTTTTGCATAATTAGCACACCCTGCGACTTATACACCAAATCAAATTATGTTTTTTCCACTTTATTAGACATATTTGAACTGATGCGACTTATAAGGCAGTGTGACGTGTACGGCAGAAAATACGATACCTAAACTAAAAATATCTTATGTCTGCAGTCTTGTTATAATTTTATTTTCTGTCGTTTATCAAATTTGAACAACTTGCACCAAAAAAAGTACCTAAATGTATATTAAAAATTATGATTAACTATAAATTTGGTTTTAAATAGTTGATATGCCATTTTTTTCTACATTAAACATTAGATTTAATTATTATATATAAATAAATTGAACTGAATTAAAATGACCAACAATTGATAAAAAAAGACAACTAAAAACGCCCCGTGTTTTTAAAAGGCTGATTGCTCAAAGGTTTAAGCGAGTCCCAATGTCCAGATGTTATTGCACTAAGCTTGTCAGTATAATTATCATCTTCATACATCAATAACACTAAAGAAAATTGAGATGCTAACAGTTCTTTCACTCTATAGATATATTTGTCTAGGAAGACAACTGATACAAAGCCAGCAAGAAGGATTTCCTCAGTTCTATTACAATTCAGAGTGAAATATAGATTTTTTTGTTGACGTGTTTTTAATTGGAAACAATCCCAGGGGTTGCAGCAGTCAGTTCACATGACCTTTTTCACCATGTTCTTCCAAGAACAGGTAACACAGGTGACCTTTTGGACCTAAACAAGACTGGGATGATCTTATCGGTACAAAAATTCACCAACAAAAAAAGTACTGAGCATATGATAGACAAGATACATTGAAAAGATTAAGAAACATATTTAAAAGGACGATTTATGGAGGAAAAGAAAGCAATGTTGTTAACTTACAACGCTGAGTATCTGTCCATTGCTGACTGAACATCACGGCGATAGACTGTTCTGAGAACGACCATGATGGGGTCAAACTCCTTCTCCCACACCTCGGCTAGTTTAGAGAGGAAAAAATAAATGCTTTGCAATCTTTGATACAATGTGACCCCCCATCTTTTCACCTTTACCATATAACTGGTGCAAGTCTGCCCCCGAGTGGTGGCTTACGTTCTCATGAAATAAAATTTTAAACTTCCAGCTTCTTGTGAATTATTAATGCCATTTTCTAATAAATACCAGGATATACATATGGTGAGGCAAAACAAATTAACAAATATATATCTGAAAGTAACTTTATTTAGTTAATTTTCAATTTCCAGCTTTAAACAATAATTATACAAGACAATGTTAGGCATTTAAATATTTGTCTTTTATTATGTCTTCTATGCAGTCAATTTAAAAGTGCATGATTAACGCAGCTTTGCACAAATCGTACTCGTGTAATCTCATCCACAATCTTTAGGTCTTTGTTTCACAGCTCTAAGACCCCAATCAAGCCTGGCAAGAACATTCATATTTGGCAATGTGATTACATCTGGATAGAGCTAAATATTCCTCTAAACAGCTTTGAAAATGTCTTTTTCTTTACTCAAACCAATGTTTTTATCTGTATGTTTGGTAGTCTGAATGCAATACATCTGGAGCCAAGCTGTAGCTGACCTACAAACTGAACCCACCTAAGCAGCAAAGTCGACATTAGTTTAGCAACATTTTTGTTGCTGTTCTGGTTTTTTCACTAACCCAGCCACTTCTGTATTAAAGCTCTAAAAATAAAACTTATTAAAATGATCACTTATTACACTTTTCAGCAATTTCCATATTCATGAAGGTAATGCAGCACTTTTCTTACCTTTGGGTGTGTACATTCCCTGCTGCATGGAGCCTCCCGGCTCAAACACGGGAGCTTTGAAATCAGCCACAGCAGAGAGCACATCCTCAAAACTACAGCTTCCCGGTACAATGCCGCTCTTTGGGTTGGGATTTTCAGGAATCTAGAAGAATACCCTTAAGGAAAACAAGTGCTTACAGATATCATCATGTTTCTATAACATCACTTTGAAGCAATGAAGGATACAAGGTCTAGTAGTGCACTGTGTGTTCGATCATTCATGCACAACTGAGAGACCATCTCAGATCGAAGGATCTCATCATCGGTCATGCCTGTAATGAAAAGAAGGGAGTTTATAGAGAAAAACTTACAAAAGTAACACAAATATTGTCACATCATGAACTTCCTGATAATAAAACCAGTTAAACTAGTTAAAACATCTTTGGAAAACTGTGGAAACCTTATGAGACACAATGACACAATGCAGACACCGTCACTGACAAACTTCACGGTAATGTCCTTCAGCGGTTAATTTGAGCCGGATCCTGCCGGAACAAGATCCGGGAACCCTCTCATTTAGACCTGGTGTGTTCCGGCAACTGTTTCCTCGGATTCGGCAACTCAAATCTCTGCCCATAAAAGCCCAAAGTCACCGCACATTTTTATTTTGATTATTTATTAAAAATACAACGAGAGGAGAGACGTTGCCCAATCTGTGGAGTGGATGTTCCAGCCGCACTACGCGCACCAGCTCGCGCACACGCTCCTGCTAAGCAGAGACGCAGACCGCATGTCCATTGGGGATGAGCGTCTTCATCCACCTTCAGCGCCCTGCAGACAGTGCACGTTTTACACACAGGAGCGTCTCCAGACAGCTCTGAAGGACGCGCGCACAACTGCCGAATGTGTTGGAGCTCCTGCGTATATTAACGCGATGCATAACATTTCAGAGATAGTAAATAAAAAAGCTTACAGTACATAACAAAATTTAAAAAAAACAAGTGAAATGTTTGATGCGTTATTCACATTACATCACGTTTCAAAACAACTGCACTAATTTGTCAAAATAACAGCGATCAAAATGTCGAAAAGACAAGTTATCATCTAAAATAAATGGACTGTCCTTAGCTGGACAACTGAGAATTGAAGCACCTGAAGGCAGTGGTAATCAAGATTGGAGCAGAACACGCAGGACTGAATTCAGCTGAGAAGAGTTCGGACAGTGAAGTGTGTGTGAGTGTGTGAGTGTGTGTGTGTGTGTGTGTGTGGGGGGGGGGGGGGGTTAGGACACTCAACAGAATCAGATCTGCTCTATTCACTGCTCTCTAAAATAGCAATTTCAATTCAACCTTTATTTATACAGGTTGTAAGTCTCATTGAGCCTCGAGGACTCATTTACAAGAGACCTGTATTTAATCAATTTAATCAAATGTTTACAGATGTTTAACAACCTGTTTAAATACACCAAAATGCAGGAAATGCCATCACTTTTATTCCAAATTTTCTGGGGGAGGACCCATGGACCACCACCACCGGACCACCTGCTATTTGTGTTCCGGCATCAATTGGTTTACAGATTAAGTCCTGATGTCCTTGAGTGGTGACCTTAAAACAGCTTGAAGGATATTTTGCTCATTTGGATTTTCACACCATTGTCAGTAGGTTTAAAATACAGTATTTTATATTAGCCATTTACTTTTTAAGTATAATATTAAAAACAACAACAACAACAACAACAACAACAACAACAACAACAACAACAACAACAACAACAACAACAACAAGACTATAACAGAACATGGATGACAAACAAAAAAATGATAAACAGCAGTGAAAAGCTCATGATGGACATAAATAAATCAAAACATTTTCTTAACAGTTGCAGCTTTAAATTGACAACAAAGGGCATTGAATCACTTCAAACACTTACAATTTAATAATTCACAATTTCCAAGATAATTCAATAATTTACAAGATTTAGAGATCTTAATGCAATGCGTTGCCAAGTATCTTTTGTATTGTTAGTACCTATAAGTGTCAGGCATCCTGTTTTACAGCTTACCTTGATGAATGCGGAGGCTTGTCAGAATGACCAAAAAGGTCAGTGCTCCTTCTAGCATTGGCCTTTCTTGCTCAGAATCCAACACAGCATTCTGGTGCTGAGACGCCATCGTCAAGAGGTCAACTACTTTAAATCTGAAGGAGAAAGGTGAATGCAGTATTACTTCAAAGTTTGAAAAATCCAAACTGCAACATAGAAATATGACAAAATTGGGTTTACCTCTCAAATACACTTGAAATAAAGTAGTCTGGATCCAGTCTTGATGCGCAAACCTACAAAAACAAAGAAGAAAGGTTTGAATTAATAAATAAAATTAACAACGAAAATAATAATACATGTGAATGATAGTGAGAGTGAATGCTGTGTATGTTCCAGCATTTCTAACCTGGAGCAGATAGATGTCTGGATCAATCATGGAGTTGCAGAAGTGTGATTGCACATAAGTCATGGCTTGTCCTTTTATCTGGAGCCCATTCCTGACCCACATATTACTGTGGATCTCTGACAGACATGCCTGCAGGCAGACAGAAAACATTTCAGTCAACCTATGGGTACAGATACACGAGATATACATGTTTAAAACAAAGTGCCTTTGACCTTCTAGTGCTACAAGTTTACCTGGATTTGGAGAGGATGCACCATGATCTTCATCAGCATCTCCTGGTCTGGCAGGAGGCTATCCAAATCTAAGCCTTGGCATTTTACAGCCTGCAGATTTTCAACCAGATTGTTAACTTTCAGAAACACAAAACAATAGACTGCCTAATGAGTGATGTAAACTTCTGATGTACCCTGCTGAGGAACATGGCGTAATAGCGATGGAGTGGCAGGTGAAACGTCACTTGATTTTGAGCAGGCTGGAGGAGAAAAACAGTGAATCAAAAACAAAGAAGAATAAAAACTTATCTGTAAACGCCAACATTTACCATTTAAATGTACCTCATCAATGAAGCCAATGGCATCAAACCAAATCTGCAGGGCCTCCAAACAGTAGCGAACCACCGTTTTTGTATATTCCTGTGTCTCCTGTTCACATAAAATTTAACATTTGAAATGAATTACACAGCTAATATAGGATGCACATAATGATTTGCACGATTGCACACAAAATCAGTTGATGTGGAAAGACTTGATGTGAAGACGGGACTTACTTTGACTTTGCAGTGTGTTAAGAGGCCCCACATTGGTTGTGCACAGGCCTCGAGCTCTGCTGCAAATGCTGCGTAGTATGTCTGAGACTCAAACTCCACATGCTCGTTCAGTTCCCGCTTATTCAGGTTCATACCTTTAAAAGCAAATAGTTTCAAAAGTTACTTAGTTGTTTCTTGACATGTGCATTTTAAATGTTTGAATTTAAGTTTTCATTATCTAGTGTAGACCCGTTTACCATCTAATATTGACATTATTTGTGTTTATTTTAAACTGTTGATGCGATTTTGCTCAGCATCAATCCTTATTCAGCAAATCTTCAAATACATTAGCTAAAGTGGAGCACAAACGGATACAACGTAACAGTGACACTGTGCTCTAACTGTCAGCAAGAGGACACTCGGACCGACTGTACAAGGGTGAATGTTATTTTTAGAGCCATGGCAGATTACACGTGACAAGTGCCACCAACATCTCCCCTCATAAATCACTTTTTTATGTGGAATTTATACAGCAGGATTAGGCCAATTTTAGTCACTCTAAAATGAGTCAGGTTAATTGTGCAAAAAACAAAAGCAATTAAAATGAAGTGTTGGGTTTCAGCCAAAAACCTTTGAGTTAAAAGTAACAGAAGCATCGTGATGAAAGGTAAGTTGATTTATGGAGAAAAGCCAATTTAAAGAGAGACAGCAATGCACTATAAGAATGACAGTCCACATAAAAATAAACAACACCTATTTAAGGATATCAAAGTTCATGCTCATATGAACTTTGATGTATTGAAACACTTTGGCTATGGCTGCCTCAGAGGAGTTGATGGGGAAGAGGGCGAGCCCCAGAAACCATCTTATCACCATAAAACTGGTTGGCCCACTATGCGAGTAAGCCACTTATGGGACCGAGTTTGTTGTGGCTCCTTGGACTGATTTAAGTCCTTTGGATGAAGGAGGAAACGTCTCAACAACAACAAAAAAAGAAGGAAACAAAAAACGTCCAGAGGACCTGACTTAACTTTGCTGGGTTCTATTCAAGGATGGTTTGTCTGAATATTACACAAATATCCATCCATCTATCCACTTTCTTCCGCTTATCTGGAGTCGGGTCGTGGGGGTAGCAGCCTAAGCAGGGAGGCCCAGACTTCACTCTCTCCAGCCACTTGGTCCAGCTCCTCTGGGGGAATCCTGAGGCGTTCCAAGGCCAGCTGAGAAACATAGTCCCTCCAGCGTGTCCTGGGTCTTCCTCTGGGTCTCCTCCCAGAGTGGGACGTGTCTGGAACACCTCACCAGGGAGGCGTCCAGGAGGCATCCTAACCAGACTAAAGAATGAGATTGCAGACACAGGCGGTTGAAATGAGTTTCCTTCACAGGGCAATTGGACTCTCCTTCGGAGAAAGGGTGATAAACTTATCCAGGAGAGACTCAGAGTAGAACCACTTCTCCACATCGACAGGAGCCAGTTGAGAGGGTTTGGGCATCTGGTAAGGATGCTCCCTGGGCGCCTCCCTATGGAGGTGCTTCGGGCATGTCTGACTGGGAGGAGACCCTGGGGAAGATCCAAGATACACTGTCTCTCGGTTGGCCAGGAAACGCCTTAGTGTCCTCCCAGAAGAGCTGGAAGAGGTGGCTGTGGAAAGAGATGTCTGGGCCTCCCTGCTCAAGCTGCTGCCCCCACGACCCGACTTAGGAACAAGCGGAAGAAAATGGATGGATGCTTAAACAACTGAACTGTGTGTTGTATTATGTTATTTGTGTGTAAATTAACACAATATGATAAATAAGCCAATTTCCTTCTAAATGTTTGCATTATATTCAAATCAACAATTATCAGTCAGGTCATCGGGACAGTTTCCTTCTTTTTTTTTCTGAAAGGTTTCACCTTCGATCCGGAAGGCTTCATCAGTCAAGGAAACGCACAACAAAACTGATTCTTCCCCCGACAGCTTACTACAAAGTGGAACAAACCAGATATGTTGGTGCTAAGATGGTGTTTTTCCCAGTCTTTCAAAGAGACCATCTTAGCACCAACATAACTGGTTTGTTCCACTTTAGAGTAAGCTGTTTGGGGGGAAGAATCAGTTTTGTGTTGTGTGTTTCCTTGACTGATGAAACCTTCCGGATGGAAGGTGAAACGCTTCAGAAAAAAAACAGAAACTGTCCAGATGACCTGACTGAAAATGTTTGGATTGTATACCTGGATTATTGAGCATGGACTTTTTTGATTATATTCAAATGATTTAGATTTTTAAAAATAAATAAATTTAAACTCTAAAACTTACCTTGAAAATATGAAACAAAGGTCATCCAAAGCATCAGTAACGAGTGGTCCTCTAGGAACTTTTTAGCTACACTTTGGTGTGACAGGATATTGATAAAATCACTGACTAGAGGCCAATACGTATTGTTCTTCAGTAGCGCTTCGCTGCAGTTTACCACAACATGTCGATTGTTCTCTTCATCTAAAAGAAAGGAAAATAACAAGAAACATATTGACATCAAGCTTAAGATCAGTTTACAACTAATTTTAATTTAAAAGAAACAAAAACATAACAACTAGAACATTCACAACACAGCAAAGGTTACAAGCCACAAAAAAAATTAATTAAAAATGTAACTAATTTAAAGACACACTGAAGGGCCAGGGGCAGAAACTTGTCAACAGTCTTCCAGAACTGATGATTTAATACAAAAACAATATCTATCAGCTACAAATAATTAGAAAACTGTGCAGTCTCTTCACACATTGGTCTGTTCATATGATTTTTTTAAAGTTAAGTGGCACTAGTCATAGCCTGCTGGAACACCGTCAGTCATGTAGAGTTTAATTTTAAGCTTTTAATGACAACAGGTTTTTTTCCAGGCTTATCTGGATTTGTTATGATGCATTCTATGCTGTGCTGTTTACATGTGAAGCACTGGATGAAGTCTAAAAGAACAAACAATGCCAGGAATAAGACTCCAAATCCAGAGAAGATGAAGAAGAGATGTCTAGGATGTAGAGCCAAACAAAGAGCAAAAAGGATGAAACTTTGTTTTAACCAAACATTTCTTGGTCTTCATGGGACATGCTAAATCCTTTGGAAATTAAACTGATGTGCTTGGATCACAAACAAAACAAGAGAAACATCTGGAATAAATTGGGATTTCCTCAAAGACATAGCTACCAGTACATGAATACAATAGTCCCTCGTTAATCGCGGGGGCTCCGTACCCTGAAGTCCCACGATAAGTGAAATCCCACACTCTTGCAATATTCTAAACAATATTTCTAAACTCTAAATGCTCTACAAGAGCACAGAATGTCATGATTTCAGCTCCCTTCCTCCTCTGCTCTTTGCCACCTGCAAGGGCTCTTGGCCACGCCCACTTCTCAGCTAAGCAGCTGAACAGCTGATCAGCTGCAGCAGGAAGTTTATCCTGTAGTAAGGGCTGCACAAAGGTCAGAGTCAGAGTCAGAGTTTCTTTATTGTCATTCGCACCTCATGTGGTACATGTGGTGGAGCGAAATTATGTTCACAAGGTCCCAGTTACATCCAACAATAAAATGTACAAGAAAAACAGTAATAACATCTAAGATATGAACTAAGAAAAACATCAACTAAATATACACTAAGCACTCATAACATAAAACATTGAACATCAGCACAAACATGAACATGAGTCTGTGAGCAGATGTGCACGCATGAACACACCAACATTGAAACAGATCAGCAGCAACATGAAACAGATCAGCAGCAACATGATATGGTTTTTCACAGTGATTATTCTAGTTAGAGATTCATGAGTATAACAGCCTCAGGGTAGAAGCTGTTCCTCAGTCTAGTGGTTCTACACTTAATGCTCCTTAACCTCCTTCCTGAGGGGAGTGGGGCAAAAAGTGTGTGTGCTGGGTGAGTGGGGTCCTTCATGATGCAGGTGGCCCTCTTCCTGCATCTGGAGGTGTAGATGTCTGTGATGGTGGGGAGGCTGATTCCGACAGATTTCTGTGCAGCCTTCACCACTCTCTGCAAAGGTGCAGCAGGTGCTAAATATTTTAAAACAATTTTATTTTAAATAAAAGTTCCATGCCAATCGTTTGGCTCATCCATCAATCAGCCACTTCTGTGTCATGTCCAATCTGATTTTGAAAAACCGCGACAGAGCGGGTCCGCGATAAACGGACCGCGAAGTAGCGAGGGACTACTGTGCATTGTGAACTCCAACAATATTCTGTGGGTGTCAGAAGTGAAGAAAGGATTGCAGAGCTTGTTAAGAGATGATGTGGTGGTACTCGATGACAAAAAGACATTGATGCACTCCGATGTGTTGGGGCTATGCTGACTACTAAGAGCAGTAATGTTACATGTTAGTTCAAGTTTGGGTCAAGCACTACAGTGCATTCACAGTGACTTCTGGAAATTTCAATGGTGTCCCTCTGTAAAACCTCCAAAAATGATCTCTTTTCACATCATTTTAATTTGGGGTTTATTATAAAGTATTGCTTAAATTTAGTGAATCAAAGCTGAATCCAGTTCAACCCAGTTCCATACAAACAATCCCCAGGTTCAAGGTGTTAAAATAAAAAATATTTAGAAAATAAACTTAACAGGGCAACTTACCCTGAAGTTCACTTTTAACAAGGCAGCTTTCCATCATGTAGTGAAGGACCATGACCATGATGTCCAGCAGATGACACTCCTCCGTCATGTGTCGGGCCAGCTCCTCGTTGCTGAACAGCTGCACGCTGATGTGCACGATGCGGTTGGACATTGTATCCGACTCGTGGCTTTTCATCAGAGTTTTCATGATGAAGGCGTAATGTTGAACAAACGTTTTTGTAAATGTAATCTGTCAGAAAGGACAAAAAAATAATTCTACTAAAAATAGTTGCAATGAAGAGCTTACATCACGACATGCAAATAAATTATATAACCACAAAAAACAAATAAAATATATATATATATATTTTAAATACCTTGTAATCTTGATCTGGCAACATATTTAATAAGAATGTGACCATTTTCTGGGGAAACTCAAATTTTATTGTCCAAAACAACAACTCCTCCAGAAAGCATTTATGCTTTAGTGTTTCAATAATGAATGGATCTACGTGGAGAAACGACAGAAAGAACGAGCATGCAAATCAATGCAGTTCAAATATTTTATTATTACTTTCCTTTTTTTTTTGTTTTAGATAAGTTTACCTTTGGTACTGCTGCTCAGCTTAACCCTTTTCCTCTGACCAACAGACTGCTCTCCATCTTGATCCTCCTGAAAGGAACAGCAGACAATAACATTAAAATCTCAGCAAACTGATCAACAGTAATACATCAAACAAAAACAAACTTATCTTGTGGTCATTAAACACAATTTAAATTAAGATAAGTTACACTTTTGTTGACACAAACCTCTTTAGTAGATTCTTCTGGGCTTCCTGGTCCAGTGGTTCCTAAAAAAAAATTAAAAATTAAAAATTAACCACAAAGTTCTTTTAAAAAATAGAAAACCTCTGGACTTATTAAAAGGCCTGCAAGTTTGAAAAATGTCAGTGAAAATGTGTATTGAACATCATATCTGTGGTGTTGTTACTAAAAGATGCTGCAGACATTTTATTAAAACTTCAAATATTAAATCACCTTGTAAAATATGAAAAGGCTAAAAAAAATCTCTATTAAAACATGTAGCCTAATGTACCTGCTCTCCAGCTGTGCTGGAGTTTGAGTTTGTGTTGAATCAGCTTCAACTGTACTTTTTTAAATAATCTAAAAACAAGTATCTGTGAACATTATCTGGCACAACATAGACAATTTGTGAGCCATATATGATAAAAACAAAAGTCTGCAAATGTAAATAACTGGGGTTTTGGAAGATGAGGTTGTGCACTGCAATGATAATTAAGTAATTGTACTTTTATACAAGCAGTTTTGTAATGCAGTGCATTAATTACAATTCAATTCAATTCAAATACAAAAATACTTTATTAATCCCAGAGGGAAATTATTTGTTGTTGTAACTCATTATCCTCATTTCATTAAGAGATGTTATAGATACTGATGGCTGTAGACAGGAAGGATCTCTTGTAAAGGTCCATCCTACAGTGGATCCTAAGAAACTGGCTGCGGATGCCGTCCGATCCGTCCACCCAGACTTGGCTGGCCTCTCGGTTCCCCTCGGGCTGTAGGACCGCCCAAATGCTGGGCAGAACTCCTCCCAGAGCAATGGCCACTCCTCCCAGCAGTCTGCCAAGCTCCTCGTCACTGCGGACAGCCAACTGTAGGTGCCGAGGGACGATCCTGTCCTTCCGCTGTTACGAGCCGTGTTTCCTGCTAGTTCCAGGATCTCAGTGGTCAGGCACTCGAGCACAGCTGGCAGGTAGATGAGAATGCGTCCACAGAACATCCTTTTCAACTCACTTGAGATTTGGGGCTGCAGTTGAGATATTATTTGAGCTTTTGAGATGTTAATCAGCTGCTGTTGGTTGTAGAAAACAGCCTTGTTGCCATAGTTACGCATCATAACAAATGTCCAAAACTAAAAAAGTTTCAGTAAAAATCCTTCCAGCTGCACAGCATCTGATACCAGAGGAAACAATCATCCAAAAAATGTGATTTATATCCAGAAAAAGAGGAAATAAAGTTTCCAAAAACAAAATCTCAAAACGAAAGTAACAGAGCTGCTCCAACATGCAGCCACCTTGAGCGGCGCAATTCTAGAACCGGAATTCTAGAAAAATCTAGAATTCAAAGATACCGTTTGTCTCAAAACACAATCTGATTTTCATAAAAATCCTTAAAAGTAAGTGATTAGAACCAAGTTAACAAAATGTTATTAAAACGAAATATTGTCATGTTCATTTCAGAAGAAATAAAATATTTGGGATGTGCGACTTCACTGTGCAGCACAACTCTGAACTGTTAGTTCATTTTTCTAAAGAATCAAGCATTCAGGAATGGTTGGGTTGTTTAATGAAAGAAGATTTACTTTTTAATAAACAGTCAAGTTATGTGCTCGTGACTGCAAAGAAAAGGAATTTTGCTAGTATAACTCTTTTTGCAAACCAGATTCCTAACTCAACAATAAACTTTAATCATGAAAAGCCCAACTACACTAATTTAGCAGAAACAGATGCTCCAGTTTGCAACTCAACTTCTAGCTGCCTTTCAAACCAACGTACAACTATTCAATCAGGTAGCAAAAGAGACTCAATTAACAAAATGATTAGGGATGCATAATATTGGATTTTTGGCCGATATGTTAAAACTTATTTGGCTGATAACCGATACCAATACCAATATTTTCCCCTAGACCTACTTACAGAGACTACATAGCTTTCTCTGCTGTGGAATTAAAATACATTATTCTGCATGGCCTTTGACAATTTGGCCTGCTACCAAATGCAGATGCCAAAAAGGGGGCTGAAAATTATGTAACACTATATAAATATATAATATATATTTAAAAAACCAGCGCCTTTTATATCGGCGAGTTATTTTGATGGAATGGTTGATGTCCAATATTTAACTTTATCACTAATATTGGCCGATACCATGCCAATAATATTGTGCATCCCTAAAAATGATCACATCCAACATTAAAAAAAGAGGATGTGCCACCCTTTACATTTATGAGTCACACTTAATTGACTAAAACACAGGACAGAGTGAGGATGAGTAGGATGACTCGCTGTGGTGACCCCTGAAGAGTTAAAGGCCAAAAGAAGAACAAGAACAACAAAATCAAGACGAAGAAGAAGAAGAAGAAGACGAAGAACAAGAAAACCTACAGGTAATTGACTAAAAATACAACCGATAGATTTGTAGAAACAATATGTATGTGATTCAGAAGTTGCACTTGTGTTTCAACTACCTAGTCAATATACGCAAGTTTTTAAACTCCAAATCAATTGAAAGCACTTCTGATAGAAACATGTGTCTGTAACTTATTTTTCTTAATAAACAAAACAGTTGTCTCTTTTTTTCTTCCAATCACATTTTGCTTTTTTCCCCTATTGAGGTTTTAAGTAATGTCTACACAAAACTATTTGAAAAATCTAAAAGGCAACAACTTGTTGCACCATGAGCACAAAACGCCAGTGATTCCCAAATGTTTTCCCGATGCCTTCTCATAAAAGTCTAAAATGTGATTTTTTTTAATTTTATTCATTTATATTCTTAATATTTGATGCAAATATGCAAACGTAGCCTTACCCAGCAGGGCCATTGCTCCCGCACCTCCTTCAGCTCCAACAGTAACATCAGCTGTAACAGCCTGGGCTTTCTCCTCCACAGAAACCAGACCTGAATTCTTCAATGCTGACAAATACTTGTCATAGTTCTTTTTAGCATAAACATTATCTTCTTGGCCTGCAACAAGCAAACATATGTTTTACATCATTATAAGTTTGAAACCTCAAAACAAGCATCTCTATATTACATCAACAATTAATTTTCACTTCAGTAATTTGTTTTTTTAGACAGTAACAGTTATGCTGCATCAAACAAAAGCAAAAAAGTACATTATTTTATTCAATCAAGGTCATTAGGCCAAAAATAAATAATCTGGCATAAAAATGCATGTTATCAGTGAGTTTTTTTCCTAGTCCATGAAGTTACCCATGCTCAACTCCTTGTATGTTTGCTGATTAGTCAAGATCTTTGTCAGTACAGTCCTCATTGCTCCTCCCATCTTTGTGAGATCCTCCAAGAAGGAGATCTGAGGCTCGAGTTGTTGCAGGACTTTCTGTAGATCTCTCTCAGCTGAGGTGTCTGGTAAACAGAGATAAGCAATAAGTCATGGGACTCTGTACTTTGTGGCTGTAATTTTAGATGTAAGCAGTTGTGTAATGATGGTGAGATTCAAGCATAACAGATTCTGTTTTGCAATTCGTATACAATCAGAAAGCAACACTAAAGTGGCTTAAACATGTGATTTACTTATATTTCTACATTTTAAATGACTTGAGGTCTTACGAGTCATTTTGTGGGTGTAAGTTTGGCTTAAATTATCCACACACTAAAGGTGAATTATTTTATATTGATTGCAGTTGATTTTACCTGGTTCAATGTATCCATCTCTCAGATACTGTATGATGCACAGGATAAAACGGGGGAGGACTATCTCTGACATGAGGAGAAGATCTCGAGGTATCGAGGGGACATTTTCTCCAGTTCTTAACCTATGCCTCAGACAAAACCTGTCAGGAGATAAAATAAAAATTATGACAAAAACGATCATATTTTTCCCCTTTCACTCTTTCAGGTTTGCTGAAAACTTGGGTCTGAAAACAAAAAGTCAGTTTGAATAGAAGTGTGTGAATCTGCATCGCTATCTGCTCATAATTTGTTTCTGCCCAGCAGCATCGTTTTGTTTGTTATTCTTCTAGTTATCCCGTCAATTTCGTTACAGCCTTTTTGCTCAGTTATACAGACAGCATCAGCTGTTTCCTTACCAACAATATTTATTAAGTAGCAAAACCAACTTTACAGTAGCACTTATTTTAGAACGTTTTGTTTATCAAAAGAGGCCATTAAAACTGAAAAGAGAATGAGATGGATGTGATGGAAAAAGGTGGCAAAGACACAACTTCTAACGTAGGACTGTAATATTAGGGAAAAAATGTTAAGTATTGTGATAATACCAGGTACAATAAACCCACAAGTTGTCATTTTAATGTTCACACAGATCGATTATATATTTTTACGGTTGATACTAGGGGTGCACAGATTTCCTTAATTTTGGGAAATCGGCCGATACATGAGAAACTGATTTTACCAATTTTTTTTTTATTTTAACAACAATTGTCTAAACTTCATTTATATTTCAGAGCACTACCTCATGGCCAGTTTAAAACAAGTATGTATTGTTTATAGGATATCGCTCAAGGGTATGTTTTTCAATAAAATCAGATTGGAAAATTGAAGGTGCATTGTGACCTGATAACACCCGACAGTGTCGCTTATAAAACAAAAATCGGAATCGGCAGGTCAGGCGTTTTAGAAATCGGTGATCGGCCATAAAACTGCAAATCGGTGCACCCCTAGTTGATACCAATTTTTAGAACTCAGTGCAGCCAATGGCAGATATACAACACATTTTGTTTTCATTTCTGGTCAATATGCATTTCTCGTTTAATAAAATTGTAACATTATTGCTCAACCTAAATAAACATGTATTTAAAACACTTAGAAGAACTTGTTCAAACATATTTACTGTGGTGGGATGTAACAGAGTGCAAGTACTTCGTTACTGTACTTCACTACATTGTTCATGTATCTATACTTTACTTAAGTAGAGTTAAACGTGGGTACTTTCGACTTTTACTCCACTACATTTTACATTAAGTAGCTGTACTTTCTACTACACTACATTTCTATAATGTGTCGTGTTGCACGTTACATTCATGTTGCGGTTTTTCAATTTGTTCTTTAGTTTCAAAGTAACCAATGGCGAGAGGAGAGTCGGTCCATTGAATCGCTGCAAAGTTGGCAGGTACAGTAACATTAGATCCACCTACAAGAAGAGCTGGACCAATGATGTACAGTGAGGAAAATAAGTATTTGAACACCCTGCGACTTTGCAAGTTCTCCCACTTAGAAATCATGGAGGGTTCTGACATTTTCATCTTAAGTGCATGTCCACTGTGAGAGACATAATCTAAAAAAATCACAATGTATGATTTTTTAATAATTTATTTGTGTGTTACTGCTGCAAATAAGTATTTGAACACCTGTGAAAATCAGTAGTCTTTGTTTGCAGTTACAGAGGTCAAAGGTTTCCAGTAGTTTTTCACCAGGTTTACTGCAGCAGAGATTTTGGCTCATTCCTCCACACAGATCTTCTCTAGATCAGCAGGTTTCTGGGCTGTCGCTGAGAAACACGGAGCTCGAGCTCCCTCCAAAGATTTTCTATAGGGTTCAGGTCTGGGGGCTGACTAGGCCACTCCAGAACCTTGATATGCTTCTTACGGAGCCACTCCTTGGTTCTCCTGGCTGTGTGCTTCAGGTCATCGTCATGTTGGAAGACTCAGCCACGACCCATCTTCAATGCTCGAACTGAGGGAAGGAGGTTGTTCCCCAAAATCTCTCACTACATGTCCCCGATCATCCTCTCCTTAATACAGTGCAGTCGTCCTGTCCCATGTGCAGAAAAAAAACCCCAAAGCATGATGCTTCCACCCCCATGCTTCACAGTAGGGATGGTGTTTTTGGGATGGTACTCATCATTCTTCGTCCTCCAAACACGGCGAGTGGAATTAAGACCAGAAAGTTCTATTTTGGTCTCATCTGACCACAGAACTTTCTCCCATGACTCCTCTAGATCATCCAAATGGTCATGGGCAAACTTCAGACGGGCCTGGACGTGTTCTGATTTAAGCAGGGGAACCTTCCGTGCCATGCGTGATTTCAAACTGTGATGTCAGTGTATTACCCACAGTAACCATGGAAACAGTGGTGCCAGCTCTCTTCAGGTCATGGACCAGCTCCTCCCGTGTAGTTCTGGGCCGATTCCTCACCTTTCTTAGGATCATTGATACGCCACGAGGTGAGATCTTGCATGGAGCTCCAGTCCTGAGGGAGATTGACAGTCATGTTTAGCTTCTTCCATTTTCTAATAATTGCTCCAACAGTTGATCTTTTTTCACCAAGCTGCTTGGCAATTGCCTCGTAGCCCTTTCCAGCCTTGTGGAGGTCTACAATTTTGTCTCTGGTGTCTTTGGACAGCTCTTTGGTCTTATCCATGTTAGTAGTTGGAGTCTTACTGATTGTGTGGGGTGGACAGGTGTCTTTATGCAGCTAAAGACCTCAAACAGGTGCTTCTAATTTAGAATAAGTGGAGTGGAGGTGGAGTTTTTAGAGACGGACTAACAGGTCTTTGAGGGCCAGAATTGTTGCTCATTAGCAGGTGTTCAAATACTTATTTGCAGCAGTAACACAGAAATTAATTATTAAAAAATCATCCATTGTGATTTCTGATTATTTTTTTTTTAGATTATGTCTCTCACAGTGGACATGCACCTAAGATGAAAATGTCAGACCCCTCCATGATTTCTAAGTGGGAGAACTTGCAAAGTCACAGGGTGTTTAAATATGTATTTTCCTCACTGTATATTCTAATATATACTGTACATCACTGACCTGGGCGCAGACACAGCACCACTAACACAGCCAAAATGGATTCCACCACGGAGTCGGTCAGAAGATACACACCATGGCCTTATTGAAAGATTATTGAAAGTCTATTCAGTACAGCAAGACAGATTTTCTATCCCAAAAGAGCCAGACTGGAATAAAAAAAACTTTGAAAACCAAATTCTTCTGAACTTGAACAAGAAATTCTTGCTGCAATATTAAAAAGTGTCAGTTCATGATGTTAGGAGACAAGAGATGTCTCCAAATGACTCGACACTCAGATCCAAGTTTTGAAAATAGTGTCAGGAAGTTAAAATATTGTTCACTATTGACCCATTCCAAGGTTGACTGGACAGTATTTTAACTAGAAGTGATGACAAACTGGAGTTGAAATGATCAGAGTCTATTCTTTTGTTAGGTCTTATGCTCCTTTTTTTCAGGCAGACAACTTTTACTTAAATGTATTTACTGCAGTTAAAACGACACACTGGTTTTACTTTGTGTTAAATAAAAACTTTTAAAAAGGTATAATCATTCCTCTTTCATATTTTGCTTAATGGCATTTAACTCTGCAGGTCATCCCTGAAATTCTGATGCACAGAATCACAAGTCCAACGGTGTCACAGGGTAAACACAATAAAAACGTGCATTATCTGCAGCATTGTTCATTAAGGGGGCCGAGATGGTGTAGGGGCAGGGAAGCCGACTCGGGACCTTCGTGAAGGTCCTGGATTCGATCCCCGGTCATCGCACATCTCATGGTGTCTCTGAGAAGGATACCCAATCCCGAATTGCTCCCCAGGTGCTTACATAGCTGTCCACTGCTTCACCTGGGTGTATCCCAGGTGCAATGGGTTAAATGCAGAGAGCCAATTTTTACAACTTTTACTTTTAATACTTTAAGTATTTTTTAAATCAAGTACTTATTTACTTTTACTTAAGTAAAATCGTTAATATGGCACTTCTACTTTTACTAGAGTACATTTTTGTCTGTTTATTTGTACTTTTACTTAAGTACAGTGTTTGAGTACGTTCTCCACCACTGCATATTTACAGATGAGCCGCTGGAGAATTGTTTCCTTAGTGCTTGGTAATCGTTTAATTATGCAGACATGGCCAATTGGTCATCCTCTAACCACAACACTCTCCGTGTGTTGGCTGTGGGCATTTGGTCAAACAAGAGCCGGGCTGATCTCCAAATTAATATATTTTTTAAATGCACAAGACTAACATAAGCAATGAATTATTTGTAAACACACAAACAAAGTGTTCTGTCAAACTCAACATGCATCTTTAAAGAGTTTCTTGCCCACACCTCTTCCTGTATGGTCCACACCAGGGGTCTGCAACCTTTACGATCAAGAGCCATTTTTACATCTTCGTTCACGACGTTAAACGTGCCCGGAGCCACAACAACCAGCTACAACTGTGGTTATCAACTGGTTGCCCGTGAGCCACTTTAAGTTTGCTGGAGGGGGCTTTTGTGGCCAGTAGGGGTGACATTATAAAGCAAAAAATATCTAATGATTTTTTTTTATTTATTAAAGTAAAAGACCTGAAAAAAAATCTATATAATATGCAGACAATCCTTCATATAAAGTAGTAAAGCATCAAGTTAAAGTGTCCTTGTGCCCGTACTCGCGCTAGTGTTCACATATTTGCAAACGAAATAACAGGAAAACTGTGAACTAGTCCTTTTTTGTTTGTATAGCCAATAAAATTCAGTGGTGGCAAAGACAACTTCTAAAGTAGGACTGTACAATATTAGGGGAAAACGTTAAATACGGTGACGATACCAGTTACAATAAAGTTTTGTCATTTTAATGTTCACACAGATCGATTATATACGATGTGATGAATGCTTGTCAGTTTTGGCCAAAGCTTGAAGGTGCCGCTGCATTGGGACCAAAGAGCCGAATGTGGCTCCAGAGCCGCAGGTTGCAGACACCAGGTCCATACCAACACTTAAACCAAAACATCTCTTCCTCATTCTTTCTATGGCTGTTCATGAATAAATCAAAGACCTCATCAAAAGATCTGCAGTCCACTGTCTTGCTTGTAGATGTAAAAGTCTGCTTCATACTGACATATCCTCGCTATATCTCGGTACAATGATAATAAAGCTTATTCTGATTCTGCTGCCAGAATCTTACATATATATTTTGATCAAAGGGTGTACTCAATCCTGTAGATAAATCATTTAAGAATAAACATAAAAAAAAATACTATAAAGAAGGGCAAAGTTTTACCATGAGATCAATAAAACCAACCCTTCCAGGTGGCATCTATGCAGTGGTAATAGATAAACACAAGCCTGCTGATGCTGATGACAATTACGGATCGGTTTAGCAAGAGCTGGCTGGCTCGTCCAGGATTTGCTAAAAATAAATGACGGGCGCGTCGTGATACTTTTATCGAATGGCAAATATACGTAAGATTATATCAGACAGGATTACATAAAAACCCACACGGAGTCCACTGACAGGAAAATGTTATCAGCTATGTTGGCTCACTTCTTCCCAACACCTGTCAAAACGATGCTAGTTAGCACAGCCCGCTTAGCTTACCCGCTGTCTCTCATGACATTACTGTCTCCACAGTCACAGGCCCCGCCAGCCTGACTCCTGAACATGTTGAAATCATGGCCTGCGTGCTCTCCATTATTAAAGCACTCCGCACACAGTGACATGCAAGGAGAGATGCCACACGTCCGGCATCGATATGCTACGAAATTAGCCGTCCACACCAATCCGCACAGAGTCGCGTTGTCATAGGAGCGGACCGTCTTACAGAACTCCTCGAAACCCTCGCCCCCTGCCAGCAGACATTTACACCAGTCCAGAGCTTCAGTGTCCGCCGCCGTTTTCTCGGGATTTAGTACAGCGTCGAGCAGCTCCCGAAGCTCTCGGAGCCCGGAGCTGTTGTCAGTCCGGGTTAGGTCTGCCTTCAAGTAAGCGGCAGCAGCTCTCTTGTCCCGGCGCAGCAGCGACGCCGCCATCATGCACTCTGGCTTGTTGAGCACAAATTTATTTTTGTTGTCGTTTCCAAAAGCTCGGGAGTTCTCGCGAGACTTCGCAGCGGCAGTAACGCGCTGTGGATTTTTTAGAAAGTACGACACGTTCAGTTTAATTAAAATGTATATAAGAAAGTAATTGATTTCATTAAACCAAGTATGCATTTTAACACAGGCGAGATCAACGTTGCAACTTATTTAACTATCTTTTAATGTTAAAGCACCGATATATGCGTCATTCTTGTTTTGTTTGAGCTTTGCTAAGCAACATTTGTTTTGGACCGTCCCACCCTGCTGGAGGAACTGCAGAGAGAAGCCATTCTTACTGTCATGAAAAACATGTTTAAAAGCAGCCAGTTTAAAATTTACATGTGTTTATGCTTTCATTTTCAATAAGAATAATCCAAAATGCTTCATTGGTTGTTTACATGTTTATGCCATGCTTTTTTTATATACATCAGTACATGATTTAAAAAAAATTACATCAAGATTTGAGTAAATATTTACTTTATTTGTCCACATTCACTGCACACTATAATTAATATATTCTGTGTTCGTCTAATGCTCAAAATCCTTATTTGTAATATTTTCATCAAGATCATGTTTTAGCTTTTTCTCCTGAAGGCTAACAATATTTCCTTAAAGTTAAAATAAATATAATGCATTTATTGTGGTAACTATTGGAAATGAATTAATATACTGTACAGACATTTTAAATCTACTTATTGCAATGTCAAGAAGTCTGTTTAAAAATAAATCATTAAATCATTAAATAAGCACTTTTTTTCATGTTAGTTAATAATATGTCTTTAAACCAGGGGTTCTCAAACATATTGGGTTCAAGGACCCCTTACAGGGGAGAAAAAGTTTCAGGGACCCCCTCATGTTTATAAAATAATATATTTAATTTCTCTCTTTAATGCAATGGAAATATTTGTGTAACATAAATACTAAAACCTGTTCTTAAAGAGTGTTAATACAATTTTTATACTTTTAAACATGGGGTATTTTTCATTCAAGGCACAGTTAATTAACACGTTTTTTAATTTTAACTTCCAAAATTTACAATTTTGAGAAAAATAACAGTATCAAACACCACTTTAAACTTTACCTATTCACATAATGAACATAAATGTGTTGCCACTTCTTCAAATTATTACTGTGTGTTGGGGGGATTATCTGGGAGTCCTCCCAATAAAATTTTGAATAAAATAGATGTAATTTCATGCATTTAGGTGTATTTTAACAGGTTGTTAAACAACTATGTGCTTGTAAATGCACTATATACACACACACGTGTACAGTTTTGTGCTTTGGGACTATTTTAGGCTCTTATTGGGCTTTATCAGATAATTTCAAATTGATTACCTGATTTTATTCCCCTTTATTGTTTCTCAGATCTTAACGCTTGATGGCTAAAGATCATTCATTACAGGGAATGTTCAATCCTAACAAGTTATCAATAAAAGACAGAATATGTCAAGATTTTACTGCAAACCTAAAAACTAATTTATAATAATAATAATAATAAAACAACCAATAAATGCAGCATTGTAGTGCATATTCCAGTTGTCTTCTGGAATCTCTTAAAATGTTCAAGTTTGACAAAAGTGAACTAAATAAAAAGGCAGTTTTTAATGACAAATATCTTTTTTTTTTTTACTTTTACGTCTTCACCTGTGAGGGGCAGTAACATCACATCCTCCAGTCCGCTAGGTGGCGGTGTGAGCACGTGAGTGAGTTTTTCGACTGAAAATTAACCACAGAAGAAGAACGTCAGCTTGTTTACTATGATGGCGGAAGTTATGCTTGTTTTATCACCCAAACTTACTCACATGGAGATTTAATCGAAACAACATTGTTTATATTTAGTTTATCTGCGTAGTTACACGGGCGCTGAACCTCACGGCCGTTTGTGATGAAGCTAAAGGAATTAGAAAGTTGCTTGCAGCAGGTGGACACATTCGAAGAGCCCAAAATCCTTCTCGAACAGTATCCAACCAGCCCTCACATTGCTGGTGAGTCAAAGAGCATGTGATCGACTGCTCGTAATCTTGCCGTTTCTCATGTTTGTGTCTTTTCACAGCCTGCATGCTGTACACGATCCACACTACGTTTGATGACATCGAGGCCAAACTGGTGGCCGATCTGGGATGTGGTTGTGGAGTCCTCAGCATCGGGGCCGTGATGCTGGACGCAGGGTGAGACACTGAATTCAAATGGTGTCGTGTTTTATTGTCTGAACGCTTCTGTTTTACAGCTTGTGTGTCGGTTTTGACATTGACGACGACGCTTTGGAGATATTCAGGAGAAACGCAGAGGAATTTGAGACCTCCAACGTGGACCTGGTCCAGTGTGACCTGTGCTGCCTGCAGGGAGAAGCTTATGCCCAGAAGTTCGACACAGTGATCATGAATCCACCATTTGGTACAAAACACAACCAAGGTAGGTGAGCAAATGTTACATTTAAAGTTTGGGGTTTATAATCAATATTAATGATTTAATCCACATACATGCAAATATATTGATGCAGAGGCTTGAGTCTCAAAACTTATTTGTTCAGGAAGAATACTATGGTTACATTTTAACTGTGCTACATCTTTCAAATTAATTGCCATCTGAGCAAATATTGTCACTTCAGTTTTGGGTTTAATTACCTCAGTGGATGGGTAAAGAAGTCTCTGATAGCCTCCTCCTTCCTGCGTGAATGTATTCACTTGTAGTGATTTCTGTTGATTGTCTATTTCCTATCAGTGCATGCTGTGTAAAGGCAGTTGGCTCATTTGGAATTAATGACGTTAGAAATGTTTGCTTCTACAGTATCGTCTCTGATAGTATGATTTAGGATTCAATGTACGACTTCCTGTGCTTACCATGACTGGCATTCAATAAGATGTACAGAATTAAACAGGAAGCCAGCTCCATGCGTTTGTTTGATTAAAGATGTGTTTTTATGTCTATTCAAGGCATGGACATGAAGTTCCTTCGAGCTGCTTTAACTATGGCAAAGACAGCCGTGTACTCACTTCACAAAACATCAACACGAGAGGTAAACTGAAGTCGTAATATGAAAATATCCTTTATAAATCAGCATGTCTGGTGTAAAGGCTGAAATACTATTAATCCTCGTATGATTTTACAGCACATACAGAAAAAAGCTAATGACTGGGGAGTAAAGATGGATGTCATTGCAGGTTAGTCAAGTACAAAGTTGCATCCTTTGTGCAATGAAAATATTCAAATTATGACTTTTTTTTAAAAAGAACTACGATATGATTTACCAGCATCCTACAAGTTTCACAAGAAGAAATCGGTAAGCATGCTGCTTCATCAGATTCATCAGACCTGTATTTGGTTTTGTAAAGATTTTATTTGCTGTTAACATATGCAAACTGAAAATATTCTGTGCACATTTCCATCATTCTGTAGGAAATCTACAAAGAAAACAATGGCACACTGCATTTACGTGTCACACAGGTCTCAAAGAAAATAACTAAAAACATTTGCTGGAGAAATTAAATTACTGTCAAAAGCTGTTTCCTGAAGAATATGTTAAAATCAAAACATGCTAAATGAAAATGTACAGAAATATTTATGTGAGAGGCACAACAGAGACTTAAAAAGGCTGAAAACTGATTTTAAGCTTTGATTTTTTTTTTTCTCCTTTAGGTGGACATCCAAGTAGACTTCTTAAGGTTCTCCAAAACATGATGCTTTTACTGGAATGAGTTTAAGTTGCCTCCTGCATAATATTTATAATAAATGTTTTTACTTAAAAAAAGGGGAACTGGGCATCTGTCTCGTCCTTAAGATCCATTTTCAGTTTTGGTAACCTTTGCTGGGGGACCATCACCATCTTCTAGCTCCTTTGGTGCTGCAGGTGAAAAAATGTAGGCAAACATTTAAACATGGTGAAAATAAAGAACACTCAGCAAAAAAAATCTAAAGCCAGCATATCTCTATGCTGCACCCAAATGTGCACAGCAGTGTGCAGAATGTGTAGAAACATGTTCTCAATCTCCTAGAGTGAGTTGCCACGCATCTGTATCTTGTGTAACCTCCATCTCCCCATGCCTGTCTGTTTGTCTGTTCCTCTCGGACGAGCTGTACTGAAATGTAATTTTGCTGCACTTCGGTGAAATGACAATAAAGCTGATTCTGAAAAGGAAAGAGAACTAGAGAAACTGCATTTCCTGCGAAATGCAGTGTGAATGCTTAACACTGAAAAACAGCTGAAATTAGCTACAAACATGCTGAAACAGAAGAACAAGACTAATTTAGTAGAAGAAAGCAGAAAGAACACATTCTTGCTAAATTAGGTTTAAATAAGTAGAAATTAGCATAAAAATTGGGAAATTAACAAAAAAGCTGAAATTGGCTAAATTAAATATTGAAAAGTAGCTGAAAAGGCAGAAAAAAACCCTTTAAACTACCAGAAGGAAGTGGAAAGAGCTGAATATGAGCTAAAAATTAAATGAGTAGAAAAAGCTTAATTTAGCACAAACAGCTAAAAAGTATCATGATAGTAGAAAAGTAGACTTTAGTAGCTGAAATAGCAGGAAAAAGCTGAAATTAGCAGAAAGTTAATTAGGCTGAAAGTAGAAATTACCACAAACAACTTGAATATATCTGAAAACGGCTAAAATTAGCTTTAAAAAGCCAAAAAGTAGCTAAAATAGCAGAAAAGTCTTAAACTTGCAGAAATCAGTTGAAAGGATCATAAGCTGAAATTAGCAGAAAGAAGTTAGCAGAATCACAAAACGGCAACAACAACAAAAACAGGTGAAAGTAGCTGAAAAAAGTTTTAAATTTGCACAAGAAAGCTACAAGAAGCTGAACCAGAACAAAATGTGAAAGGAGCAGTAACAGGTTGTAAACAGATCTAAAGAGTTGAAGGATGTAAAATGAGTTCAATTTTCTGAGGAAAAAAATGGCAGAAAAGGCTAAAGAAGCTTAAAAAAAGAGATAAAGTTGCACCAATACCAAAAGTCAGAGCAGGATTGTCCTGAAACAGCTGAACTTTTTGATATGATTCGTTGAAATAGATTGAAAACTGGGGGATGAGGAAGATGCTGGAAAACGTAGAGGAGAAGAAATGGATCTCAATAGTGTGAATGCTTCATAAACATTCACGAAAGAAAATCTTTAGTCAGTGCAGAGCTTTCTTTCAGCTTCACAGGTTTTCCTCTAAACTCTCCTTATGACACGTGCGTTACCGTTTGACACATCGCCCGTAATGATCTCTTCACCAACAGCCTACATTGTTCATTTTCTCTGATTCCTACAATTGATTGTTACAATTAAAAAGGCACGAGCCACAGACTCGGTGCAGTTTTGAGGTGAATGCTGAGGCAGGTAGAATATATGTGGAGGTAGAAAACCCAATAATGCAGTAGGGAAAGGAGAATACTGTTGTGTAAGTTGCACACCGACTGGCTGGTGGTTTGGTCACAAACACCCAGAATGAAGTTAAACTGCAGCTGAAGCTTCATGTACTCAGAATTAACTCTCAACCAACAATCACAGCCAAGTGTTATAATGGAGTTACTTACCATCGTCTTCATCGCTGTCAAATTTTGTCCTCTTTCCTTGGAACTGAGTTCTGCCGTGATCTTTTCCACCTCTTCCCTTTCGGCCTCCTCTTCCTCTGCCACCGCCTCTTCCTCTTCCACCTTTTATTTCAAAGTCATAAACATCCTTATACAAAGCACAACAAGCGTGTTCTTCTTTTGAACGTGTCAGATCAAGGTCGAAGTGGTTTACACACGGAGCAGCACGTTTTAAATATTACCTCTGCCTTTTGATGATCGGCTTTGCAATTCTTGCTGCGCTTCGATAATCTTTTTCAGATTCTCCTTCGCCTCTTCTCCCTCAAGCACCTGCCATGTAACCGTGTTGTCCTTCACCTTCAGCTCCCCGCCGTTTGCCTCTTTTGCCTTTTCGAACGCTTCTTTTGCGTTCCCGTCAAAAAGAAGGGTGCCCTTAATGGGAGTAAGGAAACCGGCTTACACACCAACATTTCTCCCTTTCTTTAAAATTTAATTCGTAGGAGAACCAACCTCTTTGGCTCCTCTTGTGAAGTCAACCCACTTTATCTTTCCGTGCCCAGAAAACACTACATGAAAGTCCTCTCGCGACACATCTTCAAGCTCTCCAGAGAACTTCAATAAGCAACCCGTCTGTTCACCCAGCAGCAAACCCTGCAAGGACACGCCCCTGCTTACAACAGTTTGTATTCAACACAGAAACTAACTTGATAGTTGCAAGGCGTTTGGTAATCTTACCATTTCTTTTTCTTCTGTTTGTTTTTGATGCTGCTCTTTTTTCCTTAATAATATATTAAGAAAGTGGTTTACACATATATTTCTTAACAAAAGGTTCAACTGGTTTATGATAAAATAGTTAAATCGTGTGGTCCTACTCTTTAGCTTTTGCTTTTGTCTGTTCTTTGTAGTGTTTTCTTTCTTCTGCTTTCTTTGTATGGTAGTCTTCCCTGAAAAACAAACAGTACATAATTTATGATTTTTTTTTAATGACATGAATCAGTGGACAGATTTTAATGAAACTCAAAGTGATCACTGGATTTACATCTATAACTGATAACCGTTCGAAGATGACAATTCAAGATGACTGCCACAAATAATTGGTATTAGTCAACACAAAAATAACTAATTCAGTCAATTTTGCACATATCAAACTACTATAAATGTTACATGGTACAGTAGTCCCTCTCTACTTCACGGCTCGTTTTTCGTGGACTCACTATCGCGTTTTTCAAAATAAGATTGGACATAGCACACAATTAGCTGATTGATGGATGAGCCGCACGATCAGCATGGAATTTTTATTTAAAATAAATTATTTAGCACCTGCTGCACATTTGTGCAGCCCATAAAGCAGGATAAAACTTCCTCCAGCAGCTGATCAGCTGTTCACCATGCAGCGCGGCGAAGTGGGCGTGGCCAAGAGCGCTTGCAGGTGGCAAAGTGCAAATGAGGCAGGAAGCTGAAATCATGACACTCTGTGCTCTTTTAGAGCGTTTAGAGTTTAGAAACATTGTTTAAAATATTGCAACAGCATGGGAAGGGTTTAAAATGTCTTTTCATATATATATATATATATATATACATAAACTACTACTTACTACTTGTACTACTATTCCTACTTCGTAGTTTTTCCACTTATTTCAGGGTACGGATCTCCCGCGATAAATGAGGGACCACTGTATTAGCCAAGAGTCGTACTCAAAAAAAAACTTCCAAGTGTAACAGATCACACAAGATCACAGGAGATCACACACAATATCAATTACAGGGTTTGACCCTAACAACTATAACTCCATCCTTTCTCTTCACAAGATGATCTTAGTCTAAAACTCTGTCAAGAAAGGCGGAGGGTGATTTGTGCTTTTTCAATTAATGCTACGTCTTTATTTTTTTATTTTTTTCCCCTCTAATGTAATTCTGAATGAAAAAAAAAACAAAACATCAGATAACATTTTTGGGGGCCAGGGACAAAAACAAGTGCAACTTACCGTGACAACACAATCATCTCATTGTCTTTGAATGTTTTTACATCAGAACGTTCCAAGAACTGCTTCGATGACTCTTCAGTGACAAAACAGATAAACACAGATCCCTGCAAATATAAATAATAGAAGAAAAACAGCTGACTAGGGGGTGTGTGTATATATATATATATATATATATATATATATATATAAATAGAGGAATAAATGACAATGTTTTGCATACCTTAAACTGCCGTTGCAGGTTTCTCCTCATCTGGATGTTTTCTATGTTGCCTTTTCCATTCAGCCACTCTTGAATCTCATCAAGAGTTGTTTGAAGAGGAAACCCTTTCTAGATGGGGAAATAATAGATTTTGAAAAGCGGGAAAGCATTTAACACTTGAGTTAGGGAGAGAAAACAGTATATGTACAAAGACAATGTTTAACAGTGCTACTAAATTTTTATACATCTTTAGTTAAAAAAATACAAAAAGCTATAATGTTTGGAATGTGTAGGGAAAATATCACTTATTATAATTATACACAACATTTTGATGCATCAATTAAAATGCTGGTGAATGGGTATGCAATAATAAAAACTTACAACATAAACGGATCTGTTTTTTATTCCGTCTTTGTATTCGTCGTTTATTTCTGGTAAGGGTTTGTCTGGAGACCTCCTGATTTTAGTCTTGTCTTCACTGATCTCCAAGAGACCCGTCGTTGATTTCTGGAGAGCTGCAACGATGACGCTGCTGTCTGTAGTTAAAGTCTTTAATCTAAGTAAAGGCAACAGGGGGAAAAAATATATAGTTTGTTTTTTTTTTAACAAATGCAACACCAACAGCATGTGAAAATCAATTTTCTATCATGTGCATTGATGTCAGTGCAGTGATACAAAGGAAGGAGGTGGAAATCTATAATTGCTTCCTTTTACTGAGGGTCTTGGAATTGCTTCGTCAAGACGAAATAAAGCGTATTCAGTTTGGTTAAAGCTGTTAGTTTTGAAAAGAAAGTAGATGACTATGTGACTATGTAACTATTTACAGTAAAATGCTAATACACAGTTATCGATAAGTTTTGCGACGTATATTCAACATTTTCTTCAAGTGGGGGAACGCATCTTAACTCCTGTTTTTAAAGTGCCAGTTTTAGGCACATTATAAACAGGAGTTAAGAAAGTCAAACAATGTTAAAATCTAAACGAATAGCATTCAAATTGGACTAACAATATATAATGTATACAACTCGTATAGAAAACGTGTAGGCCATGTTATAATAACATTCGGCAACAATACAGTCTTGATTTTTACATTTTAAGTACCATATTTTTGACTATAGGTCGCAGCTTTTTGCATAAATTACAAAGTCCTGCAACGTATAGTCCAAAGTGACTTATTTACGTTTTTTCCCCATATTTATAACCCAATTTTTGGCTGAGAGACGACGATTTCATTCATTTTAACATGGAAAATGTTGAACACAATTATATTCAGTCGCTACAGGGCCCTCAACCAATATGGCAAGCCAAGTGTCTTATTAATAGATAAAAGTGGCTATTAAAATTATATTCTTTATGCATTTTATATTCTGTATGTATTTTATATTCTTTATGCATTTTATATTCTTCATGTAATTTATTCCTGTTGATCTTTGTTCTTACTGTAAAGTGTCCTTGGGTGTCATGAAAGGCGCTTTTTAAATAAAATGATTATTATTATTGAGACACTTGGCTTGCCATACCAAGTCACCTTCGGCTCAATCCAGAACTCCTGGAGCTTCATTTCGCTGCGCCGCTCAGGCGAAATGCAGCTTATTTGACCTTTAAAGTGCATTTATTAAGGAAAAGTTCAACTGAGACACACCTTTACTATAATGTCGAGCAAACAAATAATTGTTTTTAGGTGGTTATCTTGCTAAAAACCTCCCATGAATGCTCCCGAGGCTGCCATTTGGCTGCCAATCGATTTTTGGCAAAACACTGGCCCGTGTCTCCGGGTGGTCAGCGGTGACGCATAACAAATGTGACACGTCAGTGGTGACGCATTAGATGCAACCTATATGGTGAAGCAACTTATTTATGTTTTTTCTACTTTATTAGACATATATGGACTGATGCGACTTATAGGGCGGCGCAACTTTTAAGATGGAAAGTACAGTAGTTGCATTCAAAAAAACGTTCGATATAAAAACAACTGGACTTTATTTGTAACAGAAGACGTTTTGCTCCTCATCCGAGGAGCTTTCTCAATTCAAAGAGCAGAGAGTGAGGGATTCAGTAGTTGCAATTTTTTTCTCTTTTACTTAGTTTAAAACGAGGGTTTCTCTAGAGTTTGCTGCAGTTCTTACAAGCAGTATTACAAAAAGCTGACTAGTCATGCTTTATGTTTCAACTCAAATACTAGGTGCATCATTGTAGTTATTTTGTCACATTGAAATTATTGCTCTAAACCCCTATTTTGTACTTTACTTTCAAAGTCTTTGTTTACATTTTACTTTGTGATATACTCTCAAAGAAAATAATCAGCCTGACATGCATGTTTTTGGTCTGTGGGAGGAAACTGGAGTATGTTTAACCGGAGAAACCCCACGCATGCACAGAAAGAACATGCAAACTCCACCCATAATGGCCCCCTGGCCGGGATTCAATCCGGCGACCTTCTCGCTGAGAAGTGGCAGCTCTACCAACTGCGCCACCACGCCGCCAAAGAAAATACCAGTAATCTAAAATTATATTTTAGATTACTGGTATTTTTGGAGGTAAATTAGCGGTTTAGAATAATTCAAATAAATATAATTATTTGCAGACTTATAACAACTGATCTATACCAGCTAGTTCTCGGAAATCCAGCACCGTATTTTGAGACTTTACAAGTTCAGTGGAAAAAGATAAAGGCAACAATGACAGCAATTTAACAGGGTGTCACTTTAAACCCTTAAAGCTACAATCAATCGACTGTTTCTTGCCACTTAGCCCGTATGCATCAAAATAAATATGAAGTACAACTACTAGAATAAAACGTGAGACTGGAGAAGAGACTCTTCATATCACCTAATTGCCGGTGATATTTCCGACCAGTAAGCTGTTTACTCAAGACTTCATATAAACTAACATTTTGTAGCAACCAAAAAGATAATGCAGTTAGAATACATAAAAACCAACCTGTTGAATTTAAGCATGGTCTCCAAAGTCACCCAGCCGTCATCAAGCTGCAGCTGCTGTCTGAGAAACTTGTCTCTCGGGAGATTGTGATCTCCAAAGTAATACTGGGCAACAATAAGAGAAATATTTTTAGCTCAATTTAGGAATTTATCAATCGTGGAAGTAAAGTTCGAGGTCACAATTATTTACCTCTACTTGACGTGCCACCTTCATCTCAATGGGGGTCATCTCTTCTTGAGTTTCTGCCATTATTGTTCTCTACAGGAAACAGTAAGGCAGATAATGAGCAGTTACCACAAAATACACTCCTCTCTGATGACAACACACTGCCATTGGATACAGATATATCTATGCATATGCAGAACCTAGCCCACGTGTGCATGATTTTATTTTTTTTTTTTTTACTATTACAGTGCTGACTAGTGAATATTACAAGTTGCACTTTTATTTCTTCCTAATCAAACAAGTCCAGTGCTTTCATTCCAGACGAACCATTAAAAGTTTAGAAAAATGCTGATTAAAAAAAATTAGAGCAATGTTAAAATATTTACAATAAAGCTGACATTTTTATCATCTTTGGTGCTTTTATGCGTTTCTTTAGCTTTCCCACGTAAGATAACTGCAATAAAGTAAATTTAAAAGTATGTCATGTCAGTATGAAGCAGTCAAACATTTATATTTACTATTGTGGCCTATAAACTACTGTGGCTAGCAAACCTGTTAGCTTAGCTAGCTTACTTAGCAGCTGCTAACCACCCAAACTTTGTAATAATTTGGAGCAAAGCCACCAAGTTTTACCTAACCCGTAGCGTATCCTGCCTAATATTCATCAGTGTGATGATTATATTGTAAAATAAACTGTTTGAATGTTTTAGTTAACTTCAACACACTGGATGGTTCGTCCGTGCAGCAGCGTGCTATTAAAACGTACTGTAAAAACATTTTGATGAATTTATTACACAACAACATGTCGTCTGTTAATACAAACAACAAACTGAAACATTTTCATCAAAACCAAACGTTATACGTACGATATTTTCGACTGTGAAGCAACTGCTCTTTAAACACAAACCAAATGAACTCCCTCTCTGTGACTCGCGCACGTTGTGGAAATGCGTGCTACGGAAACGCCGAGGGCCAAAAAGATTTCGCTTTTTTTTTTTTTTTTACCTAAACAAAACTATTTGTTTTTATTTTAAAATATTATTGAAAGGGTGGATTTCAAGCGCTTTAATTTTATTTTATTTCATAAATTGTAGTGATTAGTAGAATTTTTACAACAATTTACATTTTAGGGTGTTTAATGATGAGTCAACCAACTTTTTTTAATTTATTTTTTACATTTATTTATACAGGTAGTCTCATTGAGTCACGAGAAGTCATTTTCAAGAGAGACCTGTTTTTGGGAGCAGATGATGGGGGTTAAGGGCTTTGCTCAAGGGCCCAGAGTGGGCCAAATGAGGATGGAGGCACATGTGGGTGTTTCACCTTTTCTACTCACATTTTTAATGTTATCGATCTCGGGAGTTGAACCTGCAACTTCCGATCACAGGTCCATCTTCTCTAACCTCTGCACCACCACTCCACTTGTCTATCAAGGACACTGACACAATTGTTAAAAGGTCTAATGGGTTACTAGTAATTGGACAAATACTCTGTTCAGTTAATACTGTATTTTATTCAAGCTATTGTAAATAATTTGAACAATAGGTAAGATGGGAAACACATGTACCTTCAGTTCCAGTAAACCATGCAAATAGTGTAACACAGGTCTTTGTTTCCCTGAAGGAATAACCCGTTTGCTCCGCTCCAACTTGTGGTGTACGTCCTCAAGGGTCCATTTTGGAGCCTATTCTGGTTTTTCGTTATTTAAAAAATGCTGCCTTTGGGATCTATATTTAGAAAGTATTCCTCTATACCTGAGAAGGTTTGGACATGTCCAGAGGGACAGTGGGTATATTGGTAGAAGGCTGTTAGAAATGCAGCTGCCAGGGAAAATACAAAGAGAACGGTCAAAGAGGAGACATGTGGATACAATGAGAGGACATGGAGGTAGTTGGAGTGAGATGGCGGAGGATGACTTGTTGTGGCACCCCTGAAGAGGAAAAGCCAAAAAGAAGAAGACATTTCCTTTCATTGCTACTATGGCATTTAAATATATTTCTCTTTTAAACTGGATCTCTCTGCAGCCCCTTTTAAAGATATCAAAATCAGAAATGTGTCCCGACAGCTATAGTGCAGTACGGTGGATTGTCCTGGTGGATCAGATTCGTTTTCACAGGAATCTCCACTTGGTCTATGGTGTGACCGCTCTGCTCTTTCAGACTGTTCCAGTGGGCACAGCAGGTCCTCCAGCTCGTTTCTCCAGTTCCTTGTGGAGGGATCCATTTTCCACCAGCATGCGGCCCCAGGCGTTCACCTGTGTTGCATGCTTTATGAATTCTCTCCTGGTCTTCAAGCTCAAGACTCCACTTGGTATGTTGTGTAAGGTGAAAGGAGACATTTTTATATTATACCTGTTTAATCAAAAAGGTAAACACACTGACAAACACTGGGAAAGCAAGCTGACCCTTTCCGATACTCAACAGTTTAAAACTCCTCGCCACGATGGAAAAGCCAAACTTGATGCTTTTGAAAAGGAGCAGTGGATGGAAAATCAAATTTTGATGGAAAATCATGATTATAACATTATATATAGCATTTAACATTATAACATTGATGGAAAATCAAAAAGTTAGTCGTGAATGTTCCTTTATGGGATGATTTAATTGATCGATACAATATGCACTGTATGAATATGGAAATAAATCAAATGTTACAAAAGCTGTGTGCTCATAGAAGCAACGTTCATTTTAATCATCAGAAAAAAAAGTTAAAACGCAAATTGCAAAAATTATTTATTCATACTACTCAGAACAATTTACAGATACAATCAGCGTTTAAAAATTATTCAGTTGAAAATATTAATTATAATGAAACCCAGATAATCCATAGGTGTTGAGAGATCAGAAACACGAATTAAGAAAAATGTAAATCCAAACAGGGAAAAATAATCTAAAGTAGTAATATATTTTATGCAAAGCTAACTCTTGTTGCAGATCAGTCAAAGGTTAAGCGGAACGTTTTCTCCTGCTCCTTGCGTTGGGTGTCACACAGTTTGGACACTTCCTCCACTCTTCTCTGCAGGAGAACCGAGTTCTGATCGATCCACTGCAGTGAGTCCATGTGGGCGTTGAGGATTTTACAAATCTGCTGGAGCTGAAACAAACAAACAAAAAAGAAGAGAGGATGAGATCAATCAGCACCAAAACGTCACCAGAGCAGGTTTATTAACACTTAATGTCTGATCTTACTGGATCACTGGTGTCAGCCGAGCCGCTGGACGTGTTCAGGTGCTCGATGATCTCCTTCAGGTCCTGGGACATCCTCTTTAGCTGCGCGTCAACATTCTCGGCGAGTTTGTACGTTCTCTCTCGCTCCTCGTCGGCGTTCTGCATATAAATGGTTCCGCTCTGCTCTTTCACAGACTCCTCCAGTGGGCACAGCAGGTCCTCCAGCTCCTTCTGCTGGGACAGGATGAAGTCCAGCTCCTGGTTCAGCCTCCTCTGGTCCAGCTTCACCTTCTCCAGCTCCTTGTGGAGGGATGTGATCTTCTCTCCATTCTCCACCAGCATGCGGTCCCAGGCATTCACCTGTGTTGCCTGCTGTAAGAAATGCCTCTCCTGGTCTTCAAGCTCAAGACTCCACTTGTTGATGAGGCTCTCCAGCTGGGCATACGTCATCACAGGAGGAGCTGCTGTGGTACTGATAGTTGTGACCGTCGTAGCTGTGGTGGTGCTGGCGGTGGATGCAGGTTTCAGTCCCAGCGTGAAGGGTGTGGCAGTAGCTGCAGGGACCACTGTAGCTGTGGCAGTGGAGGCAGGCGCAGCGGTGGGAGCTGTTGAGCCCAGAGGTTTGAGCGTGAAGGGTAAACCTCCACCAGCTGCTGTGGTGGTTGCAGTGGCAGGTGGTGCAGTGCCAAACATGAATCCTGTTGTAGATGTAGCAGTGGCGGTGGAAGCAGTCGTGGTGACGATGGGACTAGCAAACAAAGATGTAATGGGAGCTGCCTGAGTGGATGCAGGAGGAGGAGCTGGGGTGGTGGAAGGTTTAATTCCAAAGCTGAATCCCCCACTCTGGGTTGTTGGTGCTACAGGGGTGGAGGCTGCTGTGGTGCCGAAGCTGAAGCCTCCTCCTGGGGCCACAGTTGGAGCTGCAGCTGTGGTCACCTGCACCTTGTTGGCCCCGAAGCTGAACCCTCCTCCAAACGGCATGCCAGTCGCCGTTGTGGCAGCGGGTGCAGCAGTTGGCGCAGCTGTTGGTGCAGCTATTGGTGCAGCTGTTGGCGCAGGCTGCGTTTGGGGGGCACCTCCAAAGGTGAATCCTCCTCCTGCTGGGGCGGGAGGAGTGCTGGTCTGTGCAGACAGCAGGCTACCCAGAGTAAACCCCGAGCTCGCAGCTGGAGCTGTTGCGGAGCCCAGAGCCAACCCTGTCGCTGCCGTAGTCTGAGGAGTCGTACCCAGACCAAATGTGGAGGTGGGTGTGCCGAAGGAAAACCCCGAGCCGCCTGCGGAGCTCTTAGCCGGGGTGCCAAAGCTGAAGGCGCCGGTAGGATTTGTACTGGCCTGGGTGGAAGTGTTGAAGCTGAAGCCCCCTCCTGGAGCCGCGGAGTTGGTTAAAGAGAAGCCCGTGTTGGGGGCAGCGGCGGTGGTCTTCTGAGCTCCAAAGTTGAAGCCAGCAGGCTGTCCGAAATTAAATCCCCCACTCATTTTCTTGTAATAAGAATAAAAACACCAGCTCAGCAATCAGCTATGACTCACTTCCTCGCTGAATCTTTGCGGCTTTTGGCGGGTAGCAATAGCTAACGTTCCAGCGTCCAGCTAACGTTAGCAAGGAGACGCTCAGGTCTACTAGGATGACTTTCCACACTTTAGCGGTAAACAAAAGGAATCATAGGCTTCTCCACGTTACTTTTCAGCGTAATAGAAACTAAAAACTACGAACGCATCATTCATAAAAACGTGGCTCCATGAACGTCATTTTCCACAAACAGGCAAATACTCTGGCTACCTAAAGGAAATGACGATCATGAGGTACTAATTTATCCTGAACTTTGACTGTCAGGTAAATTGTCCCGCCTCTTACTAAACTGGCGAATTTTCTGTCCAATCACAATTCCGAGCTGATGTAGGACGACGTCGGAATGGTTGCCTGACAGACTAATATCAGGGCTATAATAACATCGTTAATCAAAGAGTAAACAAGACCAAGATATACTCTACAAGTGAACATACTCGCAGTTTTTCCGGATCAAACGGGTTTTTAAATGCAAGTCTTTTAAGGTTTATGTCGAGTTACACAGTCATACTTTATCGTCAGTTTAAAACAAAACTATATCAGTAATAGCAATACCTTAAAATAAATATAATTTAAATAAATTTAATAAAACACGAGCTAGACGGAAGATTGGGACGTTATAAACCAAACTCCAATGGTTAAAAAAAAAAATCAAATGGTTACTATTTAAAAATGTTTTTTCGTTTATTTTGTCGAAGTTCATAACAACACAAAACAAATGACTTATTATAACTTGAAAATAGCGTTTATATGTATATAAAAAATACTGAATCGAAACTACGTTGGTATGTGAGAGGTTATCTCTTGACTTTGTGGTGCTCTTTGAATTAGCTTGTTGACTTTTCCGGCTCCGTGGGTTTAGCATGGACACTTGAACTATAATGCACGATGCACAAACATTGCGGTGTGCTTTGTGACGGGATGCTGAAGTTACATTACTCTGCGACATAACGGCTCATAAAAAAATCCACCCGCATTTTTTGGGCCTAGTGTCATAAGAACCAACTTGTGTGGCTCGGAGGGTTTCATCACTGTGAAGGCCCCCTGCTTCTTCAACATGAGGCTAGTAAGATTTCTGAGGAGCAGCGTGAAAATAGGGAAAGATATCGACTATTATTCCAGATTTTCTCCTTCTCCTCTGTCAATGAAGCAGTTTCTGGATTTTGGTAAGAAAGTGTTGCATGTTTAAAACGCATACAAACAAAGTCAAGTGACGTAATGTTTTATGTTGGTCTGTTAGCAAAATATCTCTTGAACCGCAGCATGAAGTTTAATGACACTTGCAGAAAGTAATCACTGGATATACCTCTACAGCTGCCTTACTCTTGGAAGTCAACCTAATTCAAGATGGCCGCAAAATCCAACTGTACTTAAAAACTACAAAAACTGCAATAACGCAGTCAGTTTTTTAGACTCAGACCTAATTATTGGTGTGGTTGTAGCTGAGACTGATCCCAAACAGGTTTTCTAAGCACAGACAAATTGCACAAAATCTTAGTGTAAAACATTGTCATTTGTTTTACACTAAGCCTGTTTTGTTGTTTTTAAAGCGCTTTATAAATAAAGTTGTATTGTTTTTGGAGTCAAGTCTGACTTTGAGCAAAATATCTCATGAACCAATGGATGGATTTTAATGAAATCTTCAGAGAATATTCATTGATTGCACCTGTACAATTGATTAACTTCTGGACCCAACCTTTTCCAAGATGGCCGCCACAGCCAACTGACAATAGAAAACACAAAAATGGCTATAATCTGGTCAAGTTAATGTATAATGAGCTGAAATTTGATGTGGTAGTAGCCAAGAGTCTTTCACAACACATATCCTACAACTCCATCATTTCTCTGCATAGATGTTCTTAGTTTAGTTCAAGTATCTTTATTATCCCCAAGTGGCAATTAGTTTCACAGTCAGTAGACATAAAACATCCGTACTACACAAGACATTAAAATAACAGTACAGAGACCATCAGTGTTCATTGAGAAGCCTGATCGCTATAGGGATAAATGGGTTTTTCAGTCTGTTCGTTCTACATCTGGGCTGCAGATACCTGCGTCCAGATGGAAGCAACCTGACTCAGCATGGAGTGGATGATCAGGATCTGCCAGAATCAGCCTGGCCTTGTTCATTGACCTCGCCTTGTTTAGGTCGGTGAGTTTCTGTAGAGCTATGCCAGCAGTTTTTCTGCACATCCTGACAATCCCCGAGAGTTTGTTCCTGTTTTTTTTTTAATGCTTTAGCATTAATGGCGGCAGACGATTATATGCTTTTGTCGTGATATTTTGCTCATTAAACTGCAAATAACAAAGCATATAGATTGAGATTATTCTTTTATAATTTGAGTACATATTGATGCTGTAAATCTGTTTCATTTTGTCATCCAGGCTCAGAGAATGCATGTGAGAAAACGTCCTTTACCTTCCTCAGACAGGAGCTACCCGTGAGGCTGGCCAACATTATGAAGGAGATCAATCTGCTGCCAGACAACCTGCTGAGGACTCCATCGGTGCGCCTGGTCCAGAGCTGGTATGCAGGTTCTGCTTTCTTCCTCTCCGCAAATCTGTATAAACTCCAATCTTCAGTAAAGTTTTTCACTGGTTTCCATGTAGGTACATGCAAAGTTTTCAGGATATTCTCGAGTTCAGAGACAAAAACGCAGACGATGAGAAAGTCACGTACGAGTGAGTTGTACTACGAAAGTAGCTCATTCGTCGCTGCAAGTTATTTTCCAACATTTAATTGAGTCTTTTATTAGCTTCACAGATGCCGTGATTAAAATCAGAAATCGCCACAACGACGTCATCCCCACCATGGCACAGGGGGTCGTGGAGTACAAAGAGGCGTACGGCACAGATCCGGTGGTCAGCCAGAACGTTCAGTACTTCCTGGATCGGTTCTACATGAGCAGGATATCCATCAGGATGCTGCTTAACCAGCACAGTGAGCACGTTCTCATTTTGTTGCGGTTTCTAACAGGTCATCGGTGATCATTTGGTTGTTTGAACTGCTGCGGGAGGAATCAAGATGCTCCAGTAAAAGTAAAATAATTCACACATTTTCTAAACTTTTGCAGTCTTTTAAACATATTCAAATCTGCAAACCAAGAATCAGCTTGCCGTATTTAAAGGCACGACCGTGTATGAGTGATGCTTAGGTGAAGGGGATTAAACCTGCGGTTACTTTCACTACCAAAGGTAGCGGGACGTTTTGTTTGGAGGAGAAACAGATCTCCTTCTGTGTGTTTTCTGTCTTAAAGATCTTCATTTTCCTCCTTTATGCTTGTCAATATTTTCCCTGTAAATAGTTCTGGGCTGTAACAGTGACGGAAGTCAGAAGTGATTTTTCACGTTTTCAGCAGCAACAAAGAAAGTGTACTCTGAGCTCATGTTACTGAAACGACTGAGTAGATCCACTTGACCAGGCGTCCTGTGTAAGGAGGGTGAAAGTCCTCGTCACAGATGGTCAGGTTACAGTTTGGGAAAAGCGAGTACAGATAATAGATGGATGGATCTTAAAGTGACTGAAAACAATAACCCTTGATGGAATGCATATCACCCACCTTTCATGTCAAAGTTTGAAACCAAAAGAAGGGACAGGAAATCATAGCTGTTTTGGTCAAACCTTGTAAATGACGTGATGCAAGATATTGCGAGATGCGTCGAGTATGAGTTATGAAGGACTCTCAGCTGATACCACACTGAATTTTAGCTCAATATTTGTCAAACCAACTGAATTATAGCCATTTTGGTCTTTTCTAAAGTGAGTAAGTTGTGGCTGCCATCTGAAATTGAGTTGGCTCCAAAAGTTAATTACCATATTTTTCGCTGTATAAGTCGCAGCTTTTTGCATAGATTAGCATGCCCTGCGTCTTATACAGCGAAGCGACTTATTTATGTTTTTCCCCCGTATTTATAATCCAAATTTTGGCTGAGATCTGACGATGTCATTCATTCTGACATGGAAAATATTGAACACTACCGTTTTCAGCCACTAGAGGGCCCTTGAGCTTTATGGCAATCCAAGTGTCTCATTAATAGGTAAAAGTGGCTATTAGTGAGACACTTGGCTTGCCATACTTAGCCACTCCGGAACTCCTGGAACAAACGTCAAATGAGCTTCATTTCACTGCGCCGCACAGGTGAAATGCAGCAGATTTGACCATTAAAGTGCATTTATTAAGGAAAAGTTCAACTGAGACACACCTTTACTATAACGTCGAGCAAACAAATAATTGTTTTTAGGTGGTTATCTTAAATTTAGAAGAAATGCACAGCGAGTCCTCCCTCTGCGTGCTCTCACAGCAGTGAATGGACTTTTTTGAAATGCAGCTGATTTGACCGTCAAAGTGCATTTATTAAGGAAAAGTTCAACTGAAACACACCTTTGTTATAATTTCGAGCAAACAAATAATTGTTTTTAAGTGTTGATCCTGTTAAATTCTTGTTCGAGTCATCCCGTATACGCTCCCACGGTCGCCATTTGGCAGCCAATCGAATTTTGGCACATCTGAGACGCGTCATTAAACTGACGTCCACGTTATTGGTCTTAGTCAGGACCATTTCTTGACTTAAATGCCTCCTAACATCTGCTTTAATCCAAATAAAATGGCAGTCGCATTAGAGCAGAGTTTACTTCTGTCCAGTGATTTTATCCCTACTAAGTAGTAAGTAAGTTATCCTACTTTTAGATTCTAAATTGTTTAACTTCAGAAATGTGTTTTTTAACCTTCAGAATCATTTTAATGCTCTTCTAAGCAACATGTCTTGTATTTTCCTGACAGACGTGTTTGAACCCACTTTTACTTTTCTGTGTGAATGAAAACGTCGGACTGAAAGTTTTGAATCTGGACTTGGAACTTAGACGTTTGTTCTCGCTGTGCATTAAAGAATCAAATTATTTCTTTCCAAACATCTCTCGTTTCAGCTCTCCTGTTTGGTGGGAATGTCAAAGTGAATCCTGCACACCCCAAACAGATCGGCAGTATAGATCCACACTGTGGGGTCAGCGAGGTCATTAGAGGTAAGATTAGGCTGCTTTTAATCCCATCCTCAGGTTTTGGGTCATTATTAAACTGACATTCTGGGTTCCAGGAGCCTTTTATAGGTTTAATAAACACAACAACCGTTCTCTTGTAGATGCGTACGAAAATGCAAGAAACCTTTGTGACCGTTACTACATGAACTCTCCTGAGCTGATCCTGGAGGAATTCAATGGTAATTTGGATTTTAGCACAAGCATAAACACAAATAATTTTAGATCTCATCTACTTTAATTGCATTATTAGTGGATAACTAGTTCATACGTGTCTAATACATGTGTGTCCTTCCAGCCAAAGATGATGGGAAGCCCATCACTGTGGTGTACGTTCCATCCCATTTGTATCACATGGTGTTTGAACTCTTTAAGGTGAGTTTCGCTCCGGTCCTCAGACCTGTTCTCAGCTCACAGTTTCAGCTACGTTCTTTTTGTGCACCGACCAGAACGCCATGCGGGCCACCATGGAGCTGCACGGAGATTCACTGGAGTATCCAGCCATTCATGCACAGGTCGCACTGGGAAAGGAGGATCTGACGGTGAAGGTGAAAAGAGAGCAAACTCTCTGAATGTTTTAAGTAATCAAACGGTTTGTGTGTTTGCTGTAGTACAAAGAGTTGTTGTTGTTGTGTAATCCTCGTCAGGTGTGCGACCGTGGAGGCGGCGTGCCGCTTCGTAAAATCGACCGTCTGTTCACCTACACGTACTCCACAGCGCCGCGGCCCAGCATTGATGATTCCCGCGCTGCTCCTCTGGTCAGTGACGTCGGACAGAACGTTGAAATGATTCGTTTTATGAACGTGAAAGCATTCACACTATTGTGATCCATTTTTCTTCCCAACGTTTTTTAGCATCTTTCTCATTCCAAAATTTTTGTGTTAATTCTGCAATTCTTATTTAAAACAAATTCGTCTTGTTCAGGATAACCCTGCTATGACTTTTGGTAATGATGCAACTTTAGCTTTTTGAAATATTTAGCCTTTTCTGCCACGTGTTTTCCTCATAGAAAATGAATTGAGCTCATTTTACATCCTTCAAATCTTTAGCTTTGTTTACAACCGTTTACTGCTCCTTTCACATTTTGCTCCGGTTCAGCTTTTTTTCAGCTTCCTTGTGCAATTTTTAAAAAAAATTCAGAATCAGAATAAACTTTATTGGCATTGCGCCGAGATACGAGAATATGTACGTACAGTCGTCTGAAAGATGGGCGGAGTGCACGAAGCTGCGGCTATAAATAATTAGCACGGCCCTCTTATTCTTATTCCGAATAATATTTTGCTTAGATGAGAAAAGGAAAGAAAACGTGAGGAGAGACTGTATAAAAAAAAGATCTCTCACTCCGTGTCCTAGACGGCACGATTTGAGACATAAAAAAAACTACCAGCTACTTTTAACTATTGTTTTCAGCTGTTTTGTGCTCTCTTCAGAATCTTTTAACTACAAAATGTTTGTGCTTCTTCTAACTTCTTTCTGCTAATTTCAGTTTATGCTCCTTTCAGCATATTTCTGCTATTTCAGCTACTACTTAGTTTTTATGCCAATTTTAGCCTTTTCAGCTAATTTCACATTTTTTTGCACTAATTTAAACTTTTTTTCTACCTAACTCAGTGAAAATGTGCTCTCTCCACTTGCGTTTGGTAATTTAAGCTTTTTTTCTGCTGTTTTTTTTTTAGCAACTTTTCAGGGTTTCTTTTTGTGTGTGCTAATTTTAGCCTTTTCAGCTAATTTCACATTTTTTGCACTAATTTAAACTTTTTTTCTACCTAACTCAGTGAAAATGTGCTCTCTCCACTTGCGTTTGGTAATTTAAGCTTTTTTTCTGCTGTTTTTTTTAGCAACTTTTCAGGGTTTCTTTTTGTGTGTGCTAATTTCAGCTTTTTTCAGATAATTTCCACTTTTTGTGCTCATTTCTGCTTCTTGCAGCCAAATTGAAAAACATGTTCTCTTCTTTCTTCTGCTATCTTAAGCATGTTCGACCTTTTTTTAAAACTTTTTTTAGCTATTTTTGGTAATTTCCAGATAAATTGATAGTAGACAGATGGTAATTTTCATGGTAATTTCTGCTACTTCCAGCCTAATTTACTTATGTTTCAGCTATTTAGCTGTTTTTATGCAAAATTGAGTTTTTTCAGCTAATTCCACATTTTTTAGCTAATTTCAGCTCTTTTAGTTTTCTTCAGGTAGTTTAAGCTTACTGTATTTCTGCCTTTCAGCTATTTTTCAGCCATTTTTTGCTAATTTCAGCATTTTTAGCTACTTTCATAATTTTTCTGCTTATTTTTGATTATTTAAACCTATTTCAGTAAATGTTCTTTATGCTTTCTTCTGTCAATTTAGGCTTGTTCTTCCATTTCAGCTGTATTTCAGCATGTTTTTTGTTTAGCTAATTTCAGCTGTTTCTCAGCAAGTTCTTCTACAATAAGCATTCACACTGGATTTTCACAGGAAATGCAATTTCTCTAGTTTTAGTTGCTTTTATGTCACATTGTTTAGACGTTTTATTTCAAAGTACATTTTAAATGCTTGTGTTGGTCCACGCCAGCTCATTTTAGGAGTTCTCAGGTGATTTGTGTGCTTTTTTTTAAAAATTAATTTGTTCAGTCAACATGATAATGTTTCATATATGAAGAGTGATTGTTTAATTCTGTATTTTTCCCCCCAGGCTGGTTATGGTCACGGCCTGCCCATCTCCCGACTGTACGCTCGGTACTTTCAGGGCGACCTCAAGCTTTACTCTCTGGAGGGCTATGGAACCGATGCTGTGATCTACATCCGGGTAACTTGAGTCTCACTGCAGCAGAGTTAAACGTTCCTCCTGCAGAATGAAAATCACAAGGCAAATGATGTTTTTAATCTTCTTTTCTCAGGCTCTGTCCACCGAGTCCATCGAGAGGCTCCCCGTGTACAACAAGTCGGCCTGGAAGCACTACAAAACCATCCACGAGGCCGACGACTGGTGCGTCCCGAGCAAAGAGCCGAAGGACATGACCACGTTTCGGAGCTTCTAAAGCCAAAAAGCACATGTTCTTGCAGCACTGTGCAAGATTCTCATTAACGAGTGTTTTAGTATTTAAACCGATCAGTTTGAACAGGAAGTTAAAAAAAAAGAAAGAAAAGAAAATGGATGCAGGGAAGAACGGACACTTTTAATGCCATATATTTTAGTTTTTCGAAGGAGCATCCTTTATAGAAATAACTGTGCGTTTAAAACCAGGTTTCTATAAACAATTGTAAACAATCAGTTTTTAGTGAGTTTCCAGCGCCACCTACTGAACAAGATATTCCTGTACTAATGCCAGTTTTTGTCCGGGCTGAAATATTCTGGTGCCCCGATGAGTTTAAATCCAATTTTTTTGCGTTGAGGAATAAATTAAAGTCCGCTTGGCTCCCACAGTTCAGTGACATTTGCACTGAAACAAAAGGACATTCATAAATCTAAACTCATTTAAGGTTTTAGCTGCAGCTTTTATTTTGCTTAAATTTATCAGCTTCATGTTAATATTGATACTTTTTTTTTTTTTGCTGCATTTTGTTCAAAGCTGCTGAACGTTTATGCTGTCCGTTTGATTTTAGGTCAAGTCCTCTTGGATAATAGTTACAAACTGGATCACTGGAATCCATTACAACTGAAAGAAATAAGACTATAGATTTATGTAACGTTTTAATGTTGCATTGTTTACAAACATGATTGTGACCTTTCTCAGCGTCCTGGGACTTGGTGTCGCAATATTAGGAGTCATTTGTATAAACTGTAGTTCATCGTGTTGCACTGTAAGCACTTAACTGAGTAGATCATGATTAGTCAATAAGAATTATTCTGCTCGTCTATGCAAGTGAAGCGCCGTGTTTCTGCTTGTGGATCAGTTTTGGTTGAACTCTGCAGTGAAGCAGACGCGTTTCTAGGAGGATGCTCAGTTGAAAGAAAATCTTGAATAAATTATTTGAAAAGATTGTGATTGTTTGGAAAAGTACATTTTCATATTGGCAGTAGGTGCTGCTGAAAAGTAATACCATATTTTCTGGTGTATAAGTTGCTCCAGATTTTAAGTCTCATCAGTCAAAAAAAAGGCATCATGAAGAGGAAAAAGAACATAAGTTGCGTTTATTATGCGTCACTGCTGAACCCTGGGAAACATGGGCTGGTGTCATGTTAAAAAATCAATTGGCGGCCGCAGGAGCATGCACGGGAGGACTCGCTGTTGCAGTTCTTCAAAATTTAACAAGATTAATACCTAAAAACATTTATTTGCATGACATTATAGCCAAGGTCTCAGTTTAACTTTTCCTTAATAAATGCACTTTAATGATCAAGGTTTGGCGGGGGGGGGGGGTAACGGTACAGGAACACAACATATATGCCTACCGGTAGTTGTCAAAAGCCTACAGGTCCCTCTCACACCTCTAGTGGCTGTAAATGGTAATGTTTACTCTGGTCCATATCAGTATGAACATTTAAAGCATCTGTCAAAAATTATATGGGAAAAAAAAAAAGTATACGTCACAGGACTCTGGCAAATCTATGAAAAAACTGACTTATACGCCTGAAAATACGGTAATTAGAAAGTGTTTTTATTAACGCCAGTTATTTGTGGTATAAGAATGAAAACAAAGCAAGTCACGAGTGAAAATGAGTTTATTGATGCCGTTTGTACCAAGAATCTTCTCACCATAGAAAATGTTCTTGCAGTCAAACCGTTCATGTTCTACGCAGAACATGTTTTAGAAGAGGAAAAAGAAAAGCACTTCGGTTTGCGTTTCATTGTTTCGCCTCACATTTACACACAGACTTCTGTGTTTTGGTCCTGTGAGGTGCACGTCCTGTGTGTATTTATTTACACGGAGCATCGTGGTACCGTCTGAGCGGTACCGAGCCTGAGTGGAGCAGCAGCGTTCACTTGGTCCCTACTTGATCATTTTCACGCTTTTCTTTCAGCAGAAAATTAATGGCCTAGCTATTCTACTTAGTAGAAAACAGAGTATAAAACGTACAATGGAATTTAGATATAAAATATGCAGTTAACACTAAAGTATAAAACTTCTTTATACATTTAAAACCTTGTCACCCACTCGAGCTTAAATGACAAACGTAGTGCTTTTATCTGAACTGTACAATTACTGTTCCCACCAAGAGCTCAACACAAAATCAGATGTCAGCAAACATACAAAGTGTATTTAAAAAAACAAAAAAACAAAACTGATTACATATTACTTTTATAGGTAAGTGTGCATGATCTGTAAGAACTAAAATCATTTTTTGTGTGCAGAATTGAAAATTCTAGCTTTTTAGTGGTTAAAATGTCTGAATATTCATTTTGGTCACAAACCAAATATAACATTCCTAAAACTGAAGTTCATTCATCTGAAGGAAAACGTGGACAAAATAAACCGAGCATACAGAATGAACATAAATCACAACAGACATCTCAGCACGAGGAGACTCCAGTCACAGATTTGATATGTTTGTTGACATTACAACGTCTTTTATCAGCTGTTCCCAGTCCAACACAGATCATTTACACTCTATGGCCAATGTATAATGGTTTAACTTGTGTCTCAGGACTGTGGGTAGATGCACCTGAAGAAAAGCTGCACAGGGAAAACATGAAAACATCACACAGGAAGTTCCCAGCTGGCCAAGAGGGGCCAACCACCAAATTACATACAGGCTGCAGGAAAAAAGGGATTTGAGTTCGGAACAGTTGAAATTCATGGAAGGACTTGATTCTGACAGCAGCTGATTCTGACAGCAGCCGATTCCTCAGCAGCCGATTCCTCAGCAGCTGATTCCTCAGCAGCCGATTCCTCAGCAGACGGAGTCATTAGAAACGGGCAGTTTAGCGCTGCGTCGACCTTCCTTTTCCTTTTTTTCTCGCTGTTTCTCCAGCTTCTCCTGGGCCTTTTTCATGTCCTTAAGCTTTTTCTTGATAGTTGAACGATCACTTTGACTTGAAACACCAAGCGCCTGAAGAGAATGTGTGGTACTTTGTCAAAACTCACTACACAAACCAAACTATGAGAAAAAAAAAAAAAACACTTCAGCCACAAAAAGGGCAGTAATTTTCTTGATCAGGCTGTGTTCTCTGAAGTCAGAGCCACATTTGTTTATTTCATAACTCCACCTCCATCGTTGCACTTGTTTAAATCATTATTTAAAGACGTGTTTGTTTTACCTTCAACTTGTCACTGTCTAAGTTCAGCAGCTGCTGGCCGTCGACGCCCTTAGCTGTGAAATCAGGTGTGTATTGGTCCATATTCATGCCCATCAACCAGTGACAGACCTGCTGATTGGTCCACTCAGAAACTGGTCGATTCTGCCACTGGTACTCCTTTCCTACAGCCACTGGTTCATCATCCAAAGTCTGCACAGAAAAAAAAACATCACAGATGGAGGTTAAAATAAAGATACTGTTACTTTGACTACAACTGTGTGGATCAGTAATGTACACGTGAAAAAAATACTATTTGTTTAATATGTAGACTGATTTTATTTAATTTTTTCCTAACTTTCTTTAGAGGCAAAGCAGCCAGTAAGTCGCCTGAATCTACACACACAAAAAAAGCAAACTAGAGCATGTAAAAAAAAAAAAAAAGTTTTCCACAGCTGACACATGGAAAACAAGCGTGCAATGACAGAAAAATACCAGTAAAACAGTCAATCATCACACTGAAGGTTGGAAATGGACTATCCCATCACAGTAGACGATAAAGCAAACTAAAAAAAAACATACAGTGCAAACCAGCCGACTCAAGAGAAGCTAAGCCGCAACACAAAACAAATGGTTTTAACAAACAGACATGCAGCGCTCGTACTCTCTGTCTATTCATGGTTTAATCTGTGCTTTGAAAGGGGAGAGCGGGCTCAAAGAGCATGCTTGAGAATGTCCCCTTTCAGCTGCACCGGGGCACCTTGCACAGCTTTTGTGATGGCGCAGCAAGGAGAGCACTCACCTCGCTGGAAGAGAAGATTAAAGTGTGCGAGCGCCCAGACAGATTGGGTTCAGCGACTAACCCAGAGATGTCTGAACTGGGACTGGCAGGGTTAGAATCGTCTACGAGTGAAAAACTCTGGAACAAGTGGAAAGAAGGATCGCATTTACTACAGCGAAACATCACCAAACAACATTTATCTTTCTTTTAAATCACTACGAGAGGCAAACATTAAAACGAAAATGAGGGTTAAGCGTGGTAACGGACTAAAAATGTGCTCACAGATAATTAAAACTATTTATTACAGTGGCAGCTGTTAAGGTTATTGATTATATAAATAAGGATGACTGTGACGTTCAACAGGTGAAGGAAAAAAGATGATCAGAATCTACTGTGCAACAATTTTCACATTAAATAAAACTAAATAATCCACCACCAAAACTACATCGCCACCTTCTGAACTACAGCAGCTAACGATGCTACTGCTAACGAAACATCACAAAACACTCAGGTATGGGGTAACGTTTTCACTTGAGGCACAACATGACATTTGATTAGATATGGGCTTATAATTTACACACGTTAGGAAAAAAATTTAAATAGAGGAAAAAGTCCAAAACCATAAGTTGTTGAATTAGCAAAGCACATTTTTATACTAATTAAGCTTGTGCACAAAAAAAGCATTCCATCAGCGTTGCACATTAAAAAAATGCACACACCATGTTGGTTTGCATACAATACTCAGAACTTGTTTTCCAAGACAGCTCCACAAGTTCTCAACAACTTGTGGCTTCATCTGTTTCTTCTAACACATGCCTGAATAGTTTCTTGATGTCAATGAAAAAGAAGAACGGGTACAATTTACTGCTGAAACTTTACCGCATACCCACTACAAAGGCTACAGCAAATTTTTTAAAGGGGTGTGTTGAAAGTGAGGAGTTAAAAATATGGATTAGTGATCCACTACTGTGTTGTAAAGGGCAAGAGTGTAACAAAAATGAGCATACTGTACCAAATCTAACGAGCGACTGAATAAAGAGGACCAGGAGAGATTTGTCTGTTTGAAGGAAACACGGTCAACACAAATATATCAGAAAGCGAATACCGTAAAATCTCACAGGAACAGAACCAATAATCTGCTGCTGCAGTTTCAGCTTGTCTTGAACTCATTAAACTGTATTTTGGGAACGGCAGCCCACCAAAGCCTGAACAACTGCCAGGCTTCCCACCGGGTACATTTGCTCTGTCACTTGCAAATTTAGGTCACGATATCCCACAGACAAAACAACACAGACACTCTTCTTAAACGACTTACTTTTGGTGGGAAATTGTTCTTTCTTCAAAGTCTGGAAAAATTCTCTAAAACTCATTTTCTTTTCTTTATTCTTCTGAAGACAAAACACTTGATTTGTGTGTAAAATAAAAAAATAAATAAAACCACTGGGCGTACATTCTGCTCTCGGAAACATCGGAGTTTTGTATAAAACATAACTCAACAATGCTAGTATAAATAATTTAACATGTTCGTTGGCATTCAGATTGGTATTATGTGCTGCAAAGAATACTCAGTTGAATGGGCTTTTATGGGTTTATTTAAGAAAAGAGAACCAGTGGATGAGGAGAATTGTAAGTAAAGCAAAGAAACATGATGAGAGAAGTGTTTTTAGTGTACAAGACTTTTTTGAAGGAGTTCAAAAGAAATGAGCTCCATTATGCTGCCACTTTAGGTTGTTCTGCTATGCTCAAATTTAATCAGGTGACATGAAGACAGCATGACTCAAAGCAAGGACTTTTTTTCCCACAGCCACAACATAATTATGGTTAAACCAAGGTAGACTTGAAGTTTCTTCTTTCAGTGCAGTCGTGGTACTTTACAGTTAAGTTTTCTGTTGCAGGTAGTACTTCTTAAATAGTACTAACAGATATGTTATTTGGTTTGACCTTTCCTGATGTTCAAAGCAAGACGAGCTGGTTAAAATGTAAAAACACTCCAGACCCCTGACTGATCAGAGAATCGTCTGTGGGTTTTAAATAAAGAGTCTCTGCAGCAGCTCACGTAGTCAAATTACTGTTTTAGAAATTTGTTTTAGTGTCAAAAACACAATTTATAACGAGTCATGGGTTTCTCATTTCTGTGTGTGGACTGAGTAGTTTACAAGACAAATACAGAAGCACTTTTTTATTTGTGTGCATTTATTGATTTGCATTTTATCTAATGTTGAGTAAAGTTGAGCTTTGACTCTTGAAAGCCCACAAAAAATAATTATACTCTTTTGCAATGAAAGTCTGTTGTAAACTCAGTGGTCTATACTCAACACCGAGTCTCTTTGGGTAAGAGTTTGCTCAATCAAAGCAACAAACATGTCTCTGCAGTATTTTAACTTAAGCAGGTGAAGCCCACTTGATGAACAAACCAGGAAACAAACTAATCGTGGCATTTTGTGTTGGGATAGCTTAACACGGTAAACTGGGACAACAGAGGATATGAATAAAGTTTAGGAGCCGAATGAGTCATCAAATATGATGATTAATTGATGTTGAACTACAAACAAAGAATTAAGACAACGTACTAAAAACTGTTTTGTTTAAGTCCTTTTCATATGAATATTCTGTACTCGGTATACATTTCCATTGTAAGAAATTTACAGAAAGTTTGATACCTTGGTTTTGCGATCCTGGCTTTGCTCACTGCTGGTCTCATTGGTAGCGTAAGGCAGGCTGCTGCTGGACGAGGAGGGCTCTCTGTCTCTGTCCCTCTCTTTGTCTCCAAACCACGAGAACGGCATACAAGTGGGGATGGAGGTCATCGACTCTGCAGGAGACAAGTTCCCTCCAGATTCCTCGAGCAAGTCTGAAGACCCCCTGGACCCCCTAGAGACACAAAGGTGTCAAGTACTGAAATAGGAATCATTCTTTTTTTAATTTAATTTAATGCTGTCATAAAATACCTGCTGTCCAAAGATGCTCTCAACGCCTCTTTGTCATGCTTTTTTCCTTTACCACCTGATTTTCGGAGGCCCCTGTTTCAATCATATATGTTTTTGTTAAAAAGGATGAGAACTTGGCTGTAACCCATTAGTGAATTACGTGAATACTTACCCAAAGTCTGGAAATCGTCTTTTAGGTTTCGCTGCAGATAAAGCTTCACTTGGCTCCTCTATAAAGAAAAACAATACAAGAGTCTCAGTAAAAAGAAGAGGCTTTGCTATTCCAGGTATCTCATTTGTATTTCTGCATACCTTTGAGCTCTTTCCCCTTGGTTTTACAGTCGCTCTTCTTAACGTTATACAGGAAACCAGAGGGAGATTGGGGTGAGGAACTGTGTTTTGGAGGGGACATAAGAGGACTTCCAAAACTTTCAGTACTGTCTCCTTGAGACGGTGACAAAGATGGGCTGCTGGAAAGCTCTGCTTTACTCTTGGAAGCGTCTCTAGACTCGCTTGGATCATCTTTCTGTTCGTTTGTGGGATAACAGACAGGGACGGGGAGAGCCAGGCTCTCCTGGATGGACCTTCGCCTTCTGATAGATCCCTGCTCCTCCTGCTCATCATCTTCTGCTTCCTGGAGGGATCAGGACAATTATTTACACAACACCTCAAGGAAAACAGAAGGTGTTTATGGAACAAAACATCTGATTGTTACAATACACTTGTACTAAGGAGGAAAAAAGGAAAGTCTTGCATCACATTTTGGCATCGTGTATTACATTTATTCATACAGTTTAGAAAAACTCAAACCGTAAGTTTATCAAATCTGCAGATTTTGACAAACTAGGGTCTGATTTGGAAAGAGAACAGCCATAGAATAAAACAGCCATCTAAGTGCAAACTATTGTCACAATAAAACAAAATGCTGCCTTCACTGTGGCTGATCTGCTCATGAGTTGTCGGGTTATCATGTGCTCTTAACGTTCAGTAAAAAGAAGCATTTTAAATGGGCACATTGAGCATAAATACAGGAAAAACCTGACTTTTCTGGCATGGACGTCAAATCTCTAAGTATCAACTTTTCTGCACAGACCTGAGGATGAGAACCAAGGTTCTCCTTTAGTTTGATCCGAGATGGAGCCTGACGTTTGGACTTCTGAGCCAACCGGCACTTTGCTTTCTGAGCACTTGTGTCCAAGCGTTGGGTTTCAGGAAACTCGCTCCAATCTTCCTCTACAGGGAAGCACATTAAAAATATAAACAAACATGAGTGTACAATATACTAGTTACTAATTTGGGTTCATCACGCAGCCAACTAAACTCTAGAACAGATCACAATTTTTTTTAATGCAAAAAAAGAGCAGCGCAACAGCAGTAGAGTTTCAGTGTGTAAAGTTAGTATTTCGACTTTTTGTTGTCGTTTTAAAAATACAAACTTGTGCAGTTTTTTTAATTTTTTTTTTTACTTTGTTAGACCTTAAAACTACTGAAATTAACAAATTAATAATTAAAATTACTAATACTACTAATAAAAAAAACTACAATTTATTTACTTATATTTTATTTAATCATTTACTTACTCCCTCTGGGATATATTCTCCAGAAACATGGTGTTACTTTTATGCAGATGACAGTCAAATTTATGTTCCATTAAAACCAGATTAACAGTACTCCTTGAACAGACTCCTGGAATGTATGGCAGAAGTCAGAGCATGGATGTCACCCAACTTTTTACATTTTAACAAGCAAAAGACCGAGGTCTTGGTGTTTAAATTCAGTGATGGTTCCAAAGTCTGTGCTGATCTGGGTCCTTAAAACATCTGACAGAGACAGCAACTAACCTGGGTGTGAGGCTGAACAATGACTTTAAACTTGAGGCTCAGATTAAATCAGTGATCCAAGTCTTTTTTTATCACCTGAGACAACTGGTCAAGGTCAAACCATTTCTCTCTCACATCATTTTGAGATTTTAATCCATGCTTTCATTACAAATCATCTGGACTACCGTCATGCACTTCATGTCTGTCTGAGCCAGTCATTACTGACTCGACTTCAGCTGGTTCAGAATGCTGCTGCTCACCTTTTAACTGGTACCAGAAAACAAGAGCATATCACATTGTTTTAAATTACTACAATGGCTCCGGGTTCATTTCCAGATTAATTTTAAGGTTCTTTTATTCGTTTTCAAATGTCTTCACGGTGTCGCCCCACAGTATCTGTCTGACCTGCTCCAGCTGTACGTTCCTTCACGCTCTCTCAGGTCAGCAGATCAGCTGCTGCTGGTCATCCCACAGTCCAACAGGAGGCTCAGGTGACCGAGCGTTCTCAGTCGCTGCCCCTAAACTGTGGAACGAGCTGCCTTTGACATCACTTCCTGTTTTTAAATCTTCTGTGAAAACACATTTTTTTTGCTTTGGCTTTTAAATCTGCTTGAAATGTTGGTTTTACAGTTTTTAATTTATTTGCTTTATTTTTACGGTTTGCTGTTTTATGATTTTAACAATGTTTACGGTACCAGTTGATTTTATGGTTTTTATGCTTGTTTATATGTGTTAGTGTGTACAGCACTTTGACTAATGGTGTTGTTTTAAAGTGCTTTATAAATAAAGTTGGATTATATTATTGTATAAGAAAGGTTAGGCACTGTATACACCCCACCTTTAACAAGTAATTTCAAAAATACTCTCTCTTTTTCAGGTCGAGTTAAAAAGCTATACATCACAGTTCAAGTTTCAAATTCTTGTGGTCGAAAAAATGAATTAAATGAAAAGCTAAATAAAAGAAAACACTTAATAAAGTCTTGCAGCAATCTAAATACTCCTGCAGAAAAGTTCCCAGACCAACAAAGTCCATGCTCAATAATCCAGGTATACAATCCAACAATTTTCAGTCAGTCATCTGGACAGTTTCTTTTTTTTGTGCTGAAACGTTTCATCTTCCATCCAGAAGGCTTCATCAGTCAAGGAAGCACACAACACAAAACCGATTCTTCCCCAAACAGCTTACTCCAAAGTGGAACAAACCAGTTATGTTGGTGCTAAGATGGTGTCTTTGGCATGCCCCCCCTCCAGAGCTGGCCCTCTTCCTCATCGACAGTCATGTCAAACTGGCTCAAAACCAACAAAGTCCATGCTCAATAATCCAGGTATACAATCCAACAATTTTCAGTCAGGTCATCTGGATATTTTTTTTTTTTTTGGTGCTGAAACATTTCCCAGAGTTTATTAATAAATGAATGCATACTAAAAAAAATTTTAAAAAAATCACAATGTAGTATTTTTCTCTCACACACATTTTTTTAGACCATGAACTTACAAAACACTATAAGCTTAAAAGGTTTAGGGTTCTAATTATCAAGGCGTGTTGTGTGGAGTCAAAGATATTAGAGCATTTTACTAATTTCAACATGTAAATGGTTGCCACACATCAATGATCACACCCTCACAACCACAAGTTCATCTGTGAATCTGTTCTGGACTGCAGGGGTACAGGAGGATGCTCTGTGTTCAGCTGGTCAACCTACATCTTTGTCTTGCTTTTCAGATCAATGAAGCTGTCCCACAACTGTTATATACTTTGAAAATAAGGCACAGCAAAAATGTCCTAAATCTGCACACTATATAAGGGCCAGTATTAAACCACAGAGAAAAATAATTGTTGCTTACACTGCTGTTATGACAGAAATGCCTAGTCTCACTCAAATGTCTTGCAGAACTTATTTTTTATTTTATTTTTTGTTTTCCAGAAAGGTCCCATTGAGTTGCAACATCTCTTCTTCCAGGGAGTACTGGTCAAAGTGGTCAAACTGGTGGTGTAGTTACAGTTTAAGAGCAGTCATATAAAAATACACACGTGGACACTTTCAGGATAGGATGTTTGTAATCTTAATTTTTAGTAACTTGTACCTAGCAGAGAGTCAACAGACTGGGTGTTGGTGACAGAGTCTCGGCTGCTTCGTCTCTCTTCAGCAGCAGGTTCCTGGCCGCTCTCGTATTCTTCAACCGAAGCACCTCTGGACTCGAGGTCAGCAATCTGAAGTCCCAAAACAAAAGTCAATCGAGCTGATTTCAGTGTCTCTGGTAACTCTGCAGGTGAATAAAGTTTGGTTTTACTGATGCTGAACCTTACCTTTTTCTGTAGGCTCTCTAGCTGCTCCTTGTACCACTTGTCTTTTTCATCTTGACTCTTTTTTAGTTCCTCCTCTTTCTTCACAAAATCGATTTCTCTGTGGGGGGGAACAGGAGAGACTGGTTATATCACGGTCTTAGATTGTAAACATGTTGAGTTTCATCTGATGACCATTAAACCACTTAAATCCACAAACATATATTCTTCAAAAATAATGCTAACCTACAAGGGAATAAATTATTTTCAGCTATAAGCCATTTTAAAACATTTAACAATTTATGGTATTATACACAAAATAAAGACCAATCCTGTCACTGCTGATAATGTAATACAACTATTTTTCACTAAGTACTGTATCTTTCAAGAGCACATTTTCTTAATATTTCCAAATCCAGAACTGTCAAATTCTCATTATTGTTTTCAAATCTAAAGAAATGTAACCTGGACTGCAAGCATGACCTGCCATGTTTATCACACGTTTCTGTACAATTTGTCTGTTGTGCTTTTACAAAACATCCATCCATCCATCCATCCTATATCTTTTACTCGCTTATTCCATTTTGGGTCATGGGGGTCGCTGGTGCCCATGTCCAGCAATCACTGTGCAAGGGGCGGAGTACAACCTGGACGAGTCGCAAGTCCATCACAGGGCCACATAGAGACAAACGAGACAAACAACCATTCACTCTCTCACTCACACCTAGGAACAATTTAGAGTTACCAATCAGCCTAACATGCATGTTTTGGGTCTGTGGGAGGAAACCGGAGTACGCGGAGAAAACCCACGCATGCACGGAGAGAACATGCAAACTCCACCCAGAAATCCCGGACCGGGATTTGTGCCAGGGACCTGCACACTGAGAGGCAGCAGCTACCAATTGCGCCACCGTGCTGCCTTTTACAAAACATTATTTAATAATTTGTAAAACATGTTTGACACAACAGTATTTCGTCTAGCTATTGAACGGTCACTAATGGTGTGCCACAAGGCTCAATTTTAGGACCCACTCTTTTTACAATTTATATAAATAATGTAGGTTAGTTAAAACATTCCTGACATCTCCTTGCAATCTCTATGCCGACGATACAGTTGTTTATTGCTAAGCTAACACAGTTGCCAAGGTTTTCTACAGTCTGAATTTGACACCATTCACTCTGACTTGTTCCGTCTCAAACTGGTTCTAAATGCTAATAAAACCAAGGGGATGTTTTCAAACAGAAAGTTGGTGCCAGCAACTCTTCCTCCCATCTCATTCATGCATGGTGTTCCTATAGAGTTTGTAGATTCTTACAAATACTTGGGAATAGGGCTGGGCAATATCTCAATATTTTTAAAATATTGAGAATTTCATATGCAATATAAAATGAGACTATATCAATATAAAACGACAAACTGGTAGTCGCATACTCTAGTATAAAATACTTGAAAATCTGCCAGTTTTTTTCCGAGTCTATGGATTCAGGCGACCCCTCCTCCTCTCCCTCACTGAACACAAACCCAGACCCTCACCCGTTCCCCCCGATTCCTGCTGTGTAAAATGTGTGCTGCTGCAGCTCCCACTGTGAACAAGCTAGATGCTTATGCAGAGATCAATCCTCACAATAGGTCTTTGTTGAGCCACAGTGGAGACACTCTGGTGACATGGATGTAAATTCCTGATAGGTGTCAAAATGGCTGGGTAGCTGATACAAAGGAGAGGTTTGGTGTTCTCCAGGAAATGAACTCGTTTAGAGTGGCATGGTATGAAGCAGTCTTCTTATTAAAAAAAACAGACAGATTTATTGGGTGATTTATTTACTGTGTTTCATCTGGTATTTCCACACAGCAGTAACCAGTAAAGCACAAACAGAAGCTCAAACAGCAAGGCTCCGTCAGTGTCGGGAGAGAAAAATCTCCAACGCACAGCACGGCATTTTACAAAGAGCAGTGCGTTCAGTAGCGTCGGAACAGCCACAGTGTATTCAAGAGCATAGGAACCATGAAATTCAAAAAGAAACAAGCCATAACCAAACAGAACCTAGCTCAGGAAACAAGCCTACACAACAATGTCGGCGTTCTAACGGCTTTGTTAATAAATGTTGACTGAATAAAGCCCCCAGTATACTCCCGCGTACGTCCGTCCGAGCGGAGGTACGTGCGTATGTACGTGGAGGGTTGAGACTTCATACTCGAGCGTCCACCCTGAGCAGCTGCAGAGCAGCTTTGCAGACAAGGGCGTTTACCTTCGGGACAAATTGAGGTCGCCGATTGGTCATTTGCTGACACGCCTACTGGATTGATTGACAGGTCGGGGGAAAAAAAAAAAACAGCTGGCAGCCCCAGCCACAGCGGTGTTCTGTGTTTAAATGTTAATAAAATGTTCTAAAAAAACAAAACAAAACAGGGAGCGCTGGCCCTGCAGCCCACACATCAGTTCAGCCCAACAGGAAATCTCCAGACCACGCAGCCACACTGGGACTGATTTTAATTAGTTCGTGACAAATTCCTTCATTTCTCACAATTTCAGTCATGGCATCAACAGAGGAGGAAGAGATCGCTTTATTCTTGGCAAAAAAACAAAAGAAAAGGCCAGATCAGGGATGAAGAAGGGGAATTCAATACAGTGGTGTCGCACACAAAACAGTCTGTCGTCGGGCAATTTATTGTGAGACACTGCGTCCGCGGTCGTAAAAATTTAGCTTTGCGCGGACATGCCCTGCGGAGGTAAGCGCGTCCGTACGCGTCCGCGTACCTCTGCGTACGGATGCGCGTACCTTCACGTACGGATGTACGCAGCAGTATACAGGGGGCTTAAGCTTTGACTCAGAAATATATTTTTATAATTACTTTATGGAAAGAAAAAAATATTGATATATATATTGTATACGTCATTCATCTTAAAAAATATCAAGATATTCATTTTGGTCCATATCATCCAGCCCTACTTGGGAATTTTAACTGATGTACATCTCTGATCTTGCTCAACTCTCAATGTCAGGAAATGCCTTGTAGCTGCTACTTTCCAACCAGCCATTATGGTGACATTATTTACATGAATGCCCCTGCCAGCTCCTTGCAGATGTTGCCATCTACCATGGGGCACTAAGGTTCATAACTGGCTATAACTACCGTACCTATCATTGCACTCTGTAGTCCTTGGTCAGTTGGTCATCGTTATCTACACGTAGGCTCTCACACTGGTTCATCTTTAAATCACTATTTGGTCTGCTGCTTTCTTATATCTCCTCCCACATGTCACACCGTCAGTGCAGTTACAACATGTGTTCTCAGGCCATCATTACCTGCAGCGTTCCCTCAGTCAGTGCAGACTGAACTTGGCAAAAAGGCCTTTTCATACTCTGCTCTTCTAACCTGGAACACCTTGCAACAGGAACTGAAACTGTCCACCTTAATTTCTTTGAGAAATTTTAAACATTTGATAAGGTCAATAGAAATATTAAAGCAAATATGTTCTTGTTTTTAGTATTTTACCTTGTTTTATGTATATGGCATCTTGGTTTGACTGTGTTTATAACTTTATTTGATTTAAATTGCTTTTTGTTGAATTCAGAGTCAGAGAGGCAGAGAGTCAGAGTCAGTCAGTCAGAGAGATTCATTTGTCATTCGCATCTCATGCGGTACATGTGGTGGAACGAGATTATGTATGCAGGGTCCCAGTTACATCCAACAATAAATTGTTGGATGAATTACTGGTATAGTTGTCTGCACTTTATGTTAAAACAGGTCTCTCTTGAAAATGAGCCCTCGTGACTCAATTAAGAGTAACCTGTATCAAAATGATGTTGAATGAATGTTAGCTATTTACATATACTACACATTAGAGATAACATAAATAACTAAATAAACAAAATCATAACTTGAAACTGTGGAGTTTTCCATAAATCTAACTCACTTTTGCTGGTAGTCCTTGATTAGTTTCTTGGCCTTGTTGTATCTCTTGTCCAGCGCCTCGTACTGGACCTGAGTATCAGCTAATTGTTCATTCACGCTCTTACACACAGCCTGGGCTTCTAGCCAGTAATTCTCCAACTTTAGGAGTTTGTCATTGCTGTCCTCAATTTTTTGCTCCAGTGCAGATTCTCTCTCTTCCCACAATGGTTTGTCCTCCTCTGATTTCTTTAGCTGCACAGAGAAAAGGGTTATGTTAGTTTAGGCAGATTTGCTTAATGATTTGCGTAGAACTTGGATCACTAGCTGTCAAACAGTCTCAGTATTTGTGACAAAAGCTGATGGAAACGAACTAGGTCACATATTTTTCCTCTGTGCCGAGTGTGACTCTTTTTGTTGTTGTTTCAGAAAAACCTACAGGAAGTAGGTAAACAAATGCTGATGCATTTAAATTGTTTTATTTGATTTAAATTGAAAGACTTTTATAAGGTAAATTAAATCTACTAGAATAATCACCAAGGTAAAAGAGGACATAAGAGATCAAATTCAAATAGAAATAAAACCATACAAAAAAGGTTTTGCAAACGCTGAATATTGATAGACACCTATATTTTGTTTATTTTTCCATTTCATATATTGTGCTTTGCAACATGAAATTACCATTTTTTGACATATAATTAAAGCTTACTGTTATCCTACCTTTTTCTTTAGTTGATTTATTTCGGCAATTGCGATGCTGTGCTTAACCTGCAGCTAAGTGAAACAAGGAAAATAAAATATGTAGTTACAGCCAATAAAATAGTTATTAAAAAAATATAGAAACACAGACAACAATTGGATGAGGGCGTACTTCGTTGAACCTGAAGGCCATTTGGGAGGTGTCCATGTTGGATGGCATGAACAAGGCCTCTGAATCAGGCAGCTCAAACACTTCTACATTCCTCCCTGGGGAGAAATTGGACCCCAGAATCCTATCTTCTACCACATCGTCCTCCTCATACCGCTCCTCCTGAAATACATCACATGCTGTTAACTCGAACACACCCATCCTGCCCAAATATATGTTCAACACTATGTCCACAATACTCCTAATGTCTAACAAAGTCTGGAGGGAAGAGTGTAACATTTTTCTATCAAAAGATTTCACTAATCTCTTTCAATTATCATTGGACTGGGTCACAAAAGATACCACATGGGCTTGGCAAAAAATGTTTACAGCATTAAAGGCAAAAAAACACGAGCAACATTCTCAGTAGATAAGAGTAGCAACACACCCTTTGCTTAACTAGAAACCTTTTGGAATTTGTGTGCTCCAGTAAATCCTGTTAAGTTTTTGCACAGCTCCTCTGTTGCAAAAACAGAGGCTTGAACTTCAAAAAGCAAACGTTTCACAACTCTGACAGACGGACGGAAGCTGAATGAACCTTTTCCAACACAGCAGATTTGTGACCCATGGCTCACTCACTGCCGGATGCTAATTTCCTGAATGAGCTAGGGAGAGCTGGGATTGGACTGGGAGTGGTAAAGAAAAAACCTTTGTGAATACAAAATGAACAACCGCTGACCAATCTATGGTCTTCATAACCTGCTGACTCACCTCCTCCGTAGAGTGTTCATAAAGATCCTCCAGATGATGCTGCTGGTTCTTCTCCTGCTCTAGTGTCTCACTTATGAGGCGCGCTACCTCACTCTGCGTTCCTGGCTTCTCTCGACCAATCAGGAATCTGTTTCAGACGGGACAGGAAACACTTTGTACAATGTGACACTATACATACTGTATTTTTCGCCTTATAAGTCACACTTTTTTGCATAATTTACATGCCCTGCGATTTATAGGCCAAAGCAACGTATTTATGGATTTTTTTCCATATTTATAAACCAATTTTTTGCTGAGATATGACCGTTTTCATTCATTCTGACTGAAAAAAAAAATTAAGCAGTATCACTTTCAGCCACTTGACGGCAGCAGAGTAGTAGTAGCAGTATGGCATGCTGTTGTATCATGTAATAGGTAAATGTGGCTATAATGACAAATTCAAAAAAGTTCAAGACAAAAAAAACCCTGGATTTTATTTATTATACTTTATTTTACAATTTATTGTTTTTATCTTGAACTTTTTGAATTTACCATGTCCTGGATGACTGAGAATCTTCACCTTAATGACACAATCGGCTTGCCATAATCCCCCACCTTTGTTCTGCTCACTGCTTGGACCGACCATCTAACCAGATGCACTGCCTCTGGCGAAATGCAGCTAATTTGACAATTAAAGTGCATTTATTAAGCAAACGTTAGACTGAGACACACCTTTGCTATAATTTCTTGTTTTTTTTTTCCCTTTATGAAATTTCCAAGAAACGAGCAGCGTTGCTCCTTCTTTTTTCCTCCCTCTGCGCGCTCCCAGAGCTTCTGCGTATTGGCTTTTGAAATGCAGCTGATTTGACCATCAAAGTGCATTTATTAACCAAACTTTAGACTGAGACACACATTTACTATAATTTTGAGCAAACAAATAATTGTTGATAAATGTTACATCACTTTTCATTTATTCAACCTTTATTTAGACAGGTAAATCCCATTGAGCCTCAAGGACTCATTTACAAGAGAGACCTGATTTCAACAAAGAATGATGACAACAATGGACAACAGCGACAACAATAAACTTTATAAAAACTCATACAGATTAATTATTTTTGAACAAATATCTTGTTAAATTCTTGTTAAAGTCCTCCTGTGCACGCTCCCGCGGCCGCCATTTGGAAGCCCATCGATTTTTGGCACAACATCGGCCCACATTTCCGGGTTCGACCCACATTTCCAGGTTGTCAGCGGTGACGTGCAACAAACGCGACGCGTCAACGGTGATGCATAATAGATGTGACGTACACGGAGAAGCAACATTTATGGATTTTCCACTTTATTAGACAAATATGGACTGATGCGACTTATAGGGCGGAGCGGTGTGTACGGCGGAAAATACGGTACTACTTAGAAATCCCACATTTCATAAGTTTTGTGAACGTTTCACAGAAATATGCAAATCTTACATGGAATTTTAACGTCACCAGCTGTGGGTGTCTGATTTCCCCATGATAAATCATTAGCATAATCTCTTGTGTAGCCTCTTTTAGCTAAAACAAACTTGCCAAAACTAAGTGCCATCATGAAATAAACTAACAGAGTAACAGCTGCACACTCTCGTAGACAGGAAAATCTTTACAGTGATGTTCAGGGGTCAAAGAGGGGTTGAACTGACCTCACTGAGCCTTTGGTGTTCTTTAGGACTGTTGCAGCAAACAGCTGAGTTACTCCCACCAGACTGACGCCATCCACTTCTACTATCTGGTCATTCACCTGTATCCTGCATGGACAGAAGATAGTGAAACTGTAAGGACTTTTAATTTAGCGAGTTATACACACTCATTTATCAAAGCAGAAAAATACAATCACTTCAAAGCATCTGACACAGTAATAGACTACGTTCGAGTTTTATTGTAAGTTTATAAGTAAAACTGGACTGTTTTTCTCATTTACTTTACATCACCTGAGGGATTAGGAATTCCCAGTGTGCAATACTTAAACCAATTACTAAGACTTACGCGTGTGTTTTTATGAGTGACTAATTTGTGAGAGACGACTGGAGCTTGCAGCTGCGCAAAAAGGAAGTTTATGGCACTAACTCACCGTCCATCTTTCTCAGCTGCTCCATTCTCAGTTATCGTTTTCACAAAAATGCCAAGTTTTTCCAAACCCTGGTCAGCTCCCACTCCCATTCCTATGATGCTGATACCGAGTCCATTGTCTCCTGGTGGCAGAAAAATTGATCAGATTTTGAAGAGTGGGTGCAAACAAACAAGCTGAATTCTCTGACTTCATATGCTTACACTGTGCATACTAGGATTTAAGTGTTATTGTTTAATTACCTCAAATTTAAGGTCGTCTGCCACATAGAACACAAATTTAAGTTAAAACTAAGAAGACATTTCAATTCAATTCAAAATTACTTTATTAATCCCAAAGGGAAATTAAATGAAAATATAAACAAGACAACAATTATATTGGACTTAGCATAACTTTTTCTGAAATTTTCCAGCTTGCATAACACTTTAATTTAAACCCACCTTTTTCAATCTCCACTGGAAACACATCCATCTTTTCCACTCTTTTCTCCAGTTCATACTCCGCAGATGCTGCGACAGGGTCAACGTCATCATTTCGTCGATCATAGTCCTCATTAGAGAAGGTACTGAAGATCTGTGTCAGTCAGAATATAAAAAAATAACTTGGTATGTTGTTAAGCATCAGTCAAATTTTATTATTTTTTACACAAATGGAGACTTTTTGTTTTGGTATGTTTTTTGGGGGGAGGCTATATTGTTGTTTTTACCGACACTGGGAGGTGAGGGAGACTTTTACTCCTTTTTTAACCTTTGCTTGGAAAAATAAGACACCGCTTGAGCTCACAGCTGCTGAGGGGCAGAAGATTTCAACACTAAACTTAACTCTTTCATTTGGGAGAATTTTACGATCTAATGACTGAAGTAGAAAAGAAGTAAGTTTTAAGAAGTTGTACATTTTGTAAGCAGACTTCTTATAACATGGGATGTGTCTTAAAGAGTTTTCTGGTTGCAATTACAAAGAACAGACAGGCAGTAAGGAAGATATAAGCAGTGTGAAAGTAGGGCACAGATGCAGAAAACTAAGCAGTGGATCGCACGGAGATGAATATTTGCAAGCGCCAAGTATTTTCTTCTTTACAGCAACAGGAAATAAAAAAGGTGTCAATAAAGGTGAAAAACTATTCATTAATGATTAAGCATTGACATTTGTAGAACTCGGTTTAATATCTTTAAAAAAATAAAAAGCTACACCTTTTACCTTGAATACCACTAATACCACTGATGTCCAGTTGTTTTTGTATTGAACTTTTTTGAATTTACCACTAAGGTAAAACAATCCCAGCCTCCAAAGTTTCCTTTGTGCTGCAAATCAGTCGGGCTCTTTGAACAAACTCCCAGCACACGTTGAGCCTCGCTACATCGTCCCCAGTCTCTAGATATTTTTTCAACATAACGTTACCCGAGTTACAAGCCGTCATTTCCAACGTCATTGAGAAGCTAATAGCCGATAGCACTTGGGTGAGTTTTACCACAGACATTTGGACGTCAAGTGTTAGCCCCGTTAGCGTGATTAGTCTTATGGCACAATGGATAGACAAAAACTTTGAAGTTAAAAAGTCTGTCCTTCATGCACAAGAGTGCAGAGGATCCCACACTGCAGCTAGGAACCTGGAACAAGCCTCCACAAGTGAAACAGCGTCGCAGGTGACCAATGCTAATAAATAATATTTAACACTTCTCATTTAAAACAAGTTAAAGTGTTAGGCATATGGCTCTTACTGAATATATGTCACCAGCTCTTACAGTTGTTACACAATGTTTGTAGCAAATAAGCCTAAATAAGAGGGCTATGTTCTGACAAAGGAAAGTATATAAAAAATATCGATAGCGGTTATCGGCCAAATAAAGTTTTAACATATCGGCATATCGGCCAAAAATCCAATATCGTGCATCCCTACTATTTTTGATTGGTTGGAAAGACAACCTGAAAACCAGTGCAAAATTGTCTTAAAGTGCTGATGACCATGTGCTGTCCCTTCATATAATCTGGTTCCATTTTACAATAAACTGAACAGTTCTGCAGACTGTTTCAAATGTTCCTTTCTGGCTCCAAACTCTTGTTTGACCATGGCCAAATGTTGAACTAAGGGATTCAACACAACAGTTCACAGATCACTATGAAACAAAGGTTTACTAACGGCAAGACTTGGCTGCAGCACTTTGTTAAGGTTTGCCATCTGTGTTGAGGCAAGTCGTTTTCACAATAAGCACACAACCTTGAAGTTTAACAGAAATTCCAGACTTCTTGTGGAAAATTTACAGCGACACCCCTACTCAAATCTCATAAAGAGCACAGGCATAATTTATGAATGACGTTAAGCTTTTGGAGAGTATAGTGAAGTGCAGGAATGAGTGTGGAAAAAGAGTTCCTACTTCTTTCTATTGCTTTTCACTCACTTGACACTAATGTGACTATTAATACACATAATGTTTTAGAGTTCAGTTTTTGTCCTGCCTTGTGTTTGCACTAAACAAGCATTTTTACTCCACACTATTTCTACTTCTTTCCTCAAGGTTCTAGATGTGAAAATCTAAGTGAAGAACATGTGTGAACAATAACAGGAAACAGTCTGAACCCAAGTGTTTACATATTGGCCTGAAATCTCTGGTATATACACAAGTAAAAATGGCTTCAGTTACAACAATGTGACAAGGTTTGTCACAAAAGTACAGTAAAATAATTCAGAAAAAGTTTTAAAGAAAAAATGTTAATTTCATTAATGACATATGAAATTCCAGAGACAATTTGTCCTTACAACAAAAATCCATTTGTGCAAATATGTGTAACATTTCCATAATAATGATTAATAATTATAATAACATTTCCAAAAAAATATAGTTTAGTGGTTTCACAACCAAAAGTATAAATATTATTCTTACAGTTTAGCATCGAAACCTTACAGTACAAAAATAGTTTTGTTAAAAACAAGATAAGTGTAATTCTAGTCCTGACTAGAGCATGTGAAACATACGTAATAAAGCCGATTAGAGTTTAACAGACTCCATGAGGAGCTAAAGCCTGATTATTAGGATGAATCCAACAGGGCTGCCAACATAAACCCCTTGCTTGGGCATTAATAGTTCTTAACAGGGTTGAATTTAAAAAAATCTAGTCATAAAATGTAAAAGCTATATCTTATCTGTAATGCTGACTGAGTAGATTGTAAGCATTCTGATAATTTGTATGAAAAGGAAGGGAGAATAATAGAGTTTAGTGAACAGTGTAAAACAAAAGTGCTTCATCTTTAAATTGATTGGATCAAATTTCCAAAGATATGACTGCTATCTGTATCGGTCATGTCATATAACATCCATCAATATAATTACGTAATTCCCAAACTCTCAATATTAAAATAGCCTCACACTGGCCAAAATGTGGATAAAACGTTTTCTGTTGTCTCAGATCTCAAAACTTAAAGGTGGTGTGCCTGGTAACATATTTAAATGTTGATTTGTTTTAATATCTTCAGATTTTCACATTCCCATATTTTTCTTATCACAGTGTCCAATGCTTGAGGTTCCATACTTTGAATTGCACAAATAGCAGAGTGTTGCAAAATGTTACTCAAAGACATTTCAATGGTTATCGATGTACAAACCAGATTCCAAAAAAATTGGGACACTAAACAAATTGTGAATAAAAACTGAATGCAATGATGTGGAGGTGCCAACATCTAATATTTTATTCAGAATAGAACACAAATCACAGATCAAAAGTTTAAACTGAGAGAATGTATCATTTTAAGGGAAAAATCTGTTGTTTCCAAATTTCATGGTGTCAACAAATCCCAAAAAAGTTGGGACAAGTCCATTTTTACCACTGTGTGGCATCCCCCCTTCTTCTTACAACACTCAACAGACGTCTGGGGACAGAGGAGACCAGTTTCTCAAGTTTAGAAATAGGAATGCTCTCCCATTCATGTCTTAATACAGGCCTCTAACTGTTCAATCGTCTTGGGCCTTCTTTGTCGCACCTTCCTCTTTATGATGCGCCAAATGTTCTCTATAGGTGAAAGATCTGGACTGCAGGCTGGCCATTTCAGTACCCGGATCCTTCTCCTACGTAGCCATGATGTTGTGATTGCTGCAGAATGTGGTCTGACATTATCGTGTTGAAAAATGCAGGGTCTTCCCTGAAAGAGATGACGTCTAGATGGGAGCACATGTTGTTCTAGAACCTGAACATAGTTCTCTGCATTAATGGTGCCTTTCCAGACATGCAAGCTGCCCATGCCACAAGCGCTCATGCAACACCATACCATCAGTGATGCAGGCTTCTGAACGGAGCGTTGATAACAACTTGGGCTATCCTTGTCCTCTCTGGTCCGGATGACATGGCGTCCCAGTGTTCCATAAAGAACTTCAAATCGTGACTCATCTGATCACAGAACAGTCTTCCATTTTGTCACACTCCATTTTAAATGACCCCTGGCCCAGTGCAAACGTCTGAGCTTGTGGAGCTTGCTTAGAAATGGCTTCCTCTTTGCACTGTAGAGTTTCAGCTGGCAACGGCAGATGGCACGGTGGATTGTGTTCACTGACGATGCTTTCTGGAAGTATTCCTGAGCCCATTCTGTTATTTCCTTGACAGTGGCATTCCTGTTTGAGGTGCAGTGACGTTTAATGGCCCGGAGATCACGAGCATCCAGTAGAGTTTTATGGCCTTGACTCTTACGCACAGCGATTGTTCCAGATTCTCTGAATCTTTTGATGACGTTATGCACAGTTGATGATGATAACTTAAAAGTTTTTGCTATTTTATGCTGGGTAACACCATTCTGGTATTGCTCCACTATCTTTCTGTGCAACAATGGTGAAATTGGTGATCCTCTTACCATCTTGGCTTCTGAGAGACACAGACACTATGAGAAGCTCTTTTTATACCCAATCATGTTGTCAATTGACCTAATTAGAGTTAATTGGTCTTCCAGCTGTTCGTTATATGCTCAATTTCCTTTTTCCAGCCATTTATTGCTACTTGTTTCAACTTTTTTGGGATTTGTTGACACTGTGAAATTTTGAATCAACATATTTTTACTTTAAAATGTTACATTTACTCAGATTAAACTTTTGATCTGTCATCTATGTTATATTACGAATAAAATACTGACATTTGCCATCTCCACATCATTGCATTCAGTTTTTATTCACAATTTGTTTAGTGTCCCAACTTTTTTGGAATCCGGTTTGTAACTATATAATTGTATAAACTACAAAATAAGCATAATCTGCATTATTGTACTTTGAAAATAGTAAATGGTTGGTGGGGGCTTAAAAGTTTCAGATATAAAGCTCCTATTTAGGTTCAACAACATGTGACATTAGCATGACTGACAAAGACATGTAAGGGGTTATATGATGTAATAAAAAATAATTTAACTGTGGGGGAAAAGGCTTGCAGAATCAACCAAAAACAATAGACCCTTCTCTCTGTCTTTCTACAATGTAGCCTTTGGATAAAGCCCAAACAAATGGAGACACTTCGTTTCCAAAATAACTTAGCAAGCTGTCTGTTCAATTGATAAAAAATGAAATATTTAAGCAATTTCCTACTGAATAATAGTTAATGTCTTT